CCTTCCGTTATTACAATACACATGACCATTGGAAAGTAAGAAGTCGGCTGTGGCGTCACGCCCTACACACGTCTTACCTCTACTTACTTGTACCTATTCTTCGAGTTACTGTCAGCCACGAGATCTCAGCTCACCCAGTCCACCTCATCTTCACGCGCGACTGAGCGTACGAAGCGAAACGGGCCGGACTTCTTCACCCACCACCATGAACCAAGCCGTCTGCTAGCTAGTGGAGATCTGTTTGGTGTATGCTCTGTCTTGTTGTCCCCACGATACCTAGAGGCTTGATCTTCAGCGCTGAGAAGTATGTTCACATGCAAACATAGGGTATCGCCAATATCTACGTACCAACGCAGAAGCATATCCCCTTTGGGATCCATGGCTGGGGTTTACAGCTCGCTTTGGTGGTGGGGCTGCCTGCTACAGTAACACCGTGAGGTAAGTGCATTTCATTCCGAGATGATTCATCGCCGAATCTCACAACACGACACCATACGACATACCTTCAGGGGTCGTCGATATACGGATGACGACGAACTGCTTTTTCGCTTCTTCTCACCTTCCTTTCTCTCGTCGACGTGCCGTTTAGAACCAGATTCATCTATCCCGGCAATAATGGCAATCTATCCGGCATCGTCTGCAATGGTCAGTGTACAGCGTCGTTCTTGCACACTAATGGCGTTCAGATTTCTCTCTCACGCCTCCCTCCATCACCACGATGAGAAGACGTGATATCTTGAAGTCGAAGTTTCGGCGATATGTCAGCAGTTCAACCAGCTCACAGGGACCAACTGCCGTTAATGTTTGATGCCGCCGGCGTGCCGCCACTGTCAAGTGTCAGTCATCCACATCCATGAACAGGGGCGATACTGTAAGCAAGTCTCATGGCCTCACGGTGGCCTCGGCAGTGCTGAAGGTGAATCACCATTCCCAGCTAAGCTTCCAACATCCCGACAGATTCCACAATCCCGTCAGTGAGACAAAAAACGGCGAAGTGATCATGGCAGGCCGTTTCCTGGGCACAGTACATGCACAGAAAAGTACAGCAAGCTGTCAGGAACCATCCACCCACACACATCCAGACATCCAATATCAAGTCCCATTTCGGAAAAGAAAAAGAGACTCAGACGAGCCAGCTCAGCCTCACCGATACGAAGGGACCTGGTACTCCACGAGGCACGAGGTGGTAAGCCGCCATCCACTTTGCGATTCGATGACCTCCAAGACCTCTGGATGCTCCACAACGCCTCAACATGCAAGGGCAAGAAGGTAGGTACTCATCTGCTTGTTCAACGTGTATAAAGTGGTTCCAGATCTCTCCATTCCTGGTGTCTTTCGATTCGTTCTTCATCAATATATCAGGTCATCATTTCCAGACTCGGAGGTGAAGTCGAAACCTTCACATACCTTTCTTTGGGGATTTATATCTTCTCCCCCCATCCTCAATTCCTCATCTCACGTCAATTCAAGCCCTCGTTGACTTTCTTCATCACTTCCACTCGCGGGAATCTTCATCACCACCATGAAATTCTTTGGCATCGCCGCCCTCGTTGCGGGTCTTCTTGCCCCTTCACTCGTTCTCAGTGCTCCTGCACCTGGCAACGAAGGAGTGGCTCTCCTCACTCCCGTTGATAAGAGACAGGACTTTCAAGCCGAAGGTTATGGAGGTGGCGGAGGCGGTGGTTGCAACTCCCCGACCAACCGGCAGTGTTGGTCTTCAGGATTCAGCATCAACACCGACTATGAACTCGGAACTCCTAATACCGGCAAGACCAGAAGGGTAAGTGAAGGCTCCATAGTACCGGTGCAGAGAACGAAATGACTGACACACACCTAGTACAAGCTCACCCTCACCGAGACTGATAACTGGACTGGCCCTGATGGTGTCAAGAAGGACAAGGTCATGATGGTCAACAACAAGATCATTGGACCTACCCTTGAGGCTGACTGGGGCGACTATCTTGAGATCACCGTCATCAACAAGCTGAAGTCGAACGGCACCTCGATCCACTGGCACGGCATGCACCAGCGCAACTCCAACATCCAGGACGGCGTCAACGGCGTGACCGAGTGCCCCATCCCACCCAACGGCGGCAGCAAAGTGTACCGCTGGCGGGCCACGCAGTACGGGACCTCGTGGTACCACTCGCATTTCTCAGCGCAGTACGGCAATGGCATTGTTGGGCCCATTGTCATCAACGGACCGGCCTCGGCCAACTACGACGTCGACCTCGGTCCTTTCCCGCTCACGGACTACTATTACGACACAGCCGACCGCCTCGTGCTGCTCACACAGCGTGCCGGCCCTCCGCCGAGCAACAATGTGCTCTTCAACGGCTTCGCCAAGCATCCGACCACAGGCGCTGGCCAGTATGCTACCGTGTCGCTCACCAAGGGCAAGAAGCATCGGCTGCGGCTCATCAACACGTCGGTCGAAAACCACTTCCAACTGTCGCTGGTGAATCACTCCATGACCATCATCTCGGCGGATCTGGTTCCCGTGCAGCCCTACAAGGTCGACAGCCTGCTGCTCGGCATCGGCCAGCGCTACGATGTCATCATCGACGCCAACCAGGCCGTTGGGAACTACTGGTTCAATGTGACGTTTGGTGGCAGCGGCCTCTGCGGTACCTCGGACAACAAGTACCCGGCCGCCATCTTCCGGTACCAGGGCGCGCCGAAGGCACTGCCGACCAACAAGGGCGTTGCGCCGCCCGACCACCAATGCCTGGACCTCAACGACCTGAAGCCCGTCCTGCAGCGCAGCCTCAACACCAACAGCATCGCACTCAACACTGGCAACACGATCCCCATCACGCTCGACGGGTTCGTCTGGCGGGTCAATGGAACGGCCATCAACATCAACTGGAACAAGCCGGTGCTGGAGTACGTGATGACGGGCAACACCAACTACTCGCAGTCCGACAACATTGTGCAGGTCGACGGCGTCAACCAATGGAAGTACTGGCTCATCGAGAACGACCCGGATGGTGCCTTTAGCCTGCCGCATCCCATCCACCTGCACGGACACGACTTTCTCATCCTCGGTCGGTCGCCCGACGTGACCGCCATTAGCCAGACGCGCTACGTGTTTGACCCGGCCGTGGACATGGCTCGGTTGAAGGGCAACAACCCGACGCGGCGCGACACGGCCATGCTCCCGGCCAAGGGCTGGCTGCTCATCGCGTTCCGCACCGACAATCCCGGCTCGTGGCTGATGCACTGCCACATTGCCTGGCACGTGTCGGGGGGTCTGTCGAACCAGTTCCTGGAGCGGGCGCAGGACCTCAGGAACAGTATCAGCCCTGCAGATAAGAAGGCCTTTAACGACAACTGTGACGCGTGGAGGGCGTACTTTCCTGACAATGCGCCGTTCCCCAAGGACGACTCTGGCCTGAGGAGCGGCGTCAAGGCGAGAGAGGTGAAGATGAAGTGGTAGAGCCTTGTTTTTTCAGGTTGGATATAAAGGATTGAATGTGGCCAAATATGGGTGTAGTATATATGGTCGCTGGTGTTGGTCGTGGTAATATGTAATCTCTTCTCCTTTTTCGTTTACTTGGCTTCACCGGCCTTTGGACTTGCAACACTTGTTGTTATTGCCCGATGGTCCAAGCAAAGATTTTGAGATTGAATAGTAGTCGGACGTACATAGAAGATAATACTAGTTGAGTAAACATGGCATGAGCAATCGTGTACGTGTACAATTGAGAAGTGATTTGTTTTTTCTTGCTTTCTCATGTTGATGTTTTTCTTCCTCGCGAATGGTCAGAGTTCCATTGCAGCGCCAAATCGGAGCCATAGAGTGAGTATGTAGTGGTGGTGGCCCACGTCCGGGTCGCATGGATGGTTCGTACGCATGTCGAGATGGATGGATGGCGTCGCCTCAAGTGGGCCGGCGACGAGTCGAGAAAGTCTCTCCATGACGGCGCATAGCGGTGGTGATCCGTTTCATTCCGCTTGTTCGATCCGCGGTCGCGTCTCTGCGTCTTCGAGAGCCAATAGATGGGAAATTGCAGAGGGCGGTGGATGCCGTGGCATGTTGCTCGACGTGAAGAAGGAAGAGAAAAGTCGACGTCGAGGGAAAAGAGAGTCGCCCGGGGTCAAGATCGATTGGCTACCTGAGGCGCTGGACGGGTTTAGCAGCTGTTAGTGTCCGCTGTGGATATTGTGTGGAACCCTTAACCCCGGCCTAACCCATGTTCAAGCTCTGACTCTAGCCCTAACCCCCCTGTGGCTGGTCCTCTGATTGGTTACACGAGCGCCTACTGAGTCCCGCTATGGAAACCTTGACAGTCCACCCATCGCTAGCTCCCGCATCCAGGAACCGGCTCGTCGTCGCAATCAAAATAGCAACGACAAAAAGAGAGGCTGGAAAGATCTCCCTTAATCCCACCCTTTTTTGACTTTCACCTGTCCGACTCACCACCCATGGGGCGACCTATCATTTTGCCGATCAGCCTAGGCGCGCTTGTTTCGAGAGCCGGGAATCGTGGATGGTCCAATACGATGATGATGATGACCATGGTCGATCGGGAACGGATGCAAGATATGTACATACAGACAGGCATGGGGAAAATGGATAGTCGCCATGTCTAGAACTTGGGCTTGTTGACATACATAAGATGGACGGTCATCTTCAACCTCATCTTTTGTTGCTTGTTGGTCTTCTACACCACAACACTTCAAACCTCCCTCAAGCCACACCTTTTCCTTGTGTCTTTTTTTTTTTCCTTTTTCTTATTCTTTTTTTCGTTGGGTTTCCTTTCCATCTATCATTTCCTTTTGGGTCTTGGGGATTCATCTCGGCATTCTGGAAGCATCTCGGTCTGAATCAATTTCCTTGCGACGACGAACTATCACCAAGCAACAACGCCAACAACGAGTCTCAGTGTTTCATCCTCTTCTTGTCAACAGTTGATCTGCTGGCGAGCATCTTCTAAGCATATCTGTCCCTTTAACGAGAAACGGTTCTTTTTTTTTTTTTTTTTTTTATCATTATCACCCCCCAACAAGTCTACAATGTTGCCCACTGTCAACACAAAGTTCCCGCCTCCCCCGACGGCACCAATCCCGATTAAGCCCCATTTCCCTCTTCGGACGGCACACAAGAAGCGACCATCACTAGAAATCATCACAGACTTCAACTCACATACAGCCAGCATGGGCTTTCAAGCCCCCCGACTGGGCGCTTTGGGCCTGACATTTTTGGTTATGAGGGCACTGCAGTTCGCTGCTCTGATCGCAGTGATCGGCTTGAGCGCAAACTTCATCGATGAGTTTTCTACAAAGTCACTGGCATCACCTTCAGAGCTTCTTGGTACTCTGGTAGTGGTATGTTTCGAATTCCTTGCACTCTGAGAGAGAACGAGATACTAACAGATACCTGATAATAGGCCGTCATTGCTGTCATCTATGTCGTTATCTCCTACGTCCTCTACTACGATGCCATGCTTCCATATCTCCTCAGTGGAATTCTTGACGGCTTACTGCTGGTCGCCTTCATCGTCGTCGCCTCACTACTCGGCAAGCCCCTTTCCCATCTCCAGTGCGCTCTCATGCCCCAGGATCCTGACGCCAACAACTTCTGGACATCTGTCCCATTCACAATCAAGTCCCAAGAAACGACGCATGACGATGGCCTATACTTCACCTTTGTGCACATGGACCAACCCACCTGCTTCGAGACCAAGGCCATCTGGGGTCTTTCCATCGCTCTATGCGTGCTCTTTGCCTTCAGCAGCATCGTCTGCGTTGGCCTCTGGCGTCGCGTCAGTCGCGAGACGGTTGTTGTCGGCAGCAGAAAGGACATTGAGGGTTAGGGGCGCGCGGGCGCTGGCTGGGGGGTTCGCGAGAAGAACTACTACTTGTACGGGTCGGAGTCAGAGTCGGACGTGTCCCTTTATGGCCACAAAACCACCACCACTGCTCCACCACAGTTCCCTCCTCCCCCGTTGGCGCCCATGCGTATCACCGGCGGCGCTCGCCGCAGCGACAACCAACAACAATACGACAGTGATCCTCAAGACATTCCGGTCCCCACCACCCGCGCAAGAGCCGGCCTGCCACAGAACCGTCGCAGTCTTTCCGGCTCCAGGTCCAGCATCGACTCCGACGCCTCCTCTACTCTCAGTCGGGGAGCGAGCCCCGAGCGCCAACTCCGCATCAGCGGTGGTCTAGCGCCTCCGCCGCCCGTCCGCCACTGCTGCAACGGTGGTCGCGTCGGGCTAGGCATTATGCCCACGATTCCCGGCTCACCCATCGACGCCACACAAGAGCGGACCATCATGGACGGCATCTCGCCCATCATGTCCCGCGCCCCCCAGGCTCTGCCTCTCCCTGTTGCCGACCCAGCGTTCCGCAGTACCAGCACCAACAACCTCACCCTGGCTGTCCCCTCCGCTACGCATGGTACTTATGGTCACCACAACCACGGCCAGGTAGGAGCTGGAAGAGCCACCCTCCATCCACCACTCACCATCATCACCGAGTTTCCCATTGTCTCCCCGTCTGGTTACTGGCCCACCAATAACATCTCCCCACAAGAATATAAGCGCGCCGCGCCGCCGCGCTCCCCGCTGTCCCCGCTCAGCCTGAGAGGGCTCGGCTCCTTCATGGCTCGTAGGGGTTGCAAGAGGAAGGAAGTCCCGCCGCCAATTATCGTGCATCCTAGTTCGCCTTCGCAGTTTGCGCATGTCGTTAATAGCGCAGGAACGGATAGTGTGGCGTTGGGAACTCCCGTTGATGGCTTAGGCCCGAGCCTGTCGCCGCCGCCGCCGCCACATCTGCAGACGCCAAACCCGCCCAAGAGGAGAAAGACAGTTTGGGGGATGATGGTGGAGGGATGGTGGGATTTGGGACTGTTGGAGAGGATGGGGAGTGGAAAGAGGAAGAATACGAAGTGAGAAGAAAGAAAATGGGGGGGGGGGGGGGGGGGGGGCGCAAGCCTAGTATGGATCAAACAGGATGGAAGAAGTCGCTAATTAATATGATACCCCGGAAGGGAAAAATGGGAGGAGGGCATGAAGGGAAGAGTACTATAATTTGGTGGATGACACAGGTACAAATCCCGTCCCTAACGATAGAAATGGAAAAGACGGGACTCACTGCACTGGACGTCTGTGGCGTCGCCGCACAGGACATGTTTGGCAGGGATGGAAACCACCCAAAAATGGGAAGCAACAAAACTTGTTCTGGTAATAAGTAGATAGACAGATACGCTCATAACGGATGCAAAACCACGGACAAATAATGATAACGATGTTCCACCGTATACTTTGAACTCCTTGGCTACCATTTTCGGGACATGTAATTCAAAGAATCTAGGTATCAGGTAATCTTCAACCCTTCAAATGGTTTCACCAGAAGCACGCTGGTGTCCCGCTCATCTGAATCAATGCGAGGGCAATTAATCCCGCGCGTTTTCTCTTTGGACTTTGGGAGTAAGACCGAAGCTCGAGGTCTACTACCAAGGGGGATACTCCCATCCGAACCAATTTTCACTTCAGTCACCTCACCCACATTTCCTACCGCGACCAGAAAGCAGGGTCACATATGGCAGGTGAATACCCGAGGTTGAGTACGGGTTTTAAATGTACAATGTAATCTGCAAAGATGTATGTATCTATTGGCTGGGGTACATCTATTCTAGTCGGCAGAGGGACACACCGTCCCGGCCTCACTTCACCCGAAAGAACGGCACTACCATAAACCGGAGGACTACAAACACCTTATCGCTCGCTTCCGTGGCGCAACTCACTCGCTCACAACAACTACAAATCACGTATTTCAATGTTCCAGTATAGAATGCAGCAATCGTGGTTGAAATTAAACAAACTAGGACTAGTTCCAGCCAAGTTCCCCGCCGTCCTAATTGTCTCGTACAACGCTTCTTTCGATCTCTCTCAATGTCTACTACCCTTCCTTTTCTTTTGCCGTTCCCGTTCCCCTTCTTGGCGTTGGTGGTCTTACACGCCTCTTCTAGTTCCCCTTTGAGTGAGAATCTAGTCGAGTCCAATTCTGATGATTTTGTCCTCCACCTTGTAGCCTTTTAGTTCTGGCCCTGCCTCTGCTTCTGGTTCTGGCCCTGCTTCTGGTTGTTCTGGGCCTGGTTCTGGTTCTGGCCCTGAGTGCCCCTGTTCTTTCCCTTTTGACCAGCAGCATTGCCAGCGTTGTTTCCGCCGTTGTTCTTGTTGCCACCATTGCCACCACGGTTACGACCGTTACCGGCACCGGCATTGTTACCGTTACCATTGCCAGCAGCACCCGTAGCAGTAGGAGCGGCAGCAGCACCACCACCCAGCACGACGGTGGGGGTCAGAACGGGGGCAGACTTGCTCACAAAGCCGGCGGCAAGAATGGCGCTGACGGCGGCGGCGTTCTGCTGCGCCTCGCTGGAGCCGGCCTTGCGGTTGGCTTCGGCGGCAATCGGCAGGGTGGCCACGCTGATCAAGCGCTCGTCCTCAATGTCCTTGATGTTCTTGAAGGTCTGGATGTTGTCGGGTGTGTTGAGGGTCGGCTTGACGTCGGTCTGTTGGACAGCGAAGCAGCCACCGAAGGGACCGGCGACGGCGTTGTTGCGGCAACGGACAGTGCAGATGTTGCCGGTGGAGGCTGTGTGGGAGGACAGATGTTAGTATCGGTTCATGGTGGAGGAAAAGAAGAAGAAAAGAAAAGAGGAGTGAGGGTAACATACCGCCAGTGCAGTGGAAGTTATCCGGCATCGTCACGGTGAAGTTGAACTCCTGGATCTTGTTCTGCGAGATGCCGTTGGCTCCGGGCACGTTGTTGGTGACAGTCAGGTTCTGGCTGATCTTGCCCGAGTTGGAGGTCTCGTCCAAATCGCAGACATAGGGACCGGCGCCGTCGGCGTTGACCTGGTGGATTGTCACGGTGATCTTGCTGCCCGCCTTGACCTTGGTTACGGCGCCCTCAGCCAGCGCGGCCTCGGTGTTTTCGGCAATGTCAATGTTGCCTGTAAGCTGCGTACGGCCGCAGTTGTTGACCAGGTTGGCCTTGATCTCGGCATCGCGCATGATGACCGAGTCAAGCTGGCAGGGGTTGATGGTGGTGCAGTTGCGGGCGATTTCAGGGTTGACTTTGAGAGGTTAGTTAGTTGGACTTGAACACACAGCACTTGATGGGTGGGTGGATAGCACATACCTCCGAATCCGACAGATGGAGGCGAACCAGACTCGCCCTGAGCGGCCAAAATCACACCATGTGCCTTGGCAAGAGCAACGAAAGCCGCCAGCGGGAAGGTAGTAGAGAAACGCATCTTGAAAGATAGTCGAAAAAAAAAGAGTATCGTAAAGAGAAGGACTTTGGTGAACAAAACACTGAGTGAACTAGATAAGATGGGGTGCAGCCTGCTGCGAAGAAAGAAAGAAGTGAAGAGAGAAACGATTGCTGGAACACACTGGATAGAGAGCTGTTGTGTGAAAGAATATCGACATTCATGATGGGGGAATCAACAGACTCTATATACTGCATCTGGGAACTCCAAGTGAGGAGTTCAGGGGGCGCCCAAGTGGAACTGTGTGCACATTCTGATGGCAGAACACACGGCCGATGTTTCTTGTTCATCCTGCGGCATGTCTTTCCGGTCAATCCTAGATCGACTCGGCTTCGTAAAAGCTTATTCACAGGCGAGGTAGATCCAAAACGGTTGAGGCTCAGGGGCACTGCAGGGATCTCGTTGACATATAGGCAGGGTTGGTTTACAGTTTTGGGGATGGTGAAAACGAGGAAGCCTAGAGCAGAGGGTGGTATGTAACTCCTTGGGGTTTCACTGACGTTATCCTGCATGGGCCTTATTTGGGCCCGATATATGCATTTTTGCATCTTTTGAGACCCGGGCTCGTACGAGTCAGGTGACATTGTAGGTAGGGGTAGCGACTTGGGACGAGCGAACCCGCAACTCGCCCAGTCTCATGTCGGTGGGTCCCTGTGACAGTTAACGGCTACCGTTGCCATCCTCGCGTGTACTAAAACGAATGTGACTGGATAAAACGTGGTTGTTTGAGATATCCTTTCCCCGTTGTTTGGGAAGTTGGATGCCTGTCGGCTCGTTGCCGAGGAGGTGTACACTACACCTGTCAACGCAACTAGTTCCGTCACTGCTCGAATTCTTCGCATCAGGGGGCTTTTTTCCTCTTGCATAACAGAACCGGGAATACGGGCGGCAGAAATCGTTTGCATCTAATGGGTCAGGTTCTCTGTGTTTGCAACAGGGGGGGCTTGCATTAACAGGGGACATTATAGTAAGGTCCCATCTGGATGGATGTCAATGCGAAATCTGGGCCGTCAGTGTTGCATAAAGCCGTTAGCGGTTAGCGGTCTTGGCCACTTGGAGGGCAAAAGGGGGGGTTTAGCATTAACAGGTACACTCAACACCCGTCAACAGCGCCACCCAACGATAAACAAAGGGAAAACATACCTCTACCTGCACCAATATGTTTTCCTTCACGCACCCATATTTCAGGTGCACGCAAGCAAATGTTTTGTTTTGAACACAGCGGGAAAATCCAGCAAACTTGGGATAATGCTAAAACCAAGTTCGGATATCCGTTCGGTAACTTTTTCCAAGTCATCATACCTTCAAAGCGCCGATGTCACCTCCAGGTTGCACTGATATCGCCGCTTTGACGTATAAAGCCGTTGGATATGGAACAGAATTTTATAAACCCTGTCAGTGCTACATTCTTGGTGTTGGTGTAGAAAAGGGGTGTTGCTGTTGGAACACTTCGGGCAAGTCGAGAATGTGGGTGCGCGGAGGAAAACATATGCGTGCAGGTAGGTTTCTGTTGAATGAACGTGATGATCGCCAAAAGATCATGGTATCCTTCGGAAAGGGCGAGAAGAAACCTCGGCCATTTCCTCGCATTGCCAGTGTTAGATGAGCAATTCGCATCTCTGAACTCCCAGCACCAGCCGTTGGGAGGTGAGGTCTACCCAACGATGAGCGTTTACGTCTTTGAGCCTAGGTCCTTGAATTGTCACTTGCGACACCGTTCACACATGACTGGTAGAAAGTTCTCCAGAAGTGAAAAGGTCATTGACTAGACAACGCGCTCATTGTACGCTGTTTCATCGTGCGAATGACATCACTAGAAGCAATGGGGCCGTGAATTTGTTGACACGCAGCTATAAGATGTTCAGCTCAACACTCGATCGACGAGTTGAATGGACAGCCACTTACAGTTTATCCAGGTATAGGGTACGGAGGACTGACCGTAGAACGAACACTCACGTTTGCCTCACCATCGTCTGCCGACGGGTCACTGTCTCTCAACCAAACCGTCGAATCACTAACTTTCCATCGTTCCCTCAAGTCCGGTAATCACGACTATCACGTTCCCAGTGCACTAAAACTGCATCACCGATCAGACCGTCAAATCGCAAAAGAAATGGGTTGCCTCTGCAGTATACTCGGCTTCATCTTTCTCCTCGACGGTGGTGGTGAGAGGGTGACCTGGCACATGTGGAAACCATCACCTGCGCACCTAGAAGAGGGACGCGAAGTAAGGGCTGCCCCAAGTGCAGATATTGGGGACGATGTCACCAAGAGCGGCGGAAGTGCCGGTGTTCAGCGTGCCCGGAACAAAGGACATAAGCAGGGTAGGGCAGAGATAATGAAGGTCCGGCGCACCCGGTCAATTACGTGTTAACAAGATGAGGCCATGACCGTGGAGTCAAGAGGTGGTGGAGATTGAAAAGCGGTTATGGGATAGTTCGAGGAGTAGTGGCGGAACGGGCCGAGGCTGTTGATGCATCGATGCGTTGATGCGTCGATACACCCTAGCTGGGAGGTATGGCGGTGCGAACACACGACTTGGTGGGTGTCTGGTACCGGTAGGCTGGAACAATATGAGCAACTTCGGGGCCAGAGGTCAGAGACAAGAGGCATAATACCAGTAAAGGAGAAAAGGGACCGAAAGGAGGCCACGAGGGTTCTCATCCGAACTTCCTCACTGCGCCATGCTCATTTCCCAGGCGTTGGTTGGTTCATCTGATCACTGCTTCCACATTTCGCGACCATGAACAATAGGAAGCTGCAATTTTCGCTGTCTTATCAGGTATATTGTTGGCCATTGGGTGTCGGTCGTCGAAGTGACGCACGGAAATTTGATTCTCGATTTGTATTCCCTGATGGAAAGGACGTTTTCCTTGTTTGTCTGGTGTTGGCTTTTCTTTTAACTTATTCCTGGAAAGGTGGACGCACGCAAAGAAAAAGTCGCCATTTCATGAAAAGGAATTGTCATCATCCACAACTGTCCGAGTTCACAACCTTGGATATCTTTACGCATCCAACCAGAAGCTGAAGACGTCGGCAGCAAGGCACAAGGCATGGTGAGTATCGACCTAACCAGATCCTGCATCATTTTCTCACAAGTCATTATTCATTGTGAGATCGTGCTGTCAACTTTCCCAGGCCAACTCCACCCTCGCCGATGACACCGGACCGGCAGGCATCCCGGCAGATGGCTTCTATCAGAAGTTCAAGATCCCCATGTTGATTCTTTTCAGCACCCTTGCCATTGCCATTCTGGGCTCGACCATCTGGCAATGCTGCTTTCGAGATAAGAAGAACAATGAGCTCGAACCCCAATCCCCCCTCCCCACCTTCATAGGACCCAGCGGCGTGAGAAGAGAGCACAACCACCTCCCTTACCCGCGCTCCCCCCACTACCATCCGTACGGTGGCAGCCCTGGATCTAGCACCAGAAGCAAAGTGCGAGGCAGGGAGGGAAGGGAAGTGACTCAAACAACTTCGGGATGGCTGCGTCATGCTGGTCCTGGCCGTCCTTTGTATCGGAACTGGCCACAGGCAGAAACTCGCGTGAGAATCAGGGTACCGCCGACTACGGGAACACCACTGGATGGAGCTTATGCCATGGCTTATATGCAGGAAGAAATGCGACAAGAACAGCCGCAGCAGCATCGAGAAGGAAGACAGCAAGAAGAGTACGAGATGGAGGCGCACGGATTGGAGACGAGGGAGGCAACGCCACCCCCGCCGTATAAGGCTAGAAGGTCCACGGATGACACGGTTGATCGTCCACCAGGTTGCTTGTGTGCCCATGTGTCGAAATCCAGTGGGAGCGAAGGCTTGAGGCACCTGTGAGGGAACCGCCGGCTCATTGCTAACGTTTGTCGAGAATTGACCGAATTCAGGCGTGGTGGTCGCGGTGGTTACAGTAAGTAGTACTCCCGTCGATGATGGTAAAGAATGGAAGCAGATAGGTCCCAAGTGGCGAAGAAACCCAATAACTGAGTCGTGTCCGTGGTCCCAACATTGTGCTCGTGAGTCCAAAGTCTTTCCAATCCATTCGCTGTCCTGTGGGTTTCACTCCTACCAATATTCGTGTCCAATCGCGGCTACCTAGATCAAACGTCCTCTTTTTCAGGGTATCAAGTGCTTCTCTCCTTCTCCGCCAACCGTGTAGCCTCTAGCCACTCCGCCTCTACCCTCTTCAATCGTCGTGCTGGCCTCCTCGTCGAAATCGGTGCCCAAACCGACCCATGTCCGCTGAGTACGAAGATACTCTGCACCGGGGCTAACGACGCCGTTGACTGATGCCAACTCCTGGGCTTTGGATCTAAGGGTCAAGGCGCTTGACCGTGGCGGCGCATCTGGCTTTTCAGTCGAATCCTCCTTCTTTGCACTCTTGGGTTTCGGCGCGGCCATGCGCATAGGCCTACTATGGCTGACAAGTTTTCCTGTCCTCCAGTCAAACTCGGGTGGTGCCGACTCCTCCTCGCTGTCCAATTCGCCATCACCAGAGGCTTGCTCGGCATCGGCTGTATCTTGCGTCTCGTTGTTCTCATTGTCCTCGGACTTCTTCTCCTCAGGCTTTTCGTCGATTGGTGGCTTGACAGCTTCGATGCCACCCCACCACTCGCCGGTCCAAACTCTTTCGTCGTCACTGGCGAGGGCGAGCTCGAGCTCAAAGGGCGTGATGACGGGCTTGTAGAAGCCAGCATCATCCTCAATGAGAGAACTCTCCCAGCAGCCGACCACAACCCAGCCGTCAATTTCAGCAAAGTTGGCAAGCTTGGCTGGATTGAGTTTTCCAACTACCATTGTGTAACTTTTCTTCCCGGCAGCAGCGATTTGCTTGCGGATGCTATCGATAGAGGAAAGGTAGTTGGAAACGGAGAGGGTGTTGACAAGTATGCCAATAATGCCAGCTGTCGTCAGGGAGAGGAGGCGGGCATAACGGCGACCAAGGAGGCGCTGAGCGGAGTACAGCGAGGAGCTGTCAGAAGAGGTCTGGAAAATGTAGAGGTTCTTAACTCTGGAGCACAGGGCGAGGAGGAGCGCGGTTGGCGGTTGGGAGATGTGGAAAATGGAGTAATCTCGGAGATCCAGGCCCGTCGAGGTTTCGCTGCCATGGCTGATTTCCACCTCTTTGCCTTGGACGTCCACGACTTTTCTGTTTGGTATCCTGCCCATGGGGTTGTGAACAATCTCGGTGGCTAGCAAGTTGACGTAGCCACGGCTTTGGAGTTCGGACAGTAATGACAGGACGTGAACTTGGTAGGTAACGTCGGCCATGAGGACCACCTTGGCCTCTTTATCTGGGTACTCCTTTTCGAAGTCGGCGAGGGCAGCATCGCGGTCAAGGATGTGCTTGGTAAAGACGTAGATTACGGGAAGACGGGAAGTAGGTGACAGGCACGAGCGGCCGTAGTGGACAACGACATCAGCGTTAACGTGTTCGGCGGCAATCTCGTCGACGCAGCAGGCGCTGTACGAGGTATCGGCGAGGACGTATACCCGACGGGCCTTGGGCTGTGATTCCACTGGGGCGGGAGCTTGTTTACCACATCCACACCCTGCACCGTTTTGTTGGACATGGCGACCGCATGGTCCGTTGTTCGTGGTGGAGGGCTCGGGGCAGGCTGTCGCCGTTGACTGCAAGTCTGCGGTAGACGTCGGCACTGTCGGTTGTGGAAGAGAAGCAAGCTCTGCTTCGAGGAGTTGGACAACTCTGGGGGCATCGCAAAGCATGTGGTCGGGAAACTGTAGGCCAATTCTCCTCCATCCTCCCTCTCCAACTTCCTTCGCTGTCCTTGTGATTTCGTAGATGTCGCGGAGTTCATCATCTGATCTCGCCTTGGTCTGGTCATCGGTCGGGACCACTGCGTATTCGAATAGGTGATCTTCCGGTGTGGACAGAACCGGTGCCGCGTTTAGTTCGCCAGCCATTGTATGTCGAGCGCAACTATACTGTTGTGAAAGAGGATGGCTGGTCGTTGACTCGAAACTGAACCTTTGTTTGTTGCTGGGGAGATGTTTCAATTTTGTTGTCGTCCCGCGTCACTGGCGACGAAGACTTGCGCTGGAATGTCGGGTGGGGTTGAAATTTTCTGGTCGGCGGCGGGGTCTGCTGAGAAATTACCCCGCGATTTGGGCGTCGCGGGTACCTGAGCCCTACGCATTCGGTGGGGTTTAGCGGAACAGTGGGCTGAGACAACAAGGAACGTTTTGGGGGGGTGGGGGAAAGGGGAAGGGGGGTGAATCGCAAATCCAAAGTAGAGGTACCTTCCATAGCCTGGGCTCTCTTTTCCATTTCCAATCCTCTTCCTCTCCTTTACCTTCTTTCTCAACACTTTCACCGATTGCAAAAAAGGGAACTATCTGCGCCGTTTATCATTTCGCATTAACATTCTTTAGCTATCCAATTGCTTTTTCTCTATATCCAATATCCAACACATGGCTAGAACTTGACCCGCGGGTTGAAGCCGACAGCGAGAACGCGGGCGGACGTATAACACGCCAGGGCGACGAAGTACGAAAGGCCCGAGAAAATGATGACGGCTCGCCAGCCCGTCTCAGCAGAGCCCATCTCCAACAGGGCGCCGCCGATGGGTACACTGCTGAGCGTACCGAAACTGGCCACCATCATGGCCGTCGAGTAGTATCGACCGAATTGGCGAGCGTCGCACAACTGTCCAAGGCATACGGGTACCAGGCCGAGGTTGCTTCCGCTGGCAAATCCAAAGAGTACAGCGTATCCGATCAGCACCGACTTGGACATGGCTGCCGGAAGCCACATGGCCAACACGAGAATCACACACAGCGAGATGGTGATGATGACCACGTTGAATCGTCCGATGCGATCAGCAAAGAGACCGGGGAGCACACGGCCCAACACAGACCCGGCGTTGAGGTACGATAGGAGAAGGTAGCTCTCGGTTGCGTCCTGGCCATGCGCCGCTGCGTACGAGACAATGTACGTCAAGGGCATGAACAGCCCCCATTCCATAAAGAAGATGCCGATTGCCGAAAAGGCATAGCGAAGGTCTCGGAATCCGGAAAAGTCGGGAAGAAGTGACGAGATCTTGGGTTTGTCTTGGCTGATCTTGGGCTTCAGACGAGTCTTGATAAAGAGGTTGGCGGGCACGGCGAGGCCGAGCATAATGAAGCCAAGAATGCGGCAACTCCAGGGGAACCCAATCGAGGGGAGGGTATATCGCAACATGATGGGGAACACGATACCGCCAATGCCGCCGGAAATGGTAGCAACACCGGTTGCCAGTCCACGGCGCACGTGGAAGAAGTGTGTGATCGACCCGTACGCAGGGCAGTTGAGAAGGGCGCCGCCCAAGCCACCGAGCACAGAGTATGTCAGCATAATCTGATAATAAGCTGTGTCCATCGTTAGCACCATATACCATCAATAACTAGGCGCGGAAGTGTGGTAAGGACTTACTCTTGCTGAGACTCAACAACATTAAGCTGAGGACAACCAGCAGACTACCCACGGCGACCAGGAGGCGTGCTCCATGCCGATCGAAAATGGGGCCGACTTGGATGCCCACAAAAAAGACGATAAAGAGGTAGAGCGAAAAGATCCAACCGATCTCGGATGCGCTGTGGTTGACAAGCTGATGTGTCGAAAAGTATGATTCAAAGACGGCCGCAGAGTTGATGAGTCCAAACACCGATATCATGGCACAAAAGGACCCGAACACTACCAGCCAGCCCTGCAGGCCACCTTCGGGAAAGTCAATTACGGTGGTCGCCGCAGATGGCTGCCGGGCAAGGCCGTCCTCGCACTTGACGCCCTCATCATCGGGGCTGTCGCTGAGGTCTTGGATGGTGTCGGATTCCGGTCCCGAGTCCCGCTCGTCTGAGTTGGCTTCACGCTTTGAGACGAACGATCCGCCCTTTTCCTGGTCGCTGGAATCGATAAAGGTCGGGAGTGTTGACAATGACTCGCCCGCGGGGGGCTGCTGATGGTTTTTTAGGCAGCTGTCCTCTGCATTAGGAGCTCGACCTAGGGTCATTTATCCGGGGTTTTTTCTTTTTTGGCGACAGATTATCTCGAGTCTCGAAAGATAGCTTCCAAGGTCGGGAGGGTTGGTCAGGGCTTTCTCCTGCTCGTTCAGGGACGAGGTCAACGAAAAAGATGATGCTCTTTTCCTAAATGAAGGAATGCACGTTCTTCAGCTACAGTCACTGTGAACAAGAAGTGGCGGTATCTGGCCCTTAAGTGGAGGGGCCGGGTGGAGGACAAAGCGGGCTCAGCAGGGATTCCACGCAAGAAGAAAAAAAACTTTCTTTGCAAATCGCCGGGGCGGGGTGGGCAGGGTGGCTGGACTCTGGAATGGCGGAGAGGCTTCTCGGTTTTCTCAAGACTTCTCTGGATTCTGGAAAACATCAAACATGAAACATCACTGGCACGGCTATGTGTCCGGTCCCACCAGTTGTTAGCGTGATGGCGGCTGTCGGAGGAGAACCAGTTTCTCTCACGTAACAAGCCGGCTTGGCAGACTCCCGGGCCAACAAGGTCTCCGAGAGCGTCCGGTGTGGATGTCGGAAAAGTATGGGGCCGTGGGGGCTAAAGCCGTTGGCCAGCGCCGGCGGTGACCCTTTGATTTTCAGGCACCGCTCCCGGAGCACGGCGTCCACCGCTTATGTATTTGTATGCGCCGTCATTCGCTGGCTTTGTGGCCGCAACCAATGTGTTCTTTGACTTTGTATCAGAGAAGTGTGCATGATCTTTTGCATTGGAAGAACATGACATCGATACCTAGAGGTATGCAAGTTCATGTGTACTTCCTGTCTCCATTCAGTTGCGTTCTAGCTGGCATCCCCAAATTTTCCCGATTCGGTTGGCTGTACGTACCCCCTTCACGTGCACCGGTGGAAGGCAGAGTAAGGGAAGTATTGTCTACACTGTCGTGACTGTCGCTCTGTACTTGTCCAAACAAGCTCATAATCACCGCGTCTCAGCGTTCTCCTGCCTCAATAATTCGTTCTGGACACGACAGCCGGAGCGTCCCTTTGTAGGCATCTGCGGTCATCACGGCAGCACCTGAGCTTTTCATTTGTCAGCAACGGCTTACGGCCTGCTGTGTAGTACACAGTCAAGTGGAAGCTAGGACAACTTGAAATCACTGTAGCATCGTACGGTACCTCGGTAGGTAGTGTGCGCCCTTGGTTGTCAGTCATCACCAACCCAAAGGATTTCACTACCTAACCCGTCAACGCTTAGTGCAGTGGTGATTGACATAAAGTTTGGTTGCGTACCTAGGTTTGTTGGTTCCCTTCCCTTTGTTTTTCTTTGTCCTCGCCCTTCAACGTTTCGTCAAGCTATGACAGCCAAAAAGAAAACAGCGCTATCAACTGGGAAATTTCCATTATGGACATACGGCACAGAAAAACCTGTTGTTGCTTGTTCTCCTTGTGCGGCTGTACCCTTGCTCTTGTGTAGGCAGCAGAGTTGATCATCGTCTTACTGTGTAAATGCCACCCTGCGCTACCACCAACCGGCATCATCTGGCGATCTTTGATGTTTGTATTTGTTTGAGATGCGGTAGCCAAGCTCACAGAGCCACACGGTAAAAAATCTGGGCCATCTGTCATCTCATGTTCCCAAAAAGATGGGTTACCACCGCACATCTTCCCGGCTGGGCACGCTGCCTCGCGCGTTTGACCTGCTGGCGCGAGTAGGACGGATCCTCATGTTGCAATTTCGACGACTTCGGCGCTCGGGGCGCAATGGACGCCGCATCAAGCTCCTTCTCAAAATCGCATTACCGCTCCTCGTCCTGTACCTTATCGATCTGCCAATTCATCTCTACCGCACGCGCGTTGCCCGCCCTCATCAGGATCTCGACCAGCCGTTCGCGACAGGATGTCTGGACCCGTCGGTTACCGCCGCGCAGCCGCGCGAGAACGCCACTTTTGTCATGTTGGCGCGAAATAGCGAGCTCGAAGGTGCGAAAGCAACGGTGGCAAATATCGAACGGCAGTTCAACCGGTGGTTTCACTACCCGATCATGTTCCTGAACGACGCTCCGTGGTCAGAGGAATTCAAGAATGTTCTAAGCAGGGCTGTGAGCAATGGGACTGAGGTCAGGTTCGAGGTCATTGAGAAGGGAAAGTGGGGGTTTCCTGAGGGGATGAATGAGAAGGAAAAGGCAAAGGCCAGATTGCAGATGAAGAAGCAGGGTGAGCGAGGTGTGGGCTATGGTGACATGGAGAGTTATCATCACATGTGTCGGTTTTACTCTGGGTACGTCTCCCGATGTGTTTGGTGTGATAGGTCCACATGCTAACCCGGATGTTTTCGCAAACAGCGAGTTCTACAATCTCGAAGCCCTGAGGCCGTACAAGTGGTACTGGCGCCTCGAGCCAAGTGTGCGCTACAGCTGTGCCCTCACATACGACCCTTTTGTGGAGATGGCTCGTCACAACAAGGTTTACGGCTGGACGATAGCGCTCTGGGAGGTTGGCGACACCTGCCCGTCCCTATTCAAGACCACCGACGACTACCGAATCGAAAAGGGTATTCCCCGGACGCCCACCTGGAACGCCTTGTTCCAAGTGATGTGGTTTCCCGCGCCCGTCCGTTGGTTTCTCGGCTTGTTTCGGGTACGGGAGCACGACAACTCCGGCAACAAGTGGAACATGTGCCACTACTGGAGCAACTTTGAGATCGCCAATCTGGACTTCTTCCGCGGCCGCGAGTACCAGGATTACTTCCGCTACCTGGACAGCAAAGGTGGCTTCTACTCGGAGCGCTGGGGCGATGCGCCGGTGCACACGCTCGCCGTGCACATGCTTCTCCCACCCGAGAAGATTCATCACTTTTCGGATATTGGCTACGAGCATGACACGCTGTGGCAGTGTCCGGGAAATGCACCGATGGACCAGCAACTTCTCGGTAACAAGGCGCTGCGTGACATGGGCAAGATGACACTGCCGTCGGAGGGAGGGACGGGATGTAGGTGCAAGTGCCAGGAGAATAAGAGGAGAAGGAATATCAATAGTCATTGCACGAGCGAGCTGACGAGACCAGTGGCGTTTCATAGGCCGAGCTGGTGGGAGAGGCATAATGGAGTCTATCACTATGCTGTAAATAACCCGAATAATCCGAGGAACTGAGTGAGGTTTGGGGAGATGGCAACAAGGGGTTAGAATTCCGCGCCAGTCGCTCTCAATTTTCTACAAACTTCATGTTTCCATTACAAGACAGGAAGCGCTTGCACGCTCTTGAAGCCTCACTCGATAGACAGCCCACGATTCATAATCGGCAAAGTCATCACAAAAGAAATCATGGCGTTGATGTTGGCATTCCGGGACATGCACCCCATACTCCACTCATAAAGAGCATGTCTACAGAGGTAAACATCAAGCGGGTTTAGCTCAGTTGGGAGAGCGTCAGACTGAAGTCCACTTCACTCATAAATCTGAAGGTCGTGTGTTCGATCCACACAAACCGCAAACTTTTTGTCGATTCCCGCTTCACGATCTAGATTCAAATATGTCCGAGGATCACAACTTTTTTGAAAGAGGGTTTTTCAACTTTTTCTTTTTGACAGAAAATGCTTCGGTGCTGAATGTGGCTGACTCCTCGTTTGGAAATAGCGTAATTAGAGGATTATAGACACCTCCATTGTCACTACTGTATTAATGAGGGTTCTCTTTGTCTACATACAGCACCTGGCGCCTGGGGTTGCTGGGGAAATCACTCGACTGCTTGCTCTCTTTCAGACCATTGTTAATTTTAAGCCCATTCTTTGTCTCCCAAAGTACGCGCTGGTTAGTAGATACTTTCAGAGTCCCGAAAAGTTGGTGTTTGAACCGAAAACCATCAACTTTCACTATTTCACAAACCTCCTCGTCAATACACCAAGCTCTTCATCACCGTGGCCTTTGCCGGTATCTGTACATACTTCACAACAACCACTATCTACAGGACATTCCTCGAAACAAGAATGTACCTCCTCACTATCCTCTTTTCCCTCCTCCTCCTCCTCCTCCCCGCCTGCTACGGAAACGCCCAATCTCTCGTCTCCGACCGCTTTTGTCCCTGGTGCTACTGGACGGTCCCGGACAGCATGGCCGGTCTTCCAGAGTTCAAATTCGACTCGTTCTGCCACGCCTTCGTTCACCAGCCCATTTCCGACCGCCCTGGATCATCCACACCGCAAAAGCCGATCCACGTCGCCATCATGAACAACAACTTCACCGAGCTTCTCTCCTACAGCCGGATGGGCTACGGCATGTCGGTGGACTTGCCGACGAGGCCGACGAGGTGCGCGCCCGGGGTGGCGACTTTCCACATGAACAGAAGGGAGGACCAGCAAGGGGGGGATGGATCATTGAGGCCGTGAGTCTTTTTCCATTTTTTTTTTTTTTTCTTTCTTCTTTGGTCTTCCCCAGGGTTTCCATCTTCTGTCTAACTTGGCGGATGTGTCACGATTGGAGCGGATGAAGATCAAGGTTCAAGGTTGCAAAAGGAGATGCTAATGGTCAAAACTGAAAACGTATGTAGTCCATCGTTCAGCTACTCTGTTCGTTCTGGCGAAAACTACACTCCTCCGCAGTTGTCCTCGGATAAGTTTCCAAGTGGATGGGCGGCTTATGCAGGGGCCAAGGGCGTGGCGCCGGGCGGGGAGTGGGTGGTGTATAGAAAACAGTTTCATTGTTGTGTAAATACGCAGGATAACATTGGGGGGACTGACTTTCCGTGATTGTGGTGAGGAAAAAAGGCTGTATTCTATCGTGTGATGGTCTTATCGTGGGGGGTTGGTGAGGTCAGAGGTAGCATTAGTTTAGAGCAACAACACAATTCGACCGTGTGTGCTATTATTAGAGCACACAACCTCTGCTGTGCGTTGGTCATCACATCGTGTGAGTGAAGTTGTAATTAGGCTTTGTCGTTCAGTGGATATCGGGGACAAAAGACTGCCTTGCTTGTCAGGATGCTGGCGCGGGAGGGGGGTTGAGAATCTTTGTATGCGTTACGATCGTCAAAGAAACATGCCAACAATGCCCGGGCGTGCCACAAGGTTAATTTAGTTGAATCAATTTACTGGACATCAGAGGGAACCAGGAAGTACAAACCATCATCAATGCCCCCCTTCCGTGGAGCCCTGAGAGACTTGCAGACAGCCTGTGTGTTTTCGCCGTTTCACTTTCTTCATCAAGGATTTCAGTGAGTTGAACCAACTTCATTCGTTCCTTCCCAACTTATCCATCCCTCACAACCATAATGTTGGCGTCGCTCTTTCCCTTCTTCTTCATCCTCATCTTCACCGGCTACTACCCCGCCCAGGCCTCCCCAGCACCCAATATTCTCCCCGGTCCAGGTGGTGCCTCCGACAAGTCCATTACTCCGAGCACAGGCAACTCTCAGATCCTTAACATTCGGGCAGACGCCAGCTGGAACGACTGGTCCTCCATCGGCCAGCGCTTTTGCCCCTGGTGCGAAGCCGGCGTCGACTCCAATGACGGCGCCAGCCCGGAAGACAAGGTGTGTAGGGTAGTCGTGCACCAGCCGATGGCCGCGGGCAGTCCGCCGAACACCCAGTTCGCTCACATCGCTATCCTCAACGCCCGGTACACGGAGCTACTGTCGTACAAGCGCATGGGGTGGAATCAGCAGGAGAATCTTTGGACGTCGGTGGGAGCGGGCTCTGAGGGTGCGATTGCCACGGTGTTTACTGGTCAAGAGGGTGTCAGGCTTCCGTAAGTTTTTCTTTTTATCCCTCATGAATGCAGAGTTAATGAGGCACTTGATGGGAGTATCCACCGGTATGGCAGAGGAGTCTCGTGAAGGAAATATATGGCTGTCCTTGAGAATTTGCTAACTTGAGACGGATGATGTTTGTGTCCAGACCAAAGATTATCTGGCAGAGAGACGGGAAACTCTCGGTGACCATTCTCCCACTGTACCCGGGCACGGAGGGGTCAGCGTGGCAAGTTGTGCAAAATGTTGCACCGAGACATGACTACCTCATTTTTCATACCTGGTTCTTCTGTGGGAAGTAAGTAGCTTCTATGGTAGCTATCGATGTAAGTGTAACACAAGGCTTGGTGCCTGGGTTTGGAGGGATTAGATGTCGGTCTTCCTTTGGTATACAAGGGGTAGATAGTATATAAAGTGTCACCAAACATCATGTTGCAGTCCTACATATCGAGCCAAGGTTCGAATATAGTTTTCGAGACTCGGGAGCTGGGGAACCATTGTGACCGTGTGACATGACGAGATGCACTTCCTAGTGATTGTTTACATTTGTGGATTCAGCAATGCATAGAATAGGGGTAATCCACTTTACATCTACACGATGGGCAGTAGAGTTGGGGAAACAGATAGGGACTGACCTTCGATTTTACCTCCGCCGCCCAAGGGAATGAGATGTGCGGTAGCGAATCCTCCCTTCGAAGATCAAAGAAAGATAAAAAAAGGGAAGGTCTTTCGCGAATCGAACACGGAAGTGACTGCAAACTGGAAAGAAGTTTACCTACACCTATCTAGGGAAGCCGTGCCCTATCTGACTGCCCAGCCGGAACATGGACGCCAGTTACAGCACTACTACAGAGCCAAACGACCCTATTTTAGGTAGTATCATACCATACCCGACCTAGATAGCCTTGAGAGTCCACTACAGCCCCACGCCTGCCGTTAAACCAAACTCGATTCATCTCCTCAACATAGGTCGTCCCTGAAATTCTGAAAAGCTGTGACCAAGATTTGCTCTGTAACATATGAAAGGTTCGGTTGATTCTCAGTCGTATACATCACTCTCCTACCATACCAAGCCAGTCATTGATCCAAACCTCATCCCTGATTCTGGCTTTCATAGCTCCAGCACAGCTTCACGGCCCTTCACCATCTCGTCACACTCTTCCAGAATTGTACCCAAGTGATCTATAACATCATCATACTGCTCTTCCACTTCGAAAAGAATCTTGATCAAAGATTCGCTCCGCTCCCAACACTTGAAACGCAACCCAACATGCGTCAATTCATCGAAAATGCTTTCATCTTGCCCAATCACCTTACGGAACCTGTACAACCAGTCTTGGTGTTTGATAATCCTCTCCCTAGCCTTGCGAATGGCCTCCTGGACTGCTTTCTCCTCCTTGACCATTTTCTCGACGACGTGGGTCAAATAGTCACCAAAAATCTCGTTGACCTCATGACTGGTCTTCGGATCAGCGGCATCGGGATCTTCAGCGATGCTACCCGCTTGCGTGGTCTCCTCTACTACCTGTTGCAAGCGCAGCTTGAGAGATTCTGGCATGGATGTTTCTTCATCTATAATCTCCGTGGAGCTCTCTTCAGCCGTGGTGGCCTCAAGAACACCAGCCGGCAGCTTTGCTTCGCTCAACTGAAGCTTGAGCCCCTCTACCAGCTCCACGTTGCTCTGAACTCCGTTGTGCAGCTCGCCCAGGGTAGAGATGACTGAGTTCTCGACAGCAGATAATCTTCCTCTGATAGAGTGGTCGAGGGCAGCAATCTTGTCGACAATCTGGGAGACTGCGGTTTCAGTGGTGGTGGACTGACCCGAAACAAAACCTTTCAGGACATTGTTCTCTGACATACAAGCAGCAAGTGCAGCATCCACCCTGCTCAAATGCAGCTTGGTCATCGCGAGCGATGAATTCAGAAGCGTCCTCTCCGTTTCGTTGGACGCATTCTCCTTCATTGCCAAGTGCAGCTTGTGCTTCGTGTCCTCGAGCTCTGTCTGTAGAGCAGCCTGTGCAGATGCGCGAGCACCAATCTCATTGTTTGCGTCTTGAAGTATCTGCTTGGTGACCTCAAGTTCCGAAGCCACAGTGGTACTCGTTTTCCGGGAATTGTGCAGCATGTTTTCCACCGCTAGCAATCGCTGCTTGGTGGTTTCGAGGCATTCGCCCTGAAGAGACATTTCTGCCCGGCTCTTGCACAACTCACGCTCCTTGGCCCCGAGCTCCGATTCGAGGGCGGCCCGTACATATTTAATGCCCTCGAGCTCCTTTTGGAGAGCATCCCGTGCATGTTGAGCAGAAATGGCCTCCTCAGTCGCCTTGTGCAGCTGGTGTCCAGTGGTATGGAAGGCCAAAACCATGTCGGTGTTGGCTTCTTTCATCGAAGCAATCTTTCTCTGGGCAGCCTCGAGGCTCTCGTTTGCCTTTTGCAGCTTTTCGGCTTCTTGCTCCCTTGCCTTCTCCTCCATTTCCACCTTGATCTTTGCCGTACGCAGCTCTTGCTTGACGCCTTCCAGCTCCGCTTTCAACTTCTCGTTCTCCGCTGTCAACATGGTGTTTTCCATCTTAGGCACGTTTGCCTCTGCCGACTTCGGAACGGTTTGTTGCTCGCTCGAGGTGCCCGCTACGGGAGCGTTCGTGTCGCTGGGAGGCTTGAGTTGCATTCTGTCCTCGATCTGTAAGCGACACCCTCGTGAGCTTGTGGCTGGGCTGTAAGAGAAAGGTGCGGGCATTTGGAATGCCTACTGCTTGTCGGAGGAATGCCGTCCGATGGGAAGAAAAGGAATGGGTTGAGCTGCGGCGTGCCTGACATGAATTGTACACGAGATCTGACGAGCTTCGCGGTTGGTATTTGGAGATGATGATTGTCCTATGAATGAAAAATAGTGAAAAGGACAGGAGAGGAAGGGGACAGAGGGAGCAGATAAAGAAGAGAGCAGATAAGTAGGTAGGAAGGGGAATTGGAGCAGCAACTTTTTGTTGATCGAAACCTGGAAATTATTGTACAAAAAACCGGGCAGATCACCCACATGCCGCGCGGCATGCATTATTTGTGGCTTTAACCTGTATACCGCAATACCGCAAAGCCTCGGGGCGTTGGGTCTTGGGATCCCAGGAAATCAGGCATAATTAGACATACATATGCTCGATTCTGTACATTTTATGCCCGCAAATTTTAGTGGGAGAGTCGTGTTGCCACCCCGGAGTACTGTAAATTCGATTCTTCAATATCCTGCCTTTTCACACCTATTTTTCAAGGCCGCTGGAGGGTGGGAACATTCAGAATCACCGTCCTGCAAGGAAATTTTGGTGGACATGAATGTTGCTGTATGCTTACAGATTATGCCTGGTTTCCTGGGATCCCGAAACCCAACGCCCCGAGTCTTTGCGGTATATGTGATATGCATTCCCACTGCAGCGGGAATGAACTTCTCCAAACACTGTGCCATTGCCTCCAAGTATGGTATGCAGGAGAAACCCATCTGACCGTTTTCCCAACGCCGTGGTTCCGTTAGTTTCTACTGCAAGGACTCGGGCGGATGAAGTTTAGGTTCCCAGGAAATCAAGCATAGAGGTAGTCTGTAAGCATACTGCTCGAATATGTGCATTTTATGCCCACTTAAATAAGAGGAGGAGACGTGTTGCTACCCCAAAGTACTGTAAGTTCGATTTTCCTGATGCCCTGCCCTTTTCCCCCCTTTCCTTATTTCCTGCGAGGGCGCTGGAGGGGGGGAATATTCATTATTAACATTTTGCAAACAATTTCTGATGGGCATGAATGTTGCAGTATGCTTACAGATTATGCCTGACTTCCAGGGAACCTAAAAACCATCCGCCTGATTCTTTGCGGTACCATGTTTTCTCCTTGGTTCTTGGATTGCTTACCTAGGTTTAGACGTGCGCGAAAGAATCTTTGGCTCGTGATAACCATCTCTCGGTGCCGCTGGCCCCAGGGAGTCCTAGTCTCAAATCTAATTTGGCTGAAGAGTGAGGTTTGTAACAACCCTTTTGATGCTTTGGCGATTATACCCTCCTTGAAATACACGAAGTATTTCAGGCCCTTGTCTTGAACCCTTCATTGCCAGTGATATATGTTCCACAATAAGCTGTGGCATCCGGATCATTTCACACCTCACAAGCCTACCAATCCTCGAGATCTGCCCTCCCATTTCGCTAACCGGTGAAACTAGCAGCCCCTCCAAACCAGGTATTTATAGCGGCCAGCGTAGGTTAAGGCCAACTTCGAAGCTGTACGAAGCTCAAGGACAGGCAGATATCCTACAAGCCGCTCCATAACCATCCACACAAAGATTCTGAGCCTCAACATCCATACAAAAATGCATCAAACAAATAAGCCAATATCGGCATATTGGTTGGTCTGTAAAGTAAGTTACTGGAGCCAATGAGTTGGAAGCCATTCTTGGTGCCGTTATGGAAAGGTTGAAAAGGAAGCAACGGGCTTTCAGTGGTAAGCTTGGTCGCCGCCCGAGAAGGGTCGGCCGAATTCTCTTCCATGGTAATTGAGGACCATCGAAAATTCGAAATGGAAAGTGCAGAGCCTAGATCGTGCCTGTCGCGATGCTCCGAAGTGTTGCGCGTGATAGAGGTGGGAAGCCGACGATAGATAAGGGCTTGATTCTGTGGAGGTGAGGGAAGAGCACTGAGAAACCAGGGCTGCGGCGAAAAGGTAAGTAGCGGAAGGGAGCCACGGGGAATGGAAAGCCCAGTGAATGGGAAAATTGCCACGGCAGGTTGTGTCTTAAGGTGCAAGATGACTAACACGTCCATGTGACCATGTGAACCTGTGAAGATGACACTCGGAGGAGGGTGAAATGATAAACCAGTCTTGGTGATATTTACGGAAGAACTTGAACCTCAGCGCACTCCGAGCCTAACATCCGCGCACCCTACGTCTTGACGCTATGGAGACCATTTCAGACCACGTTTTGACTTTATGCACGTAAACCAATATCTACAGTATTTACAAGCAGGCCTCTACCAACTGGGACCAGCTTTCCATTTATAGCATTTTGAAAGGCCGTGTTGTGGCCGTGTGTTTGCAGAAGCTGGTGCTGCGTATGCAATTCCGGATATCAAGCCAGGTAGAACCACGTACCGATAAGACAATCATAGCATAAACCTTCTCATGTACGAAGTTCTGTAGTGCTAAAGTTTGTGGCTGAAACAATCAAGTTTACACCTTGAAACTTGGGATGCGCGCAAGTTTGGCTTGGAGTGCGCTGAAGCTTTATCAAGTTTACAGAAGTTTTTCAATATCTGGGAGGTGCTGCCTTCCACTGCCATCCTCGTGCAGGTGCGGAGCTTGAATTACAGGTTTGAGTGATGGTGAGGGGGATAAGAAAAGTCTTGTAGCAGTGAGGGCGGCCAAAAGAAATTGTGAAATAGAACCTAAAGAGAAGGAGCGGAAAAGCAACCTGAACCTTCTCGCTCGGCCCAACCTTCCAACTGAATATCGAGAGAGTGTTACAGCAACGGAACCTATGATATAGGTAGATCGGTTGTGTGGCAAATCGTGAAACGTTGTATTTTCGCTTTCCCATCGAAATGACTCTGCATGCAATGTCGAAACCACCAACTCCAACCAAGTAACCGTGACATGTCCAAGCCAAGAGATGGGAGCGATAAACTACCTACCCACATAATTTCTAGACAGTCACAGGTCAACCTGCTTATTATCCTTGACCTCTTGGTGACATTTCCCGCTCCTCTCGTCCCTAGAATCCCAGCAATAAACTGACAACACACCCGTCATGTAGGATTACCATCATACATGGCCTTTATGCAATCGAACGCGATTCCAAGTCACGAATCTCGAGCACTAGATAGGGCATCATCTGCTTCTTCTTTTTACGGTGGTACAGTCGAAAAAATTGTCCGCATAAGATCAAATCCGTTTCTGTACGTAGTACATACACAGGTTAGACTAGTGAATCGAAGAGAAACAGTGTAAACCCAATTAAACCTACTCTGATCAAAGTTTGAACGCAGAGAGATATCGCTAACGTTGAACTGACCATGGACAGTGGCTAGACGCTGGAGATACTGCTCTCCGCAAGATCGGACTCAAGAGCGTCATACAGGGCGTTGAAGTGGGAAGTGATATCACAAGTCGCTTCATTCAGTTTGTTAACCTGCTCGTTGATTCTAGGATTGTTGCGCCTCTCTCTGTCATAAGTGAGAATAGAACTGACAGCAAGTGTGTTCTCCATGTGGCATTGGTGAATCTTGTCGAGGATGGATCTGTAGTTCGCGATCTTTGATCTGGGAATGGATCCGTTCAAGGCCGTGCCCATGTCTCGCAAAGCAGAATCCATGCCTCTCAAAGTAGCCTCGAGGCACTTCACTGAGTCCTCGTAAACCCTCAGCTGCATCTTGGCAGAACTTTCGTCATCCCTGTCAACGCCGAGAAGCTCTCTGACGTTTTTTAGATCTTCCTGTATGGTTTGGTTGTCGATCGCTAGCTCAGCAATCCTATTCTCCGCCTCGCGCAACTTCTCCTTGGTCTGATCAAGTTCAACACTCAGGTTCTGGAACTTGTAGGCGTCATCAACCAGCTTGTTAATGAAGTCACCCAGGTGCGGTAACGGGATTGAGGTGACGGCAGGGTGAGCAGGCACATCTGAAGCAGATACAAGTTGCCTTTGAGTGTTGTCGTTGTTGTAGTTGTTGTTGTTCGGCGTGTCGTCCATAGCAGGATCGTTGGGTGCCATTGCGATGTGGATTTACAAAGAGAGGGTTGTGCCTGTCGAGAGCGTGTCACATCAGTAAAGGTGTCATTCCTGTTGTTGTGAAACGCGGGATTGGTTTGCTTCACTTGAACTTACGAAATGCTCAGATGGTCGCCGCTAGCCCGGCTTCTAAGATCGCGTAGGCGTTCAAACCCGAGGATCAACTGAGAAAGGTGTTGATGGAGCTTGGGTTTTCGCAAGCTGGAATTGGTAAAGGACCGTGTCATGGGGATCCCCACACTCGCGTTTCTCTGAAGGTTAGATATTGCGTTTCTAAGTTACAGTAAAATACACCTCCCACATCAATTGAATTACAAAGATAAGAATTGTGAACGAGTGACCCACAAGCATGCCGACTTGTCGAGGTATCTTCATGCCTCTAACAACAGACCTCCTTTCCCAAGAACACATGCAAGATCATAGCATGAAAAGCTACTCCCCAAGCCTTACCTCCTCCACAATCTCTTCAAAGAGGTCCTTCAGCCCACTAACATCGACGCCAAGGGTGAATTGAGACTTGTCCAATATATACAGGTGAAGTTGCCCTGGCTTGTAGCCAGCAGATCTGCCCGCCGGTCCAGTGCGCCCGCTCTCAATTTCCTCCAGGGCTTGATGCACGAGTCTGTGATGTTCCTCCACTGCCCATTCGATATCCTTAAAGACCGCACGGAAGATGTCAATCTTGTCCTCGTCATCATTCTTGTGGTTGTCCTCTTCCTTTTCTTCGTACATGGCCTTGAGAGCCTCCGCCTCACGCTCAGCTGTACTCTTTTCGTTTCCAGACTCCTCGGCAGTTTCTGTATTAATTTGGTAGTCCATCGGGAGAACAATGACTTGGTAGGTCCTCAAACGTTTCTCAAGGGCGGCAATCTTCTTCTTTGCCTCATGCAGCTGCTCCTCGACCTCCTGAAGTTCATCTATCATCTCGTCGTTCTCGAGCTCAAGTTCGTGTTCATACTCGTCATCAGACATGACGGGAGTCGAGTCGGCGTTGAAAATGGGGAGAGAAGGTATGGTAGGTAGGTTCCACAGGAAGGGAAGAGTACCGGGTCGTGCTGGGCGCCGGTCGTCTTGAGGTTGTTCCATTGCCTTGCGTTTGGCGGGGCCTTGGTCAGCGTGGGTTTGTGAGGCTGGGGCCTGGTCGGGCTGCATTGGCTGCTTGGGGCGCTTGGGGGATTGTGCGGACATTGTGAGATGATTTGTGGCCTCGAGGTTGGGTTTGGTTGCTGACCTTGGGCTGGATGGACTCAATGCTGAGAAAATTGGAGTGTGAGAGGAATTGTGTTAGGGCTTGGCTTTTGGTGGGTGTGCTGGTCTTAGATTTGATGTTGAGAAGAAGAGAGAAGGCACAATTGACCATCCCTCACACTACCCTTGTGCCTTCCGTTCTAGATCAATGATGCCCCTGCCCACTTAGAATCAGGAGCAATGGCCACCTACTCTGTCTTCTTTCCTCGCCATAGGTATCTCTCTGTCTTCATCCAATCAAAAGACATCCACCACCACTTTCGTGGTCTCTGGTGATTACCTTCTTCGGATGGTTTAGCATTCTTGGCCTTAAGCAATTGTTTCTTGACATCGTCAAGCTCCTTGGCCCTGAATTTGTCCCTTTCGAGTAACAGCTGAAGTGACCCTTCCAAGTCATAAACACCGTTGATGGATATGAGTGATGTGCCGGCATTCTTGAATGACTCCTTGAATACCTTCTCGATACGGGCCATCTTGTTCTCTGCGCCGCATAGCTTTTCGATTTCACGTCGGTGCGCCGCCAAAGCCCACCTGAGATCTTCGTTAGCTTGCAGTAGTTCACTCATGCAGAAAACGTCCTCTTCTAGTGCTTCCAGACGCTGTTGAAGGTCGATGTTGTTGCTCACAGCCTGATCGCGATGCTGTTCAGTCAAATCTAGGGACGTTCGCAACCCCGCAACCTCCAATCTGAGAGCAGTCATGACTGAGTTGGCGTGCTCTTCCTCGTTATTTTCCGCCACTGCTGTTGTATATTCCTCTCCCAGCCTCCGGATGGTATCTTTGTGTTGCTGTAGCGCCTCATCTTGGCCAGCTGCTATCCTCTTTCTCTCCTTTTCAAGGGTAGCTCTAAGCTTTTGAATCACAGCCTCTTGGGTTTGACCAGCGGCCTTGAGTTTCATAATTTCCATTCTTGCAGATGCAAGCTCCAAGCTCATTTTCTGGAGCTTTTGTGCGTCCTCCGTTGCCTCAATAAGCATGGGCGCGTAGGATGTGGTATCGGAGTTACTGGTGGGACTGGCGCGATGTTGGTCAAAGTCAACCGTCGACGTGTCAGAGATATAGGAGTCCGAGTCCGAGTCCGAGTCGTCCATTGTGGCTGTGGATGTTGGGCGGTGTAGTAGTAGATAATAGGCAGATGGTACCAACACTGTCCCTGTAGTAACAAGTCGTGAATGGTAACGGAGGCTAAGTGTTGTGCGGTAGATGATGTGTGCGTATAATTCTAGTTTTGCCTCGAAGGAAGACGGGTTGTGTCTCGTCGATACTCAAAAGCGATGGAGAATGGGATGGAAATGAAAGCGTTGGAGACATGGTGTAAAGGCCACTGATTAAATACCATTTTGAAATATTTTCATCTGCTGTACTTCTTGTTCATCATGCACTGATGAATTTAAACGGATATCCGGCCGGGACAGGTACGGGCATAGGTTTTGCAGGCTCGTCGTCCCAAGGTGGCCTGCATTGCAGGATCCAAGGTTGCATATTTCGACACGTCCGGTTCGATGACTCCATTCACTGGGCTTGATCCCGCATGTACTGTCTCTCCCACTACTTTCTAGCCGACCAACGCCAACCTGCGCAACTGCATCTGAACCACCATTCTACCTTTGCTCGCGACTAAAGGCCTGGCAACAACCATACGGGGCTGATAACGCAACGAAATCAATCATCGATTCGATCTCGCCTACGAATTCCAATGTCCGCCGCCATCAATGCGGCTGAAGCCGCCCGAGAGCCCCTCGCCTCCATCAGCTTCCTTACCGACGGCTGCGTTAACTACATCGGCATCAACATTACCGTAACCCACGAGATCAAGTCCAGCGTGGCTGCTCGCCTGCTCCGCTACGAAGCTCCCTTACCGCACGCCACAAACCCCCTCCCAACTATCCCACAGGGCCGCTCCCGCTACGTCATCCCGCCTCCCTCGCGCCGTCGATCCAGTCGCTTCCTCCTCAAAGACAGCGAATTCCCTTCCCCATCCGTTCCTGCCAGTGGAATCGCCGCCGATGAGCCCGTGGTCTGGCTCCCTGCGCAACAAGTTTGGGTGAAGAACCACCAAGGCAACGTCGTGCCTCCGTCAAACAAGCTGCGCATTGGCCCCCAGAGCTTTGTCAGTCTGTTGGGTCGCGATGGAACATATGCGGCTGTTTGCCATGTTTCGCAGGTTGAGAGGGTGATTGCGTACATTGCTGATGTCAACTCGGCCAAGTCGGAGCGGTTGTGCGTTGCTACTGGAGGCGTGGACTTTCCCGAGGACGAGAGACGGTGGATATATGTGGTTTCTTGTGTAGGTGCGGCTACGGAGGAATGGGAGGGCTTCGATGGTGCCGGCTTTGAGCTAGGTGGTTGGGGAGATGAGAAGGTAGAGGACAAGGATGGCCGTTGCGTGGAGGATCGCCCCTGAAAATCTGGGTATTCTTTCTCTGCTACTCTTGCCTTTGAATCTAAAGCTAACAGCTGGTGCCTAGGATGACACGATCTGCGAGTCCTACAACTAAGCTACGACATGTTATGGCGATGACATCCTCCGAATCCCTCCCCATTGTCTCGACGAAGCGACACGCCAGGACGTTAGAATCCAAAGCTCGGTGTTAATCTTTCCAACCGATAACAGAACCATCCAACAATCCCGGTTGCTGATGAACACTGCCGTGCGTTCGCCTGGCCTTTTGTTACATTCTATAGGCGTACGACTGTAGCAGTCTTACAATCATCGTCAACAGCTCGAGCCTACGGGTACCAAGTCTCCGGATCACGACTTGTGAAGCCTGCGGTACATGACAGTGGGAGACTTGATGTGCCAGCCAATACACACATGCACCTATCTTGCCACCCTATCATCTACGTTATGCCAGTTTTCCACTGTGGCTGTCCACAATCTCCTTCTTCTGTGCTCTTCAAATTAGTGTCTCTTCTTCCAACAGCTTGAAGAGTATCTCTTGCGTTCAATTGTGAAAATGGACTACCTTCAGACGACAAATCATGTATTCCATCACCCGCGACAGATCCGATACATTCCATTTTTGCCTGTACATGTTCCGCTACAATCATCTAGCCCTTTGCCGTTCTGCTTGACACATGCTACAAATGTTCGGTTAATTTTCAGGGCAGACGCATGTTTACAAGTATGGCTGCTTAGAGGCACTCTACCATGCCGAGCTGTTAGCGCACCATTGCTAAAGGCACCAAATCTAGGGGCAGCACTATCGCGTACACATCCTGGTCCTCCCGGGTGTGGATCCCATGCGGCTCCGTTAGTGCTAGCCCACTGAAGCCCCCCTCCCCCAATGGAGGGCGCTGCACTATCACATAATTGTGCACAGGCTCGAGGTTTCGACTTCCTCACTTTTCTTTACCTACCTACTTTGTCCTGTTTTCAAGTTTGAAGATGACCTGAGAAACTCAGGAGTGCGTTAATGTATCAGTGGTCAAGCAAAAGGTATACTTGAGGGTGGGATGTGCGCCGGCCATTCTTTGTTGTTTGTTCGAAGGGGGCGTGCCTTCGTTCCGTCTTTCAGGTGGATTTTGCAACTGGCGCTGCGTTTGTGATGTTGTTGGCGCTTGGGTCGCCTGGAATTAGTGAAATATAATATAATCCCCCAACACTTACCCAATCAAAGCCCAAGGCCGTTCAGCAAAAGATTAGAGAAGAACAGATTCGCGGAAGTTTACATTTTGGTTGAGGATGCTGCTCTTTTCTTGTGCTGCAATAACACAATTCGGCAAAGACTAGGTGAAGACATCGAAGGTCTGGAGCGTGACATGTGGTACCCCGGCTTCAACAGAGCAACTGCCCGTGATGCGGCAGCCGTGAAAAAAGGGGTTTGTTTACGTACAATCGTTGCGTCAAGACAATTTGCCTTCATAAGTAACTGTTTCAGAGCTCTTTCACCAATAAGCGGGTTTAGCTCAGTTGGGAGAGCGTCAGACTGAAGTCCACTTCACTCATAAATCTGAAGGTCGTGTGTTCGATCCACACAAACCGCAATTCTTTGGTCTTTTTTTCTTTTTTGTTTTCTTCGTATCCTCTCTCTACCTTAACCGGGTGGGTGTGTTTCTAGGCGTCACGGATAGAGAACTACGATATGGTGGCGGGGAAACATAGCCGCAAATCTTCGATAAGGGCACGGAGAAGCCGTATCTGTTTGGGGTTGGCGGTGGAAGGAATTGACCGGCTGGACGGAAGGATCCAGGGTAAAACAGAATGCCGGTCAGAAAAAGCGTCTGCCCTTGCAGGTTACATTCATTGGACGGTGGCTGACCGCGGTCTGTTGGAAAACCTATACCTATTATCGATTCTACGCCTAACAAATGTACGAATCACTCACTTATTAGTACCACTGATAGAGTGATATGAAAGCGCTTCATAGGATCATCTTGAAAGCTGGGTCTCTGTCGTCCCCACAGCCTTCGTATTTCTCATACTTCCCAGCGGCTTTGTCCTTGTTGATCTTGTTGCACCAAAGCACATTGGCGAGGACCCTGCAAAGCGTTAGCAAGCGTGCTCTTCTACCCAACTGCGCAACCAGCACTTACGCAAACCAAGCATAAACCAGCAGACCAAGGAGGATCGTGTGCCCTCTGTGATACAAAGGTCCATCCTTTGGAGGATAAACAAAAGCTGAGATGAGCCTTGGTCAGTGGACGTACTTAGGTAGATAAGCTATATGCGAATACCTACTAGCCACGAAACCGCCTGCGTTTCCAATAACAAGCTGCAAAGCTGAAGTGGTAGCTCGCTTGTAGTGCCCAGCAGAGTTATTGGAGTTCCAAACGAGAATGCATGGTATGCTGCTGTACATGCCGATCGCCATCAAGGATGTCATAGCAAAGCGAACATGGGCAGAGGCGACATTGGCAATAACGGCGTAGCCAATGATGGCAATGGGAAGAGTGAAGAGCATCATGACGCCCCTGAGTTTGAGGCGATCAGAGGCAAATGCAATGAGAACTACACGTTTGCGTCAGTTGTCAGTTGGACAGGAACCAAAAGGATTTCTAGGGAACGGACCTGTGACTGGGGTGGCAACTGCGTATGGAATAACCGACCACAGTTGGGTCTGGTTGGGGTTGGATGTAATCTTCAGATCGTTGAGAATGGTTGGGAGCTGAGGCATGTCAGTAATCTTGGTCTTAAGAAGATGCAAAGCGCGGAGCGCACGGCAAACCTACAAAGAGACCAAAGCTGTAAAGCCCAGCCCCAAGGGAAAAATACGCGGTAGCTGTTAGCCAAACTTGAAGGTTGAAGACGCCACGGCGAACTTCAGACCACTTGAACCTCTCCTCTCGTTCCAAAACGGGACTGTAAGGCGAGACCAGTTAGCTGAGGATAACTACCCATACATTCTGTCCGCTGTCTTACTTGGTCCTATCCGCTGTATCTGCGCCAGTGTCTCCTTGAAGCCTCCTCGCAGCGTATTGCTTCTCCTCCTCGGTCAGGTAAGGAGCAGTGTTTATACTGGTTGGAAGCAGGAGATATGCCACCAGACCTGCCAGTATGGTCTGAGGACATCATAGTCTTAGTCTCGCCCTTCACACAGCCTGCACGGGTGTTAAGGGCTGAACTCACCATCAACCCTTCGATGATGAATATCCATCTCCAACCCTCCAATCCACCACGTGGACCAATAGCAGAAAGCCCCCGCGCTAAAAGACCACCGAACGCACCCGACAAAGAGGCAGCGGTGTAGAAGATACCCATTCGCAGCGCCATTTCCTGGCGGGTATATAGGCCGGAAAGATAGAGCACAATCCCTGGGAAGAGGCCGCCCTCGGCGATGCCCAACAGGGCTCGCACACCGATGAAGCTTCCAACGTTCTTTACGAATCCCAAGCACATGGTAATAACGCCCCAGACGATGGTGAGAAGGGGCAGCCAGATCTTGGGCGTGACTTTTTTGAGGAGCAGATTGCTCGGAAGTTCACTAGTGGAACGTTAGTGATGAGCCAGCATAGGCCTGAGCTAGTTGTAAGCGACGGTGGTGTACCTCGCAATGTATGTGGCATAGAAGACTGCCAGACCCTGCGTGTACTGGGTATTGGACAGGTTAAGATCCTTTTCGAGACCGATAATTCTGGCGTTGCCGACGTTGGCTCGATCGAGGAACGAGCAGAGAAAGAGGAGGGAAAGGACAGGCAGAACCCTGTGCTTTTGTCGGTTAATGATGTCTATGTCCCATGGAGGTCGTTAAAGATGGATAACAGACGGAATTAACTACCTTGTGTCCATCTTCCATAATATTCGTCTCGTCATGTTGCGATGGTACTCGCTGTCGGAGACGGTCCTCTCCATCTTCTCAATGGAGGGCCTCTCGCCCATCTTGTCGGCATTCGAAGCATGAGCGTTCGAAGTCATGTTTCGAAATGTGCGGTTCCGTCGTGTGTGAAGACTGTGAAGATGGCCAAGCTTGCCAAGCTGGAACAAGCTTTTATATCATCATCGAAGGGGTGACCGTAAAGTCGCGAACTTGCCGACCACCCTGATGCAGATCAATAAGCTAGGCCTAGATCGTACATAGTGATTGGTCTTGTATCACTTTGGAAGCTCCGAATCCGCTCCGAGTCTGGGGCAATGTTACGCCTAGAGGTCGATCGCTATTTACGATCATCGGTAACTTTCGTAAAAAAATGTCAGGATACTGAAAGATAACAACCTTTTTTTTCCTTCCTTACGCCGCAGACTGGTACACGACCCGTTGACATGGCGGTAATTACGGGAAATGGAAATTACTGCAAAAACGCGCCAACATTTTAGAGTTCAGCTGAGTGGACAGGGAGGGCGGTGTACGACCAACGTTAACTGTTTGTGGTACTGCAACCAAATATCTTTTGTGGAGCGGTGTTTAGGTCTTCTGCGTGTTCCAGGCTTAGGTCTGGTGTACACTAGTCGTACAGAACTTTGTTGAATTGTTGAGGCTGGGTAATGCTGAACGAAAATGGTCACTGTAGTAGGTAGGTGGTATTTTCAGGGTCGCAATGAAGTGAGGATGTTGCATTTCGTGGTAGAAGGTGGCGGCGGGAGTCGCCATGAACCAGTCGGCAGTCGTGATAAAAGCTGAACGGCTTCCGCGTCGACCACCGGCATTTGATTGTCGACGATTCAATTGAATGAGTGGGGAAAGCGTCTCGATGCTTATCAACGCAGGAAACCTCAAGAATAAACAAGATGTAGAAAGATAATCCGTTGTGCGCCCTTCCGTCATCACAGCTGCAGCAGCTCCCCGCAACCCTGGCCCGATCCCGGCAAGCGTTCAAAGCGTGGATTCCCGTCGCAACGAGGTTGTAGGTCGTGTCATGAATCGATGACCTGAACTGTCTCTCTCGCTATGTGCGACCAAGACGGACAAGTAGTGGTTGATGGAGGAAGCAAGTTGGGAACCCGACTGTGCTACTGCAGCGAAAAACAGCATCGAGAGTGATATCTCATCTAGACTGTGCACGACCTGTAGCGGCAGCGGGCGCACCTCGCGCTTCTTAGATCACACCGTGACATACGACTCGGCGTCGGCAAAGATGAAAGAACGGAAGTTGCTAAAGAGGGACGATTTTGTTGACTGATATCATAAGTTGGTTGGGGAGCTAATTACCCAATGTTAGGCTCAAGCCGTTCATTTTATTGGTTCCGGGTGTAGATCCGTGGCCTGGCGGGCATCTTGGCAGGATCCACTTTTGACTTCACCTCATGGCACCTTCCCGACGTACCCCGGGGACCCGAGTTTTGACCTCGACCTCCGTCCCTGTCACCGAAAACATGATCAGAGGGCGTAACGGAATTACAGAGGTGTAGTAATTATGCATATCTCAAACTCCTTCATGAAATGAACCGTTAACTTGAGCGCCTCTATGTGGAGAGCGGGGAGCCCAACTCCCCCGATAACATCCAGCCCCACACCGGCACCGCGCGGGATGCGCTACTCACTGCAGGTGGTCCAGGTCGGGCAGTTGGAGACTCTGGCGGACATCTCTCTTTGTCTTAAACAGTCGATGATTGTTGCACTCATCCGGATTCCCACGCCAAAGTCCAATAATCTCTCCGTCTCAGAATGATCCCGATCCCAGTCACAGGCATGATCACCGAGCACCGAGTCTGGGTCCGGGTCCAGCAGCCATTCCACTACCACCGCTGCCACCATCACCTCCACGCCACATGCCCGTTTTCTCACCGGCCAAACGGCTCAACGGAGCATCTGAACTTTCTAGCGTAATATCAGCCATGGGAGTCATCTCTACCGAACAAGATGCCGGCAAGCAATTGACGCCACCGACGATTGTTATGGCAGTTCCTTGGCTGCCTCCTTTTGAAGGAAGCCAGTAACTTAGGTCGTCAAAAAAAAAAAAAAAAAAAAAAAAAAAAAAAAAAAAAAAAGAAAAAAAAAAGAAAAAAGTCGCCGTCTTCCAGATATTGATGTCCATACCACACTTTGCGAGTTACAATTCTACCTCCGCGGGCTCTGGCTGGCCGCCTCCTCCAGTGCTACCTTGAGAGGCTACACTATCTTCGCTTTAGGTTGCCAGTTCTCTGATCTCAATCCCGATGCCAAGGCCTCGATGCTAGACTTATTTTGACCGTGCAAAGGCCTTCGCCAATCTCGATCTGCTTGACCTCCACAACATTTGATTGTCCAGGCCCTATTACTTATGACCGTCTTCTTGTTGGGTACACTCTTTCCTCAAAGATGTTGGGACTCTGTTGGTGTGGCATACCGACTTGCTCAGGGGCTCGGGCTCAACACAGAGGCGAGTTAGTCGACTCGTATTATCCAGTCCAGTCCGATCTGGAGAATGGGATACGGAGGAGAATATGGCATGGCTATGTCATTTTGGACTTGTAAGTTATTACTATCCATGGTAAAATTGGTTGTGGGTAAAGGACTAACCGCGGACTACTTCTGCAACAGGACTGTCAGCAGGACCTACGGGAGGCCCACCATGACTGCTCATCTTGATGAGCTGGCATTACCGTCCATTGCCGAACTTGATGACGGGGAGCCTGACCGCCAGAATGGACCTTCATCGGATGGTGTGCTAAAAAAGATGTACTTCTACCTTGAACATATCCAACAATGCCACACCATAGGAGAGGTTTTTGTTCACCGTCTACCAATCATGTTGAGGCCGACCAACTAAGTTACAAGACCCATCGAGTAATCATTAAGCTACCTACTCACGGCCTCGATGCCATCCACGCGCTCGATGCGAAGCTTTCACGATATGAGGGACGCGTGAATTCCATCATACCCTGGATCACGCTGAACGACCTCATGGCGGTGGGACAGGAGAGAAGACAAGTTATTGTCACCCAGCGGACAGCCGCAGGTTCAGAGACGAGGCGGAGGAAAACTGCTGGGCTCGCTCTGCCTTGTCGCTGCACAAGCGTCATGGAACGTTGAAGAATCACGCCGAGGAGTACCTTGGTGCTTGGATAAAACCAAGATCACCTGAAATGGATGCAACATAGAGGTCTGGTATCTGTCATCGTTGAGCGCCTACACCGCATGTCCGAATCCGAGAGAGGCTGCCAACTACCTCTGCGGGCGGGTCGATGGACATGCCTTGGGCGTGCGCTGGACGGATTCACGCGCTCACACTCGTCTGGTGATTATAAGGATCAAGACACAATCTTCGACACTGAGGAGTACAGGGAATTGTAGGCAGCTGCGCTTGCCATGGTCTCAACTCAATGCAGTTACCGCAGAGACTCGACAAATTGGCACAAGGCGAGCCCCAGCCCCCTTTGGGCTCCTGACATTTCAGCATAGGTACGGCTTGTGTGTATGTAGAGCCCACGAGATCTCTCTGCACCTGTGCGAGCGTACCTGTGCTGCGCCATGCAATGCAATGACAAATAAGTTGAGCGACACTTTTATTGCTGAGATATGCATTGTGCGCATGACAGTGTATGGGCGTTGCATTAGTTGTCACAGACATAAACTATCAGTCATGTTCGCCAGCCCACGATACTTTGACCTCCTAATCGTACTGAACTATCGTGGAAACACCGGGTAATTTTTCCTCTTCTTCAGAAGCCAAAACGTCATGAATATCCACTGAGTGTGTTTCGCTGTCATTGCACCTGCCACTCGCGACTACTGTCTAATTCCGACAAAGAAAGAGCGTCAAGTGTCTCCTCGCCACCGCAACAACCGTTCCGCTCTTTCCCTCTCATATTCCCTTCTTGTACCGAACCCTCAGCACTTTTCTTCCCCATCAACACCCAGCTGATCGCATCTTCTCCAAGCATCGACGCATATCCAAAGACAGTTCCACACATTTGACGCGGCTATAAGACTGAGAACATTGGTAAGGCCTCTTCCTCTTTCTTTGCTCGGTTCCGGACACTTTCTCCTTCATGGCGGCATGCCTGGTAAATTCTAGCCTAATCAATCTGTCTCCACCAGACTTTCGAACCAAGTGCGCCGAAAAATGAGTTCCCAGGCCGGCAATACCGACATTGAACGCCTCTTCGAAGAGGCATGGAGCAAAAGCTGGTATGCCCGCTACAGATGCGCTCGGAGGAACTTTGCAGGCACCTGGATGGGGCCCTGTGTTCCCGTCGAGATCGTTGGCCTTTGGAAACGTCGCGACTGGTTGGACCTACTCCTCGGAACCGGTGGAGTTCCGGCCGCCAATACGTATCGGGTCATCATCGAGGCCTTGAAGACCATGCCCGAATTCGAGAAGGAGATAACAGGCCACCTGTGTGGATCCGTTCCTATGGAAGATATGCCATTGCGCGACAGGCCGGATGGACCATATTGGGGCGCCACACGCGCTTGCAACGTACTACACAAGGATGTCCTCGATTTTGAGTCCCAGACTGTCAAGGACAGGACCTTGAGGTATGTTTCATGATTATCATCCCCTTAAGGATTAACAATCTCAGCTTGTCGTTAACGCCTATATGACTTTGAACAGTGGCCTCTACGTCGGTCCGTACGCTACCGCACCTGGGAGTGGCGCCGACACACTGAAGGACGAGCCTCCCGTTACAATCGTTCCGGTTCCCGAAGAACAATAGATCCCGCCGGGTCAACATTTTTTTCTCGCTCACGCGAACACCTAGCCCACCATCTACGGCTTAGTTGCCGAGCTAGTGAAGGTCAGCGAGCGGACAACAGGCAACCTCAACTCCAAGCAGTGGGAGCAGATGTTAAGCTTTGACCTAAAGTAAGGATTCGGCAACATCGGCGAATTTATGGTCTTGTCATGGAAATGAACAAAAACAAGGAAGCATGTCGTTCGTTATCAGGGCTACAAGAAGATCTTGGAATACTCTTCAAGACGCTGCCAGCATATTCAATAGAGCTCAAGGAAAGGTTACTTGTGTAAGGCATTGCGAGAGTGGTGCTCAGAGTTAGTTTTGAAATAAGAACTTCAATTTTACATGCCTCGTGACAAGCGACTTTTGACTGCATCTGAAGGTTGTTTTCTATGTGAATGGGACTGTAAGACGCTCGAACGGAAGAAATGTCCAGCGCTGAAAGTACCAAGATAACACACCCCGTCTGCCCCATGTACTTGGTGCTTATGGTCAAACGGGCAATACGGAGTCCCCGAGAACACTCGCTCATTCGGCATGATGCCCAACGTTCAGTAGCGTTCTAACTTGTCTTACTTCCAGGTGATTTTCTGTAGGTATCCCAACTGCAAAAGGATTATATGATTATTCTCTTCTTATTCCTTGAGTGAAGTGGAAATCCTGGACCCAACAGCCAGGAAGGACACGGGCATCGCGATTAGCGCTGAAGCTACAGTGGGCTTATCGCGCCGTCCAGTTGTTTGATATGGGCCCACTTTCTGCTGCAGGAGGCCCGGTGATGATCCACTTTCCATCCTTCATCAACGGGAACTTCCCCTCTTCGCGTTTGCATGTGCCTTCCCCTCTCCGGCTGGCTGTTCTTGAGGGGGTCAAGTACTTTTTTTCTTCCGTCAACATACTTTCTTACATTTACAATGGAACCGCCGTCCGGATTTCAGTCCTTTGGCCTTCCTCCCACTCTTTCCACCTACTGCAGGTGACCCTTCCCTTTCCATTTGCCCAATTAGTTCCATTCTCCCGCACAGCTTTCCGTTCCTGCTTTTGCAACATGTCCGACTACGACGATGACTACGACTACGACGACTACGACGACTATGATGACTATGATGACTACGGTGGCGGGTATGACGACGAAGGGTACGATTATGGCGAATACGATCACGCTGAATACGACCATCATGGAGCCCATGATCATGACGACCATGATTCTGGCGGGGATGCAGTAGCGGAGGAGTTGACGGCGGGTTTTGCCGTTATTGAAGAGCTGGGAGATCACCATGATCAGGGCAGCGCTGTCGATGGCAGTGACCATGAGGAACACACCGGTTATGCTGAGCTCGCTCATTCGGATGATGGCTACGAAAATGATGACGATCAAGTCCCTTACTATGGAGTGGTTTCTGGTGGTCCCAGCTATGTTCAAGACCACGATGACTATCCTACATCACGCTCCCAATCGCAATACACTCCCTCTGCTCCTCGTGGCTCCGCAGGCTACCCACCATTTGCAGCGAATGGTATGATGGTTGATCCCCAAAGCCACGGCGGGTCCTACAGCCAACACCCTTCATCAAGAAGCAGCGGCTATCAATACAATGGCAACCACCATGGTTCTGGCAGATGGAAGCACGGAGAACAATATCAACAACATTACAGTGCCGAATATCACAATTCTGTGACGAGACCGGCTTATAGGTAGGTTGGACTCACACATCCGAACTTGCCAATTTCTTAGTTGCCAGGAGTGCTTGCTTAGAAGGAGCCACACCACTCTAACAGTTGTCGACGATTCACAGGCTCGAAACCCAACCCAGCCACCAAACCCACTATTCACCTTCAGCTACATCCCACCGCGATGGGCACGGGGGAAGGCACAGGTCGGACTATGAATACTTGCGAGCGTGGAGCGGAAGGCACAACTTCATGGCTTCCTATGGCTTGAAACCCGAACCCGGTGGATATGAAGAGTCGCGGACTATCATGAACGCACTGAGAGACCGAGAAGCTCAAGGATATGGCAGCAGCTATCACTCAGCTTTGGCCACGGCGAATTCTCCGCGGGTCCATCCCGCTGCAGCAAGAAACGAGGCTACAAACTACTACCCGAGACACCATGGGTGGTGGTAAGATCAACGGCAGGACACGTCTTACCCTACCAACTGAGCAACAAAGTGATAGGCGGACTTGGAGGTGGAGGGAACTTAAGCATCAACACATTACATTTCAAGCCAGTTGAACTTTTACTGCTGCACTTGTCTGAGCCCTGGGTTGTGGTCTACCAACCTGGACGGTTTGCGCCACTGACCGAACTGCTCGTAGTTGCCTTCAAGTAACCGTAACGCAACATGGAAAGCATATATCGGCACCGGTAGCGCCTCCTTTCGGTTTGAAAATCACTCGGCATGTTTTGGATCGTCGATGCTCATACCCTGAAAGAAGCTGCAGTATTTCAGGCAGGCTGCGGTCCTCCGGTAACCACAAACTCCATGCAGTGGCAGGGACGATGCAAGTACTCCTGGTACGAAAGCTTTCATGGGAGACCAGCTCTTCTGCACTGAGGTATAAAGATTGGTCCCCCCTTGCAGAATTGCAGAATGGTTCTTCTTTGACTTTTCTCTTCATCAGTCCATTTAGCCATCATTTTTGATATCTGCCATCATCCACCTGGTATTTTCATATTTTGCACCGGTTACTTCACCAGCGATTGTTTTCCTCCTCTTTCACGACAGACAAACACTGCGTTTCTCCGTCGCATAGCAAAGAGGATTGGACCACTCAACAGTCCATACCTACTTCGACAGTCGGCCACGCCTTAGCAACAAGAGAGATGGTCAGACTTTGGTGATCGACCTCTGCCCCCACCGTCTCCATGATCCACGGGATTCTTCCTCGAATCCTCGAAATACACCCGACCTCTTCCTTTCGACTACTCGACCAGTTCTCTTCCAACATGACCCACCGGCCACTTCCCAGAGCATCGGATCCGGATGAATATATCCATGACTGTTCTTTAACTGATCCCCTTGATGGCTATGGAGCCATCATTTCTTTTGGGGATATATCAAAATGATGCAGAGTACGTCTTCAATTCCATTGCCTCCAGTTCAATGGCTAACACATTGATTTTCAGACACAAGGCGACATTCCCTTATACGCGATACCATCCGCTGTCACGAGACAGAGGACCCTGATCTTTGCCGCGTCATTGTTCTGCATTTTCAAAACGACCCCACCCACCAGGTGGTCTCTATGGCGGCTTCAATTATATGGCACAACCTATCCAATTATTATGTCACCCTCATTTTAAAGGAGTTTCCTTACACTTGTCTTCGTGCAAGGCTTTCAGGCTCCTTACCTGCCTGCAACAATGGAGGAGGTAAATTCTTCCTCTGGGTGTCGGTGCCCAATCACATTTGCTCTCGTGCCTTCGTCTGACAGTCTTACAACAGAAAGCATTGCCGTATCCAGCAGATCAGCCCACCCGCCCTACTCGCGTGGGAGAACCACCGAGACTACGCATGGATAGTAACCTTGTCAACTCCCAACTTCGGATTTCAGACAGGCAAGACCCGTAGAATCCCAGCCTTGAGGACGAGTTCATACCACCGGCCAAGGAAGAAGACATGGGTGGAATCATCCAGCGGTACGTCATTCCATCGGGGGCTTTTGCTTCCTCAGGCAAAAGGTTAAGATAAGAACATGTTTTTTGCTGGCATTGCAGGCCGATGAGGAGGCCATGCCAAGGTCTCAAGATCAAGGGCACTGCCCGTCGTGTCATTGGCATTCACAGCCGTAGAAAGTTCAAGAACTCCTACGAGTGCGAGTGCTCTTTCGCCCTCGGTAAGAATATTGGTATGAAGAATGAGCGTTGGGTCCCTATAATAACTGCTAACAACGCTTAGTTGCCCCGTAACGAGCTTCTCGCTTCTTACTAAAAGATGGTTACCGATGTCGATATAAAGGAGGCTCTCGCTTCCGGTTAATTCTGTCGCCTTGTCCGCAAGGAGATCGAGTTTTACTGCGCCAACTTCGGTCTCGATGCCGAGCTTGTTTCTCACTCCCGTATGCGCGGTCTCTGCGGTGGTCAGCGTGTCAAGGTCTGGCTGGCACTTGACGATCGAATCTTCGTCCGGTTATTTTTGGAAACTTGCGCCCACCAGCACCATTCTACTCATTGGCCTTCTCCTGGTATTTAGGTTGGGCTTGTTGGTACTTAGGGTGGGACTTCGTCTCAATCTGGAACAAGTTCCACATCCTCGTCCTCAGAACTGGTTTCTGAGCCACCAGAACGGGCATCGCTCCCCGAACGCCCAACTGCATCCTCCTTCCATCACTCCGACTCCAGGTGCGGGTCGCTCCCTTCTTCCGGCTCATCTTTCTTTGTCTTTCATCGCTGTCTTTCATCTAGAGGGTGCTTTTTCTCCCTCGTTCCATCTACTCGTTTTTCTTCCGCTTTTCTCTCCCTCGACCCTAGCTAACACGCTCGCCGATCAGGAGCAAATCGCGGGTGCCGTCAACACGACATCCAATACACGGCCTGCTCCGGCTGGCAAAGACCGTATACCGACCAGCGTATTAATGGAGAGCGCATCAAGTACGACCTGGTAAGCGTTACCGCATATATGGGCTCTAAAAGTCAAGAAGATAGGCCGAAGTAAAATGTGAGAACGGTATTTACACAAGGGAAGCATACACCACTGCAACAGACGCGGTAGAGCAGGCGAGGGTGTACCAGCCGGTCCTTCAGCCATCAAGATGTGGTTGAGTTCCTCCGCTCCAATGACGGTGAGGCGCTCCTAGTGGGATGGATATCGGTACCCTGGCCTTACTGACTTCATCACAGCAGACGAATGCCGTGTCATATGTGGTGAATTGGCAGATGGATTGGTCTTTATCAGTGTGGAGCATCTACTGCGGTGACTGCACCCACACATTGACTCACAGCGTTCAAACTACCACGGCCTTTGAGGCTAGCTGGAAGTTCTTCCAGTCCCATATATCCATCTTGTGGAATGAAAGGCCATCGATCTCCTTGCCCGACTTGCTATTTCTTTCTATGATACAGATAGAACGTGGCCCTTGTTCCTGGGATATAGCTAGTAACCAAGGGCATAAGGGCATGAGAGGGAGGCTCATCACAGTTACCGTTTCGTGTGGCCATTGACCCACAACATTCCCAGGAGAAGGAATTCAAGACAGGAACCTATTTGCTGGCAATGAGGATGCTCTCAAGGAGGCGGAGGAGGTGGAAGAAGAGCGACCATTGGGGTTCCCTCGTCACCAACTACTACTACCTTAACATTGCGGGAAATTACCGAATTGATTGATGCCTTTGAACAGGAGAACGGCAAGCAATACGATGGATTTGTAGATATGCAGTTTGCTGGTGCCGATTTGGGAAAACCCGGCTTTTCTAGTTTCGCAGATCAAAGTGATTTTATTGATGATTTTGTTGGCCGTTGTGTTTGTGTTATACCCCAGCCATTGGTGAATGTGTACAAGGAAGTACGGCTTACCTTGAGTTCTCGCAGCGTATGCATTAGGATGGACGGAATACCTCCCTATTTAGGATTGCTCGCCCTGCTTACTGCAGCCGTCGATAATGTTTGTCTCTCATCCTATGAACTAATTTATGGTAGGCGGGTTAGGGACACCAAGAAGGCACAATATGCGTACAGCGAGGAGGGGTATCCATGTAAGCAAGTTGAAGCCATCACCATCTCTTGGCTTTCTTGGCACGTCAATCGTCATGATCCATTATTCCCCACTTAGCTGACTGGTATACCTCTATATATCTCTGGGCATTCATCATCCGTTTATTCTCGGTTTGTCTTCCTTCAAACAAACAAATAGCGCTGTTACCAACACTTTGTCGTCACACGTGACCACCTCTTCCGTACCGTAGGAATGGTTCAACAATCCCGACTCAAAATCTGAGATACTTGTATTGTCCCATCACTTGTTTTCTTCTTCATCAACCACAACCATTTACATCCATACGATCATCGCTATTCACATACAGCCATACGATAGATCAACTCGGAGAGCACATCCCTCACCTCTCAGCCCTCGCATCACTTTACCAAACCAGATTCACTATACCCACTATGTCTGACGACGACTGGGATGACGACTATACTAGCGACGACGTGGAATATGAGGACGATCCGTATGAAGATGACGACGATGAAGACCAAGAAGAGGAGAATGTTGAGGAAGAGGACGTCAATCAAACCGAATATGTGGAGGAAATCGACGATGACAATGGCTCTGAGGCGGAAGGGTGAGTACTAACTACATGAGCATCATGATTCATCAGCTTCCTTTGCACCTCCATTTGCACAAAACAGTGCCATCTTACCACCCGCAAAGGAACCGTCAAGTCCTTTTCCTGCCACTAACGCCATGTCACATAAACAGAGAGGACGAGGACGAGGACGAGGACCAGGAGCGCGGTACGGGTTCAATGTCCAATTACGAATATTCCAAGCCTTGGGGAGGAACTGGAGGGTTCATGGACTCTTACGGGATCGAACGGACGCCGGAGGGATATCAAGAGGCAAATGAATTGGTGGATACGATGAGGGAGGCGGCGGAGAGGGAGGGTGATGGTGGGAGGAGGAAGTGAATAGGACGTACTGCTTGGCATGTCCTTTTTTGACCGGTCGAACTTTCTCTGCAGGGATTGCTTCGTTGCGAAATTTATGTTTCCCGGTTAAATACAAGAGATGCAAATGCCCGGGAAGGTGCAATGTGTGCGAAATGAGGAGTGGAGGAGGGGTATTTAGACTTGGATTCTTGGCCCATCCTATTCACTCTACCTACTTTGTCCTCATCAACCACAAATACTTGCATCAAAACTTCCTGCCCAGATCTCAGCCACCCCCCCCAAGTCATAATCGAGAGCGCATCCCTTTGCCACAATGTCTGGCGACGGCTGGGATGATGACTATGCCGACGACGGAGGCTACGATGATGGCTCGTTTGATGACTATTCTGACGACGGAGACGGAGGCGGCGGCGGCGGCTACGGCGAAGAAGACATAGGAACGACTGGGTATGTCGACGAGGTGGAAGTGGAGACACCGGGATATGCGGAGGTCGAGGAGGCCAACGATAACAACTACAGAGATGCTGAAGGGTAAGTTGGTACCTTTACAACCCTCGTCCCTGTATAACCCCTTTCACATTTCCAGACCAAGCCTCCGTCACCTTCTGCCACTAACACCAGGCCATATATCCAGTAACAGTGAAGGCGGCGACGATGATCACCCTAACTACAACGGAAGCTCCAATTCCAGCCAAGAGGACGAGAACCGTAATGATAATGATGACAATAATGAGCGTGGTGCTTCTATATCCAACTACGAATACATGAAACCCTGGGGAGGAACACATGGCTTCATGCGTTCCTACGGCATCACGCGGTCGCCGGAGGGATATGAGGAGGCGAGGGACTTGGTTGATACGATGAAGGAGATGGCGGAGAAGCATGAAAACCTCGAATAATGGGAAAATGTACGACGTGATGGATCGAGATGGGTCGTGGCACAGGGTGGTTAAGTAGCATGTGATATGTGGAAGTCGAGGTGCGCAGGTTCGAATTCAGCATGTACAGAAAGTCAGGTAGCTGTGCGTTGATATGCAAGCAAAGGTTCGGTTGATTGATGCAGTCCATCTGATCCATCGGTATCTGTCTGCATTGAGTTGCTTCCACTTGGCAGTGCGTAGGGTAGAGCGGGGATCGCATGAGAAGGTGCTTTTTGGGCTGTTCTTTGCGGTTTTATCATTCCATAGCGTGACTGGCCGGACCGACAGAAAGTCATGTTCCACCGCGAGGAGAACTTTCCAACTCTCTAGCTCATTCTTGGAATTATCGTATGGTGCAAGATGCGATATGAATCCAATGGCCTATCACTGATGTGTTTGTCATACAACCAAGTGGAGCTGGGCTTCCACTGCAGTTCATCACTTCAAGTTCCTCCAAACTCGTTTCTCCCTACGCTTTTAGCTCCAGGTTCCCCTTATCACCGCAAAAGCCTCAGTGCCGGACTTAACCGCGGCTCCTGCTAGCCATGGCAAAATAGTTCGAGGTTGCGCGAGCAACGAAGCCAGCACCGTGTTAGGATTTCTCCTTGACCAAAATACCATCCCCAGAGTAAAGGCCGTGAGAGTCAACAGTCGGGTCAGAGTGTGACTCTGTTTGACGATCTTGTTCTTTTCCGTTTGGCCCTGTGGTTAGGTATCCAACACATGTCGTTATTTGTCAGCCAAATCATCCGGGTCATCTCTCAACTGTCCATCAACTGCAAGACAAGACTTACACTAAGCCGCCAATCCTTCCACGACGGGAACAAACACGAGTACCAGTGGTGGGCTTGGGACCACGGGTAGGCCGAAGCGTTCCACGGTTTTTTGCCGTCCACGGTACGATTATACCAGCTACTGCATCCGGTGGAGAAAACGGTGTCCTGTAGGGCGTGGTGCAACGATTGGACGTACTTCTCTTCTGCTTTGCGCTTTACTTCGGCCACACTTCCCTTGCCTTTAAGAAGCGGCTCGATAATTCGCAGCGAGTAGTTGATGGCGTTTTCTACGGCGATGAGGAACGAGGTGTGGCCTGTTGCTACGTTTGGGCCTGGAGGGGGGGCATGTCAGTATGTAGGCACTGCTGACGAGACTTTCAAGAGTCCAGAAGGGACAACTTACCTCCCAGCAGGAAAAAGTTGGGAAATCCGCTGAGACTTTCACAGGTGTACGCCTCAGCGCCGCCAAACGACTTCCAATGTTCATGGATGGTCTCTCCTCCACGACCGACAATGTCGCAGTCGAGGAAGAACTCATTCGTCTTGAAGCCATTGGCCATCACGATGACATCGGCTTCAATGATTTCACCGCTCTTCATTTTCAGTCCATGCGGCAATATCTCCTCCACCGGCTCATCTGTCAGCCTCAAATGCTCGTTGTGCAGGCTCTTCAGGTATCCAGAGTCAAATATCCTCCTCTTACAGCCGACCTCAAAGTCCGGGATCAACAGGTCATGATACTTCTCCGGTGCCACCGCCCGCATGTAGGCTTCCACCTGCCTCTGCCTCTTCTTCCGGAACGCCTTGGCAAATTTCCCGTCCCAAAATCCAATGAATTCCACCTCCATCTTGATGAACATTAGGAACCGTTGGAGCTGCATCGTGCCGGGGACGTTGGCCAACGTGAACATTAGCCAGAGCGGCACCTTCTCGTCGATGGGCGGATACACCCAATGCTTGGACCGCACCACCTGCGTCAAGCTCGTTGTTTTGTCCACGATGGCCGGCACGATTTGCGACCCCGTGCATCCGTTGCCGAACACCACCACCCTTTTCCCCGTCAGATCGACATCATGCCGCCATCTCGCCGAGTGAAACATGGGTCCTTGGAATCTTTCCGCCCCTGGGATCTCCAACTCTCGTGGCTGATCAAAGAATCCAACAGCACCATATAAAAACTGGCACTCATGCACAATCACCTGGCCCGTCTGTTTCTGCCTAATCCACATCCTCCACCTTCCCTTGTCCTCGATCCAGACGCAGCGCTCCACCGCGGCGCCGAAGGTCATCTTGTCGACCAAGTCATACTTGCGCGCCACGCCGTTGATGTACTCCCACAGCTCGGCGTAGGTGGGCAGTACGCGCGTCCAGTTGGGATTACACTCGAACGAGAGCGAGTAGAGCGCCGAGGGTATGTCGCATGCGCAGCCCGGGTACTGGTTGATGTGCCAGGTGCCGCCGAGCTGGGACTGCTTCTCGAAGAAGCGGATGTCGGTGATGCCGTACCAGCGCTGCAGGGTGGCGCCGAGGGCGATGGCAGAGAAGCCGCTGCCGATGCAGGCAAATTGGGAGTAGGAGAAGACGGGGTCTTCGAGTGAGATTGAGGAGTGGGATGCCATTCTTGTGGTGTGTCCGGATGGTGACGTCACTCAACGGAGGGAGGAAAGGATCTGTGATCAAGTGGGATGAATTGTTTCAAGAGGAGAAAGAGGATGGATGGTTGAGATTTCAGAACCCTACCCACTCATTCACACCTTTAGGGTTCTATTGGAACGACAGGACAGAACTTGCAACAGGGAAACAGAACAAGCGGGAGACGGACGACGTGGCTATCTCGCGGGAGACAAGACCCAAGTTTATACGACGAGCCACGAGTCTGCCGTGCTTGGGAACACAGCAAGTGCATGCGCCTTTGGACCAAAAAGGCTATGATAAGTACAGTAATTCTCGGCACGCCGGGTAGCAAGCGATCGTAGGAACAAGGGGAGGAAATATGATGAATGATATATCATGCTCGTGTAACAACGCATACATATATCGGAGTCCGAAGGATCCAACAGGAAGCTTCAGAGCACCCCTCGCAATCCATGTCATTGCATTCCCTCATCGGGATTCCTTCGTTGCAGTGTCACCGGCCCGCTTTCGCATGCCTCGGTTCTTTGTTCTTGGAGGAGGGGGAAACGCCGATCCTGCCATCAACTCCAACACGATGGTGTCGGAATTCTCTTGTCCCGGCCGCTAGTGTACTAGTAATTGAGCGATTGCACTTTGCTTTTTCTTTTGGTGGTAAATCCACGGTACCCACGTCACACCGTAAAACCGCAGCAAAACACCAAGTGGCACGAGCCATGATATTTTCCATTCTCGTCTGGATGAAGCTTGGAATGGCCATAGTGCTCGAGCCTCCATCGCTTGACCTGGTGAACATGCTTGAGCTCCAGCTGGAGAGACGGTAAATTTGTGGTTGAAGCAGGTCAGATCAGCATCGTAATTTGCATTATGGGCTGAGATATCGGCAGGCGAACAAAGAGGTACGTCGTCGATGGTGAGACTTTTGCGTTTGATGGAGGTTGGCATTGTGTTCCCCTATTTGTCAATGCTAAGCTCACTGTGTGTTAGTGTTAGTGTCCCTATGTCATAGCCACCAACGATGTTAGTGACGGCAGCGAAAGAAGTGACGAACGGCGGCTCATTCTGAAGCCAAAGCATCAAGGAAAAAAAAAAAAAAAAAAGATCAATCACCACAAGCAATCGTGTCCTATTAAGCCTAGGTTGTGAAGGGTTGCCAACGTGTAGAACTTGGAAGTTTATGTCAACACCCTATTGCTCGCCATAATCAGAAGGCTAACAAACTCTGAGATAAAAAAGTAGTGGTCATAACAAATGCCGTGGGCCATCGCTCTGGGCGTTCAGGGTTCCCCACAGGAATTAGGTGACCGGGCAGGCACTGAGTGCGGGTCCATCGGGCCGTCGGGATCTACCTATGTAGTACCTAGGTAGATCTACGAACGGGCAGCGGGGCCTGCAGGCACTGCCGTGATGAACCTAGGTTAGTACCTGTATGCAGCTGAAAAATGGCCTGCTTCAACTCGCTCCCTCTGCCGATGTAGGTTAGTACCTCTACGGGCTACCTGACCAATCTCCATGCCACCCGAGCTGGGAGGCTTGTATAGGTAGGTAGGTACCTCTACGGGACAGGTTGTTTGTCAAACGTCTTCAAATCTTTGTGGATTTGTCCATTCGAAACCATTGCCAAAAACCGTTCCAAACTGCGTGGTAACTGCAGTCTTCAAGTCTTGATCATCATGGTGAGTATCTGCTTCTTTACGTTGCACTTTGGTGGTATGAAGCCATTCCAAGGGATCGTCCGAAAAGGGAAATAAAAGTCAACAGAAGCCATGGATCGCTGACGAACCACCCACCTCAACATGACAAATAGGCTCGCGCGCTTCGCAAAAACCCTTTGAGGCTGTGGGAAAGACTCTACCTTGTCGCCCATCTCCTCACCATCGGTACATTCACTTCTTACAAACCCTTTTACCTTTGGTTCCCTTTGTCATATGCTCCGACGAGCAAAACTCTGACACATACACTCCCTAGACACCGCCCATTTGCTTCTCAACGCCATCACTTGCGTCAGTCTCGCCATCCTGCGCGGGGTCCCCATCCGCCACTACTTCAGAGTCGCCTACAATCGCTTCGCCCTCGGCTGTCTCTCTCCGCGTGAGATCCAGCACATGAGTCCGTCGACCGCTACCATCTACCGTGAATGGATTGCCTCCACCCGCGCTGCTTCCCAGGCTCGCATCGACTCCGGCCACGCCACCCCCGATGACCAATACATCCTCGACCACCTCCACCGTCACGAAGAGATCCTTTCTGACGGCGAGTCTTCTATCCTCTGGGTCGGCGACCGCCGCCGCGCACTCAAGTTCGTCCTCTTCTTCCACGGCGGCGGCTTCATCGCGCCCATGCAGGATGGCCACCTCGAGTGGTGTCTGCGGTCTTACATCCAAGCCGGCCGGCTTCATCATCAACACGTTGCCGTCGCCGTGCTGCAGTACACCCTCGCCCCCGAGGCCCGCTATCCCGTCCAGCTCTCCCAGGCGGCTGACGCGCTGGCGTACCTGCTCAAGCTGGGCGTGCGGCCGCGCGATCTGGTCATTGGCGGCGACTCGGCCGGCGCTAATCTAGCGGCCCAGATCATGAGTCACTTGCTGCATCCACATCCGGACGCCAGGAAGATTGCACTCCCGCTGGAGGAGCGCATAGCTGGCGTGTTCGCTGTCAGTCCCTGGGTGAGCGCCAGGACGGATGATCAGAGCATGGCGGATAATGCGCTCATTGATATGCTGTCGCCCGTGATTATGGAGAAGGCGGTTCAGGAGCTCTTTGGTAACCACAACAAGTATAACGCCGAGAAGAAGAGGGGTCAGGGATGGGCTATGCCGGCGGATGTGGATACGGGCGCGTGGTACAAGGGGCTGGGAAAGTTTGTTGAGAGGGTTTATGTCACCTTGGGTACCCAGGAGGTGTTCAGGGACCAAAGTATTGTGTTCGCTGAGGGGATCAGGAGGACGAATCCGGATATAGACGTGGTTTTGGAGGAGGCGTATGATGAAGCGCACGATTTCATTCTATTGGAAGGCAAACGAAAGGAGGATGGGACCGCCACTAGACGGATGAGGAAGTGGATTGAAGGGGTGTTTTGGTGAGGCAAGCGTCTTTTGGGAAGAAGAGGGTACATACCTAGACTTGGGGGTGCAGAACAGAAAACAGAAAGCTGATGGAATGGGACCACAACGACAAGCAACTGGAGAAAAAATGGGACACAATACAACGAAACAGACAGTGCTCTGAGTGGTACATGTTGGATAGGCAGGAACTGATGCAATACAAGAGGAAAATCATAGGGATACCTACCTATTGGAGTGCATCTGCGAAAACCACAAAGGAAACGCGGTACGGACCCTGCTCCAACCGGTGAGTCTGGGGGAAAGCTCGGTCTTTAAACTACCCCTCAACCTAGGCACGTGCTAGGTTAGATGGTTTAGGGTTCACCAGCTTTCGGGACAGAGCCAACAGCTCTTCCATGCTGTCACTGGTTGGTGGAAAATGCTGACTGTATGGCCTGATACTTGACACTGCATTGGTCCACCGCACCGAGACCAACTACCTCTAGAGGAAGATACTGCGTTGTGATCAACTTCCCCAGCCACTAATATCCTACTCGTAAGTGAATGTGCATACCGCAAAAAGGGAGGGTTGGCACCCCTCCAGTTCAACATTTCAGTCGTTTGCCAGAATATCTCATTCAACAGCGCGAGTGGTGTCAGTCCCATAATCACAAATATAACGACTTTGGACTAGATTGCGTAGGGGGTGTGCAAGGAGCTGGTGGATGAGGGCGTAGGTGTTCGGGAAGGAAGGTAATGTGATGGCAAGATTCGTTGTGAGAGAACTGTGTTGGGACGTGGCGAGTTTGCGAGATGCAATCATAGGTACTTGGTGTAACGCTCCGTAATATATGAAGCGCCAGTGGTTTAGTGGTAAAATCCATCGTTGCCATCGATGGGCCCCGCGTTCGATTCGCGGCTGGCGCACTTCTCTTAATTCCTTTTTTGTTTCTCATTTTTCTTTTTTTTCCCTCTTTTAATTGCGCACTTCAAATCGAGTTCCTACCATTTCAATTTACATATATATTGCAGGGAAGGTGAGGTCCTGCTGAATATGATAAGAAGCTGCCCACTGTATGTTCATCTTGTCAACTACCCGCTTTATATTATTCGGAATGCCATTTTCTCTTATTCACACCACTCTTACCGTTCAGATCTCTTCCCTCAGACTCTTGTGACATTCCGGAGATCTGCGGCCCGGTCTTTTGCAACATCGATTCACGCCGGGTTTCTCCAGTCATGATGTCCTCAAACAGACACAAACTTGTCATCTTATTGTTCATTTCAGCAAACGCATAGTTACCGGGCCTTGCGGGGTACCTCTATACGCCCAAGGCACCTGAACTGCCGGGTGCTGCCCGGCGCCGAGGTGTATCTCGCCCACATCAACGAGCATGCCACAAAGGATCCTCTGCATTCACCGATATTCCGCCTATTTCTCACCCATCAACACTGACATCACCATTTCAGAGTTCGGCGCCGAGCTGGTATTAGCCACGGCAGCTACTCATGACTACAAGGATGGCATCTGGATCAAACATGCTGCGATAGAAGGCAATGCAATTGCATGTCTTCCAACGATCGAAGTCTGTCCTCCAACGGTTGTGGAAAGTAAACATGTCTGAAAACTTACTTTCACCCCTTCTGGAAAGGGGATATCGGGTGTACACGTCCCTGTCGAAGCCATCAGTTGTAGTGGAAACACGATGGCAATGAGATGCAGCGGTATGGCGGCGGTTGACAGCAATTAGAAACCCCTCGTCAGTCGTCACCGTCGATTCGCAACCTTAGGATGCTGATGGGCCAACGCTCCAGCATGGTCGGAACTCTGGACATCCTGCGTGTCGAGTCTGTCCTGGCCAGTCTTTGAGAATGGCCTAGGTAAAGACCTCTCACACAAGCCGTACGTCCAGAATCCGACATACAACAATATCAAAAACGTACGTTGCAGCACAACTAGAGTACCATCCCAAACGGAAAACGAACAGCTTGACTAAAAAGAAAGAATGAACATAGTCGAAGCCGTGGACCGAGAAAGTGGATGAAGTCTTCTTCTGGGCATATATATGATTTTCTGGTCAGCTGGTTGAAGCATTGACAATTGCATCAGGAGACTACATTTACAGAACAGTGAACGATGAGAAGCAAACACAAGTCAATGATTATCCATCGGGACTAACAGCCGGCTGATGTGCCACTGAATCATCATTCTCATCATATCTCACAATGACAGCTCGTGTGGGGGTACATTCTGTTGTTATGAGTTCCCTCCGAGTTATGGACTTTCCTTTCTCACTTGAACGTGTTTCTCTCCAAACGACTCCTGCCCGACAACCGAGAACAAGGACAGTTTACACGTCGACCTTCAATACCTATCCTCGACAAACCATACCGCGCATATCTTTGCAGAAAACTTTCAACCTTTGACGGACATACCTCTCATATATCACGGAATTTTTGCTCGCTTCCCGGGCCAGCAATGGATACCTCTCCTTCCATCTACCAGCAACCACCACGTCCAAACTTCTTCCGCACCCGGCTAGGAGAGTTTGTGTTGCTCTTCTTCGTCCTATACTACACGCTAGCTGCCACCATCCTGCTGTTCATTGTGCACGAGCGCCCAAGACAAGAGGAAATCTCAGCAAGTAAGACGTTGCTTCCACTCCTACCAACTCATTACCTCGAGCACTGTTTCAAGGACACAATGGCTAACAGAACCAAATTTCGACTCGTTTTGCAGCATCCAATATGTCTAGACGTACCCACCTTTCAAATTACACCCGCGACACCTGCTCCCTCCCCGAGCCGTGCCTCAAGCAAGAGCAAACGGCCACCCTCCTCGCCCTCTTTGCCGGTTTCGTTGCCGCTGACCAGTGGTACGCGCATCATTGGATCTTGGCTGTGCTGAAGAGCCAGGTGATCATTTTCATCGGGCTCGTATGCTTGGGGCTTTGGCTTCATGGAAAGGGGTTTCAGGTGTGGGGAGTAACGCTTCTTTCGTGGCTCATAAGGGGGTTGATTGCGCTGGCGGGGTGGTGGGCGGTGGATTTGACGTTTTGGATTGTAGGGGGGATTTACGGGACACCTGGGTGTCCGGTGGGTGATGATGGGGATCAAGATTAGTTCGTGAAACCCGGCTTGCAGAAAATGGAAGGAGGGATTCCTGTTGGACTTTTTATCTATTCGGGAGGGAGTGCGTGTCAGCTTGAGCCGATGCAAGCCATTAAATGCCTACCCATGTAGAGGTAATATTCGGATAGGTATCTGGGCATTGTTGGTTGTAGCTAGAGGGAGCTATTTGCCTATTACTACTTGATGGAAGGAAGACAGTTGTTGGGTAATAAGAACCAACTGCGATTCCCGTCTTATCCCGGATCGATTGATGACGAAGGCGCAGCGGATTGAGACTGAAGGCATTCCCAACGGTCGACTAACAAGGAAAGAATGAACCAACACCAATACATGGTTCCAACAAGCACTGACAGCGAATGGCGTTTCTCGCAGGATCCCAACTTCACATCAAAGCATAAAGGGACACGTGCGCGGGCAACTTGCGATTAAGACTGGCGCGGCTGCTGCAGCAAGCTTGAGCATGGTGTTTTCGGTAATCGCGGCCGGTATTGTCTCAGGGGTAAACGGAATGGACGGGAGTTTGGGGGTTGAAGTAATCTGTACGGGTGGGAAGTGGCTGAGAACTTTAACCGAAGGGGGAGTATGGATCTGGGTGGTTGTGTATCTCGTGAGGTAATTTGTTAGGCAATTTGAAGGAGTGCCCTGTTTGAAGAAGGGAGAAGATGAGATGGGAGTGGGGTTTCGGATGGGATTTGAGGTCTCTGGGGGTCAAGGTGAAAGTAGGAAGGGAGGGTAAAGTCAAAGCGAGTATCTACACCCTGGAGTGATGGTCACGGTCCGAGGCGAAGGTTGAGACCGTGTGTATCACGCATCTTGGCGGTAATGGCAAGGGGATAGATACTCATGCGCAGTCAATGATGTATCCATGTACCAGTTTCCTGTCATAGCAGGCACCAAGCAAGGACCCGACTTGAACATGATTCATTTCATTTTCCATCCTACCTGGATGGATGGAAACCAGTACGCATCAAGCAGTGGGCCCTCGAGTGAGTAACAACGTACGTCCCAAGATACCCTGAGAAGCAAAGGATGTGTCATCGAACACATGTAACAGTCACATCTGTGTCCGTACTACCTATACATACCAACTGACCATGTCTGTACAGTCCGTCCATAAATGGTGCTTTACCTTGCTGAATTCAGAATTCAGCAAATCATGCCAGCTGAGGACATCAGGACCTTCACCCATAAGTGCCCGCATATCAATTTTCCGCTTTCCAAGTGCAAAAGGAACACAACATGGAAACTCGACCACTTGTTGCCCACCCTTGGCGGCCTCGGCCATCTCGCCATTCGGTCTACATCCGGCGAGTCTGGACCATAGCATACCCTTTCTTTGTTGCCTTTTACGTTGTCACGATTGTTGTTCTCTCCCTATCCGGCGTTCGTGCCACAAGAGGACGTGTTTCTTTCCTAGATCCCGCCCCTGAACCCCAAGACAACCCAATCTCCTTGCAAGAAGCCTACCAAGCCCTTCAATGCCACACCCAACAACAAACAGCCACTCTCCTATCCTTGAGCCCTGCTGGGCTTCTCGGAGCTGACCAGGTCTACGCAGGGAACGTGATGCTGGGCTTGGGCAAGTTGCTCGTGGGCATCGCGGCGTTGCTCACTTGGATTGGATTTTGGGTCATCGACAAGGAGAAATATCCCTTGTGGGCGATGGACCTCTTGAGCTTGACTGGGGCCCTGACAGTGCTGTGGCTTTCGTGGGGAGGTTTGGATGCCGTGATGTGGGTTGTTGGAGGGGTTTATGGCACGTCTGGGTGTTTGAGTGCTTGAGGGACTGTTTGGGTGGTTTGTGTGTGCTCGGTGAGTCTGTGAATTGGCTGACGCGCATGGGGGAATCTTGAAGCTGCCCGTAGTTTAGGTTGGGAAAGGTAAATGCAAAGTAACCTAGAAATGGAAAGAGCGTTGAGTTCGGTCGGGAAAACTGGTAATCGGAAGTATATGCACGAAGCCAAAGGACAACCAAGCTAGGAATAGTTGATGCAGATTTCATGTTAGGATTCAGGTTCGTGAGCATGTCAAGGTGCGCAACACCCTGGAACATTTGTACACTCCGTCGAGTGGTCGTAGGTAAGAACGATTGGGACATGTCACAGCCACTACGTCACACCTCTAGAATCCTCCCATACCCACGCATCACATCGTTTTTGTGGTAGCTTTGAGCGCAGATTTAAGATAGTTACTGGATTGAAGAAGCCCCAATGGAGACCGACCGATGCGTTTCTCAATGATCGTAATCCATATCACAGTTTTGTGATGGCCTTTTCCAACCACAGCGAGCGGTATCGGACTGTCGGTGTCTGGTTTATTCTTACGACCGCTCGTCTGGCTGGTCATCTTCAGGGGTAGAGTAAACAGCACGCCCAAGTCGGTACAGGTACCCCTATACAGTTGGTGCGTGGTGCGTGGTATCACAGCTGCTTACTTTTTTCGCTATTACATCCCTGTTTCTCAATGCAATGGCTGGATGGCCGAGCGGTCTAAGGCGCTAGACTCAAGAACAACATTCTTCTGCACTTAGTGCGGTGTATTCTAGTATCGAAAGATGCGTGGGTTCGAATCCCACTCCAGTCACTGGATTTCTTTTTTTTCTTTTCATGCTTTCCACGACAGGGTGCTTCGGCTTTTCTTTGAATTGCCCGCGAAGGCATTGCGGTTGAGCACTACTGGTAGAGGTGCTTGGGAATGGTCTTGGAGCAGTAAAAGTAAGTAGAGTTCGTTCACAGTACAATTTCCAAACAGGAGATGTCGCTCGTGAGATGCTGTGGGAAGAAAGCTCTGTTTTTTTTTTTTTTTTCACCTAGTCTCCTTGCGGTATCTATTATGATGTGACTGCCAATTCGTGATATCTGACCCATTCCGTCCGTGCCCGTGTTTGAGTTGACGTCAGGACCTTTCTGCCCTCCCCTCCGCTGTCGAAAGCCCGTGAACCTCTGAGTCGCAGGGCAACCGTAATGGGATCCAGTGCGGTACCGCCCAGGCAAAGACTCGGGATATTGAAAACCACCGTCTTTCATACAATCTCTGGCAGGCATACATGAATGTTGCAGTATGCCTACAGATTATGCCTGATATCCTTGGAATCTCAAATCGGATGCCCCGATTCTGTTTAAGCGACTTCACCAGCCGCCAAGCCCCACAGAACATTCTCGTCTGGGTCGATGGGAATGGCCTATGCGCTTCCCATCGGAGTTTCTCGTCTATAAAAGCCCTACGTCGCAGTGACTTCTGCAAGAATGAAAACTTCCACTTTCGTCAAATTTCCAAACATGGGTTGAACCAAATGCGTTGTCTTCAATTGTGCTCCAGCTATTTGAGCTGGGTCTTTGTACGTTGAGGAACAAAAAATGACTTAACGTTGTTCTATGACTTGAACATCAAATGGTCCCGCGTGCGTTCCATTGCCCTGCGCACGAAGCACAGCATTTTGGATACGCTTATACATCTTATGCTCTGAGACGGTAGGTATATCTCCATTCTCGTCTGTCCAACCGGATTTGTTTGGGCCTTTCAACGCTTTTACTCCATGCGGTCTGGCTTTCATTCCATCCGAAGAGCAACCCGAGCCCCGATGATTCTCTGGATCAACCTCAGCGAGCAGTGTCCACCATTGCCCAGCAATCAAGGGGACTGATCTATGTTCACAAGGTGGCGGACATGCATGTATCGACGTGGTACGACAGTGATAGCTTGACCAAATTGTAGCGGCCTAATTCCCGTCGGGTTTCGGCACCGGGGGTGGTAACCGACGCGGAGGTTCCTGTGACGGCAAATTGCGATAGTAACCGGATATGTGGTGCGGGTGAGTGGGATAATTGTCCCAGCCGTTTCGCTGCCTCAAAAAGTTGTCCACTCGTGCCTCTCGGCCCAGACCGGCCGTTTCACCGTACCGTTGCTGCATCTCCATTTTGATAGCGGCATGCTTGTGCTCTTGGTCGTCCACAAGAGCGACGCCACTCTTTACACCTTGCGTGGCGTGCTGCCAGCTGCCCATTATGATGAAGAAAGAAACGATGGCGACGAAGGCGCCGTTGGATACGAAGATGGGTTTTTGCTGCTGGCCAGTACCCCCCGAGTCTTGCTCGTTACGCCATTGTTCCCAATCCTCCCAAGTAGCGTTCATGCTCGCATTACCGGGACGGCGGCGCCAGGCACTGTGATTCGAAGGGACGTCGTCATTGCGCAGGTCCGGCAGATCCGGATGGTTGCTCCAACCAAGATCGTAGAGATCGTACATGCGGCGCTTTTGCGGATTGCTTAGAATATCGTTGGCGGCGACAACGAGACGGTAGCGCTCAAGCTTGGTTGGGTGAGAAGTGTCGGGAAGCCCTGTATGGGGCTGTCGGTCCGGGTGGTAAAGCTTCACCAGCTCGTGGAAGCGCTTCTTGTTATACGGATCGTTCTTGCTTTGCCCAAGTATCTCGTAAGGTGTAGGGTTTTTGGACGCGGGCCAATGTAATGCGGGGTGGTCTGTCGGCAGCTCCGCGTCTGCTGCGCCGTGATGGACCGAAGCGAAGAGGCGGCGTGTTTGGAAAGCTCCCCGGGCGGTCGGAGCGATCGGACGAAGGTCAAAGAAGACGGGATCGACGGCCAGGGGACCACACGGCCGACTTGATGGTGTTGCTGCTGCCCGGACTAGCGTGAGCGAGCCATGGGACGCGCGGGCGGCATTGCCGGGGCAGCTGATGGCGGCAAATTTCAAGGAAAACATGGTGACGGCTTCAAGTAGTCATGTTGGAGCTCACTGGGGCTGATAGAGAGAGAATCATGGCTCCGGGCGCGATAATTAAGCGTGCCCAATAGTCGAGGAGCGGAAGTCGGGGGGAGATGGTCGATGAAGATGGTGTAGAAGTACGGTGTTTGGTGGAGGGTGGGAAATGGATGATGTCGATAGTATGCTGCTGGATATGCTGGGAGCTCATTCAGTGTCAGACATTGACACTGCCTGCCTGCAGCAGCACCTTTGAGTGTGGGGCAGATGTCTACCTATGTACCAAGAACTCTACTAGGTACCTTTCTGTAGGTACCTATGTACGTACTTGACACGCGCTGGGCAACAAAAGACGGCAGTGAAGAGACGGTCATTGTTGTGACCGTGCTGAAAAATATCCAACTGTACCTATTTCAATTGCCAAACTTTTTGTCAACTTGATCATTACTTTGTCCAGTTTCAGCTACCTACGCAACAAAGCCCAGAAGGACGTGGACGGGATGGTTGTCGCCCGGGATGCCCACCAGTGTGCCGTTAACGGATGACGTCGGTACATGGAATGTACACTATTTACTGGGCCACCACCAGAACTACCTATGTAGGTAGGTACACTAGGTACCCAACAGAGAGGCACAGGCAGCGGTCATATAAACCGAACTGAATTGCCCCTGAGTGGGACTGGAAGGCGATGCCACGGCCGAGTTGTGGCCTATGAGCGAGTGGCGCCCGCCGCCTTCCATTATGAGACGAGATACACAGCTAAGGTATGGAAATGGAGGCCCCGTCGGTCCCGTCGTGGTGGACACGATGCTGATTGTGCGATACACACAACTGGAAGGCGCAGGGTTCGGCAGGGAACATCAAGGGAACACGTGATCCGAGACCCTTTCGGCAGTGGAGTGAACAGTTTTGACGAGGAGAGGAGACTGGGACCTGGACGCTCCGGCTCCTTCGTCCACTCACTGAATCATTCACGACTTCCGCACCGCCTCGCCTCGTCCAAGCTTCGGAAGTTTCCCTCAAACTCTCTGCCTTTCTGCCCCGCTTTCAGACGACGACCACCACCACAACAACGACAACACTTCAATCACAACAGAACAGAAACACTTTGAGCTCGCTGCAAAGCACCATCTCGTCCCACTCTCCCAACGGCATCGCACACGTCGCTTTGATTCGCCCTCCATCTTTCACAGGCCAATCAAGTCCCAGCCGTCGACCCCGAATCGGATTCCTCGCAGCCTCTCCCACAAAAGACGTCGCTCGACTTCGAGGCATACAAGCAAAATCAAACGACAGAGAGGTGCTCCCACACGCAACGAGCCTCCTCGCGACTCCATCCCCATCCACCGCCGTCTCATCTTTGCCCCACGACCCCTCGCGACAGGCCTCCGCCTCCGCCTGCAAAGCTACACCTGTCTGGCTCTGCTCACCGCGAAGAACAAAAGAGAAAGAGGGGATTCCCACCCACAACTAGTGCTCCTCTCCCCTTGTCAACCACCTGTCCATTTCGCTACACATACCCGGAGACGAAGCCATCGCGCTCTACGCTCTCCTTTCTGCAACATCTGAGCCTCGACCACGGGTTCCACAACCGAACAACGACCATCTGTCAAAATGTCCGACCAACTAGCGGATCAGTTGAAAGCTACTAGTCTGAGGTAGGTTGACCGCCTTCCCTTCTGTCCCAAACCCAGCTGACATGCTTTTGATAGCTCAGGCCCGGAAGACTGGAAAAAGGGTCTTAACCTACCTGCCAGGGACACAAGACAACAGACCGAGGATGTTACAAACACGAGGGGTCTGGATTGGGAAGACTTCATACATGACAGGGATCTCTTGATGGGTATTTTCGAGGCTGGCTTCGAGAAACCGTCCCCAATTCAGGAAGAAGCGATCCCCGTTGCCCTCACCGGCCGAGACATCCTCGCACGCGCAAAGAACGGCACCGGCAAGACCGCCGCTTTCGTCATTCCCGCCCTCAACAAGATCAACCCCAAGGTCTCCAAGATCCAATGTCTTATTCTCGTTCCCACCCGTGAGCTTGCCATGCAGACATCCCAAGTCTGCAAGACGCTCGGCAAGCATCTCGGCATCAACGTCATGGTGACAACCGGCGGAACTGGCCTGCGGGACGACATTGTGCGTCTGCAGGACCCAGTCCACATCGTTGTCGGAACACCAGGTCGTATCCTCGATTTAGCTGGCAAGCAGGTGGCCGATCTCAGCGAGTGCCCAATGTTCATCATGGACGAGGCTGATAAGCTCCTGTCGCAAGAGTTTACCCCCGTCATTGAGCAGCTTCTGCAGTTCCACCCCAAGGATCGTCAGGTCATGCTGTTCTCCGCCACTTTCCCTCTTTCGGTCAAGGATTTCTCGGACAAGAACATGACTAGCCCGTACGAGATCAACCTCATGGACGAGCTTACCCTTCGCGGTATCACCCAGTACTATGCCTTTGTTGAGGAGAAGCAAAAGGTTCACTGCCTGAACACTCTGTTTTCCAAGCTTCAGATCAACCAGTCCATCATTTTCTGCAACTCTACCAACCGCGTCGAACTGCTTGCCAAAAAGATCACTGAGCTTGGATACTCGTGCTTCTATAGTCATGCCAAAATGGCTCAGCAGGCGAGAAACCGTGTCTTTCACGACTTCCGCAACGGTGTTTGCCGTAACCTGGTCTGCTCGGATCTCCTCACCCGTGGTATTGACATTCAGGCAGTGAACGTCGTCATCAACTTCGATTTCCCCAAGAACGCCGAGACGTACCTCCACCGTATTGGTCGTTCTGGTCGTTATGGTCACCTTGGTCTTGCTATTAACTTGATCAATTGGGATGACAGATTCAACCTTTACAACATTGAGCGCGATCTTGGTACTGAGATTCAGCCCATTCCTCAGACCATTGACAAGAGCCTCTACGTGTACGAGAACCCCGAATCTATTCCCCGGCCCATCTCGACCTTCAAGCCTATTGCCCAGCAGCCGCAACAGCAACTGCAGCAGTCGCAACGGCCTCAACAGTCTCAACAGCAACAGCATTTCTCAACACAGACACAGCCGTCGAACCAGCTCCCGCCTCAACAGGGTAACCAACAACTTGGCTTCAATCCCCAAGCTCAACAGCCTCACAGACCCATCCCCCAGGCCCAGGGTGATTGGCAAGGGCAAAACGGTCGCCAAAATGGCACAGGTGCTTCCAACAACCAACCCAGGCCCACCAACTACCAGAACAACCGCGGGCAGCCCGGTAGCAGTGGGCCCCGTGGAGGTCGTGGACGTGGTTTCCAGGGCCAGGGAGGCCGTCAGAACCAGAATTACGGTGGTCAGCGCGGCCCTCGTACCCAAGGTCAGGGCCAGCCTCAGGGTCCACTGTCTGCCCAGTAGGGTAAACTCTCCCCACAAGTTTTGGAAGGAGGGGGGTATGTGGTAATGTGAGGAGGTGTGCGACCATGCATCGCTTCCACGTTGTTTTGTCTTTGAATTGTACATATTAGTCGTTTTTCTCGGCCATCTTTTTCTGTTCCTCTCGAACTGTGAATGGGCTACCATGACGACAAGTGTTGTCCCTCGGCCTGTCAGGTTTGCGTTTACGCTACGGCAGACTCGTCTATCACACTCTTTACTGCCGACCCTGCAGACAGTCCAGCGACATCCACGGAACTGTACTACGACACATTCTCTGTTGGAGTTTGCCCCATTTCACGGATTTTTCGATACGGTCCAGCTTCATCCTGTTCGCATTCACGGCTTACAACGCTTCGGCATGGGCGCGGAGTCTTGGGTGGTGTGGGGTTTATACGTCTTTGTTGGCTTTACGGCGGAAGCGGCTTTATACTCCATGAGGCGCTGCGAGATTTCTTTTTCCTCCATTGAAACGCTTCCCATCCCTTATACCCAACACAGTTCCTCGTTCCTCGGATTTTCAGCCAATTTCACCTCTCGATCAAGACACACGCGAGCAGATCATTTCCTCATTATGGCTCTCACATTTTCATCAGTTGATGATCACACGACTCAATAACATTGGCTCTACAGGCGGACCAGGCTCTATGGATCACAAAAAGGTGCGCACGCAAAACTCAATACATGATGGATGGACAGGCTTTTTGTCATGGCTGGCGGTTTCACAGATATTTCGTGTTAACGGAGGAGGGGTCGTACTTTGTTCGTTTTGGTATGGTGGGCTTACATAAACGGCGTTATGGGTTCGGCTTTTGGGCGGCGCGTGGCGTGATGGTCAGCCAGGGTCAGCTGGCTACAGTTGATCATGGCTTGGAACGGATACCATTTTTAGGTTGCGCCTCGCTGGTTGTCGTTTTCTTTTTTTTTTTTTTTTTTTTTTTTTTTTCAAATATTCGGACGACTTGGGGAGGGGAGGGGAAGGTATGGATTTTGAGAGCGATCTGCAGTGTGCTAGATGCTTAGTGGCGGAAGGAGATATCGACATATAGATGGTTTGTCGACGCTTTACAGGACTGGCGGCTGTCTGCACCGTGAGGAGACGGGTGGCCAGGAACGGTTTGAACGCGACTTGGTCCTCACTCGAGCAAGAATTGGTGGTGACGTCGTAGGATGGTCACGCACTGGTTCTTTGCCGATGGAGGAAGCGAACTGGGAAGAAATGGTATAGGGGGAGGAAGGATTGGAGGATGTTTGAGGGGTGCGAGGATGAGACAAACCTTTATCTCGACAGTTGATGTTGACGGGAGCGGGGATTAGTGGATGTTCAGTCGTGGTTGGGAAGGCTGTGTTTGGTGTTCCTTCGGGAGGCTACATCCAGCGCCATCCACATAGCTGGCTGTCCAGCAAACCTTGTGGTATTGCAGCCATGACACTGCTGCACGACGCAAAATCCTTGCCGCAAGATTGTTCAGCCGTTGCTCATGCACCGCCTTTGCCCTTGTCCGGCCTGTGGTGTTTGTGGACGGCTGGCATCCGCCGTTGTGGAAAGGAGGCATTTTTGGATTTCATGAATCCGTATGCCACGACAACAATCATCACCTCCGGAGCCTTGGTACGAATCAGAAGTCATTGGCTCAGACACGACGTGCAAGAGCGCCACCGCTATACGAGGCATCGAGAGGCCGGATGAGAAAAAGTGACGAAAACCACGATAAAACAACTGGAAAGGAAGAAAAGAAGAGGGAGACAGCCCATCAGATGGACACGCTTTGATGATCATGGATATGCGACCTGGCGAGCATGGACCGTGACGAGTGGTGGACCTCTGGACAAGGTAGATAGCATAAGATGTGCACATGAATGTTATCTTTTGTCTCTCATCACAGTTCTCACGATTTTGTCGTCGTTTGTCGTTGTGGTTTTGAGTTGTTGGTTCAGCTTTTCAATAAGAACAAAAGGTGATGCGCGGGCTCGTGGGCCGAGAATGAGGAACAGCACCGGAGGCCCCGCTCGCCGATGGAACCCAAAAAAGAAAAGAAAAAAAAAAGGCAAGTTAAGTTGATCCGACCCAGGCTCGATCTGGGGACCTTCAGTGTGTTAGACTGACGTGATAACCAACTACACCATCGGACCGTTTTTGGTGAAATTGGGAATCAAAAGACGAGCTCAAGTACGCCACTGCCTCAATTCACCATCTTGAGGATACTTCCCATCGATAACCGGAAGGAACCGAGGTGATACAGACACACAAGAAGCTCCGTCTTCATGCCTGCCTCGACCATTTTCCTCTCTCTATTCGGATGGAGGTGAAAACTTGTGTCCCAAACTGCAACTGAAATCTACTCAGATTCCTCGATCCAGTTTGTGGATTCTAAATGATCTTTTGCGCGATCTTCCGCGATGTTTTGCAAGCTGGCCCCCGATGGTCTTGAGCCAATAAACTCATCCCAATCGCAACAGGAACTCGTCGTTTTCCATTTTGAGAAGCAGATCCGCACTGAGCACGACGCACACAAAGATTGAAGCCATGCTTTCCCCACAAGAATGCGGAGGTGTCGTCGCCATCATCTGTTCGGCGTCATGGCGCAAAAGAAGACCGCCGGTTGGCCAGTCTGCCTTTTTCTCATCAAGAGAGGATGCCGTGGGCTTGCATCCTCCACCCTACAAGAGGAACAAAGTGTTCATTCGATGCCTATCAGCACCATCTCATAACGGTAGGGGGCGGCGGGATGTTAGCCAGATGCGATGGGTAGGCATGGCAAACAAAGAACGATAGCCTCCGGTACGTGGACTTTGCCTTGGCCCGCAACGCCACCTGCCGGATCGCCATTCTCGCAAAGACCTTCCAGAACCACACGCATCGCGAAGCCCTCGGGGTTGGGAATTTCACTTGGTCTCTTGTCCATCGCGGTCTAGGCACTGTTCAGCTGTCGATTGTGAACACGTGGACCTAGCACTCCCGCCTCACCTCTGCCAGCTTCACAAGTCCAGTCAACAGACTACCTACACACTTCTTTGTCCGCCCTGCGAAGCCAAGCCACGTCTTTGTCCCCAACTCTGCTCTGACTACACGATCGAGTCTATGCAACCCATTCTCCTTCTTTCTCTCCAAAAAAGAACTGTCCCCAGTAGACACATTGCCCAGTTGACAAGTTGATCTTCTCCAATAGGTTTTCGGCAGGAAGCGAATGCACTACGACCCAATCCCCGGTTTGCAGTTTTCAAGACATTTCTCTACGAGAAGATTTCGAACTTTATTCCATCCGAGACACCATTTAGGACCATCAAACGATTCGGTGATATTCCGAATAGAGTAAAAGATCAGCCGGTTCCCACTATACCAGCAGTGGTCAATTACCAGTTAATACTCATCTAAGTGCTCGACTCGTTACAAGAACATGGAGGTGTCTCCGCCCGGTCACTGGCGTCCGGTGGCCAGCGCTGCCGGGCCTGTCGATTATATCCTTGCCGGCATATCGACAACATTGGGAACCATTACACGGTTTATACGATTCGTTCGAAACGCGCATGCGGACCTTTCTTCAGTTACCCGAGAGCTTTCCGACATGCGCCTCTTGCTCGAGCTGCTGCGTGACGAACACAGTATTCCTCTCTTATTGCAAGCGCAGGTACTGTCGCTTCTGGAGGATTGCGGTGATGTGCTTAGTCGGATAGAGGACACTCTAATGCAGTGTCGTGGCGCAGATGAATGGGTATCCTCAGGAAAGGCAAAAATGGCGGAGGTTCGAGGGGACATAGAGACGTATCGGCGTGCGCTGGGACTTGTCCTTGATGTTGTGAATTACCACCAGTAAGTTTTGCCTCGATTCGTTCCTTGAACTCTTCTTCACCCAAGATGCTCTTGAAACTGACCTTTTTTTTTGTTACCTAGGTCACCATCCAATTCCGACACCAGCGACTCCAAAACCTCCAAATGTCAGATAACGACCGAAGTAGACCGGTTACGCAGTCATACTGCGTTGACAGGCCTCGACAATAGGAACACTTGGCTCGACCCATACATGAATGCCGTAATCAACTGTCTGGAAACCACTGGTGCTGATTCCCCTGTCATCAAAGACGATAGCCCTCTCAAAGACCTGTGAGTAACATGAAACCCCTGCAATGTCATGCAAAGGCCCGCTAACAAAGCCGAGAAACAATGATTTAACGTCCACATCCGTCGTCGATGCTGTACAGAACGGCGTTAGATCTTTAAATCTCGAGCCACAGCAACCGGTGAAACCTCCTACCGCCCCAACACACCAAGAAGGAAGACAGGCATCGCCAAAGTATGTCATAAGTAGCGTCTACGAATCAGCGGGACCATGGTACCCAACCGGAGCCATAGCACTTCCCTTCTATAGTGGCGGGGAGAACCCTGCATCAACTGCTTCAAGTCCGAGGAGGGGACCCCAGCAAGTATCCCCACGACTTCGAAATACGCCTCTGGATCCCTCGAGACATGGCCCAACACCGGAGTCACCTACATCCATACAGTTCTCACAAAGAACACAGTCGCCCCCTTCTAGCCAACAAAGCTGGGACCAAGGTTCCCCATCCGCTAGATCCGAACCTTTTGAAGCCAGCTATGTACCACACCAGGATTTGCGAGCTGAACGATGGTCCGAACCTCAGCTCGTTCAAAATCCCGAACAATGTAGGTTTACATCCACACCGAAATCATCACATCAAATGCTACGCGCTGCAACAGCTGGATCTGTTGGAGCCTCAATATCGCCTGGTGAAAGCTCGCGAGGTTATTTCCCCAACCTCCAATCATCCGGGTCGTTGGGGTCAGGGACCTACCGCGTCGGTTACGATAGTGGGATCTTCCCATCAACGGCCGCGCCGTCTATAGCTACAATATCGACTGGCACATTCTCAGCAAGTACAAGTACCTTATCTCCGGCTACTATACACGACTCTCGCTGGTCACCAACGCCCCAGGCCCAAAGCCAACAATGGCCAGTAAACACCACTCCTCTCAGTCCTCCGGCTCAATGGTCCCACGGCAAGTCAACAGATCACGTCACTGCATATAAAAGCAGCACAGCAACTGTGCAATCACACCGAGCCGAGCTTGTGCCTGTACGACATCTTACCGACAAGGGCAAAGGCTCCGACGTCTTCCATATCGACTGTTCACCAACAGCCTCTTATTTGGCAACTAAGCATTCCAACAACACAGTCAAGATATGGGCAATTGCGAAGAACACGGTTCATAGCACTATCAAGATCAAATCGTACGTACCGGCGCAGCCTCGTTCAAGAGAGTACTTCGTCCGGAGCCATTCAATTTTATCCGAAGGTCCCACGTCCCCTTGCTTTATAGGCATCACTACGCATTTTGGGTTGGATCTCGAGATCTACAACTTCACCAAGGGAGGATCCGGAAAGAAGGTCCAGGTTATCGACGAAGCGCACCGTTGGGCTGCCAGCCACAAACTTGACAACAGTTACGCCCCCCTTGTGATATACCGGCCCGGGGCTGACCGGATCGATCGGTACTTTCTATCACGTAACCCGGGCGCTAAGAAGCCCTTCTGGGAAGATGCAAGCAGCTGCATTGATCTGACAAAGGCTGATCTTCCTTTCCTTCCCAAGTATCCCGAGCTAGCCTTCTCCAACGACTCACCCTTCCTGATAGCTGCCGCAGGCCCCAGACCTGGCGACCCGCCCAGGGACATCAACTCAACCATCCTCCTCGTGGCCTGGCATCTTACTCCAGTCCAAGAAGCCAAACTTCAAGCTCGTAGTCCCGTGAACAGCATCCATTCGCACATCCAAGAGTCCGGCGATCCGAAACGACACAAAGCCTACCGCTTCTGCGCGCCCGCTTACACGCAACTACAAACGGCTCTCCCCTCCGTTCTCGTCTCCCACGGCAGCGTAACCGTCTCCATCTGGATTCCCGCCAGCCACGTCAACATCCCGCTCCCCGGCGGCAAGTTCAGACAAACGCGAGTTCCCACGCCCGAGCGCTTCGTCCTGGTATGGGACATGCCGACTAACACGACCAGACTCATTCCCATCCCCAACGTGCAGGCGTGTGTGTCGCCAGACTGCCGGCTTGTGGCGTACTGCGATCCCGAGATGCAGAAGTTTGTCATCCTCGACGTGGCGACGGCGGAGGAGGTTTGGAAGTGGCCGGATGCGGCAAAGGTGAGCGGGTTTGCGAGCTTTGGGCAGTTTGAGGCTATCAAAAAGATTACGGTGTTTGAGTTTAGTCCGGATGGGAAGTGGTTGATTGTGGGCGATGCGAGTGGGGCGCTGGGCGTGTATGAGGTCAGGGACTTGGGGACGAGGTTTGAGTTGCTGGATCACAGCTCGCTAAAGGGAGTCTCGGAGCTTGGAGGGAAAGGGGGGCCTCCGAAAGGGAATGTTGCGGAGCTGATGTAGGCCGCGGGGGTATGAGCCTGGTGATGGTGGACCATGGTGTAACGTGTATGCAAGTAATTTACGGGATTGGATATATCATGATAAGGGAGGCAGAAACGAGGCGGCCTTATTGCATATTCATATTTGAGATGAGCGACAAGAAATCTTGTCGGCTTGAAAGTCTAATACAATTGAAAGTATTTATTGGTTCTTTAACAGAACAGCAGTCCCTGCATTCATTCGAGATACAGTCCGCGGAACGATATAAATGATCTGAGAAAGAAAAAAATTGACCAGATGAGAAGAGAAAAACGTGCATATGAAGAAGAAGGAACAGGAAGAAATCTAGCGAAGGGGATAAAGGGGGAAAAAATTGCAAAAAGTTTGGGACCTGGGAGGCTCGAACTCCCGACCTCAGGATTACTCCGATATTTGCACCGGATCATAGTTAGATATGAGACCTGCGCGCTAGCCAACTGCGCCAAGGTCCCTACACGTTTAGTGACCTGTTGTAGGCTTTTGATGGTAAAACGCGCCAGATGCAGAGTTCAAGTAGGGTTTTGGAGATAGCCATTGCGACACAACAGATTTTCAGTATCTGGACGGACACTCGTCGTTTTCGGCGGCACATGTGGTTTGTTTTTTGTTAGTATCCAAATTGGAATGCTGTTTTCAACGGCAAGTCATTTGGTAGTCTTCTTGTTGGACTTTTCTTTTCCTGCTCATAAGTCGTCATTGTCTGCCTAGGGCCGGCGAAGCAATGTGCATGGCCACTTGCACCTGCTACGTGCCATTTACTCATTCAGGCAGGAGGGACCAGCATACCGTAGAAACTCGCGAAACTGGCAACGTCAATTACCTCTTATAGCGCCGGGCAGGGGGCAGGTCTTTGCAGGGCAAGCTCGATCCTGTGTATCGAAACGCACGCAAGTTACAGTGGAGGGCGGGCAATGTCTTCTCGTGTTCACTAACTGGACAGATACATCCGTTGGCATATGCTGGCTTAGTAAGAGAGCACCGCTTCATGCCCTGCTGGGCGCTGAAAGAGGGGATCAGCTATTGCTAATTTCTCGAGTTTCTAGGGTACTGTAGTACATGGAAAACCCCACAATCCAGGAGAGGGGATAGCTTCAAACATAGAAGGAAGCCATTGACTGTCAAGGAAAGAGCTACGGCCAGAGACCGTCAGAAGCTGGAAGGCTGATCTGGACGGAGTAGGGAGGGCGGCGGGGGGCTTCCTCCATAGAAACAATTTGTTTTTGAAATCGAAATCTTACTCCTATCCATCCCATATTCGATCATCAAATTGAGTGCATCTCGGGGTGCATCTGGACCTGCATCTGCACCCCCCACAGACCACCGAAAACCAAGCAGGTGTTGAAATCTAGCCAAGTTGACTAGAATTCACTATCAGAATGTCCTCTAATTCTGCGTGGACGGAATTACATGCCAACAAAGTCTGACGAGATACCGGTACCGCCTCAAAGCTTTTTGCACATGATCACCCCTTTCCCCTTTCCATTTCATCCCAAGTAAACGTTGGGGTTCCTTCACCGGTTTCACCTCGACTCAATTTTCGCTGCCCGGTCAAGATGATCCCAAACAGAACCTTGTCAGACAAGCAATGGTGTTGGGGCGGTTCGTGCCACCCCACTTCTTCTTCAGTCTCTTCTTTCCAGCCCGGTGCTGAACAAGCGGCACATTTCGTAGCCATCTTCCAGAGCAAGTCCTCTCCACATTATCAACCCCCCACAATTCTCCAATACTTCTTGTCGACCTTCTTTCCCATCGACAAACAACTTTCAGTACCTCGTCTCACCCACACTGGAGCAGCAAAAACGGCGCATCCTCTCATCATGAGTCCCAAAAAGGCCGAGCCTGAGGCAGTGGCATGGCCGCTTTTCGGGAGGCTCCCCGTGGAAATACAAATCATGATCTTTCACGAGGCGCTCCGGAAGCCTCAGATTCACTTCGCTGATGCGTCACGTCATGAGGTTGACCCGGTCACATGGAAGCTGGACCTGAAATCCAGGAGTAAGAAGAAAGGCGACAATTCTGGCTACCACCTTGTAGAAAATATCCAGGATGTTGGGCGCGATTCTCCTGTCGCGGCTGAAGCGATCCTCAAAAGTGGCCTTCAGCCACTCCTTCTGCCTATTACAGTCCGCCCGAACAACGACTGGCGGAAGATTGACGCCGCCACGGATCTCGTGGTCTTCGAATTTAGTGTCGACAAATCGGGCAAGCTGTGGCTTTGGCACCCACGGAACCAACTCGTCGATTTGAACCCTCTCGCCAGTCACATTGACTTCAGGCAAGTCCGTAAAGACTTGAGGGGCATCCGAAAGGTCGCCTTTGTTTATGGTGGGAACAAACAACCCTCCGCTGGGTCAAGCGAGAGTGTATTTCAGTGCTTGCAACATCACAATGGCAGACATTCGGGGCAAAAATTCTGTCCGGAGGAGCTGCTGGGATTTATTTACCAGCTATCTGACATTGAAGCGGTCTACTTCATCCTCCACCACAGAGTAAATACAAAAGCCGTGACGAACTATGCGGCCAGCTACTATTCTGGTAAGTTGCTCTCCTCATAAACTCTCCCCCAGCCCACATGGACTAGCTCATCTATCCATCATCTTGTTTTGCTCCTGCTCGCCATACGAGTATCTCTCGCCTAACCAACAGTTACAGTCCCTGCCGCTACACGGAACACATTTGGCCTCAAGACTTTTTACTCCACCACCAGGAGCTACATCACTGTTCCCCTTCCTTCTTACCAGATAGGGCCGGTATTCCACGCGACCTGGAAGACAAAGAATCGCACCTGGCCACATGGCTCATCACCATCACTTGTCAACGCAGCCCGCGAGGTGGCTAGGGCCTGTCCCCCGGACTCCAGAGAGAGACGTTATGCGGAGCATGTGCGCAAATTATCACGTCTAGCTTGCGCACTGGACTATCGTAAAGAGGTCTCGCTCTTGGTTGCGGAAATGATTCTGCAAATACGAGCAGACCAAGACACCCCTCTGTCGCCGGACTGGCCCTTGCCAATCCCACCTGAAGTCAACACGGCCCAGTTCAGGACTCTCAAACAGCATCACAAGCAGCGCTACAATCTTGAGAACTTCACCAAGGAGAGGAGAGATAATTTGGAGTTCGGCATGTTGCTCATGGTGGATGAGACGGCTGTCTTCAAGAACGACAAGAGCAAGTCAAAGCCGACTTCGTAGGCTTTGTGTGTAGAGGGTTGTTCTTTTTCTTTTTAATCACTGGGGTGAATTGGGACTACAAGCGAATGAGGATTAAGCAAGCCCCTAAGGGGTTTTGTTCATTCTAGGGAAATGGTGGCAAACGCCCTGTTTCTATCACAGGGGGTTTCTTGCAAGATAGTTCTGGGTTTGGGATGAGTAAAGGTTGAACTCATACTTTCCATAGGCACAGCTGATATAATTTGCATCAGGTTGTTATTGCGGGGAGGTCCGCATGGGACGATTGGGGAAATATAGGCCTCAAATATTGCAAGAAAGCGTAGAGATCGGTTTAGACAATAATGCGTCAACTTCTATGTGAAGACCGACCTCCTCACATGTTCCCACGTAAAGATGATTAGATATACCATGGACAGTGGCCCGAAATGTGCGCCTAACGCCTGTCAACGAGTTCCACAACGAACGCCATATATGCCCTGGAACACCATTTCGCCAGACACCAGACATGATTAACTTTAATATCTCAAGCGTCAGGATCTGCATCCTCCTCCTCCTCCTCCTCCGTACCGAAACCACTGGTCCTCCTCCTTCTCTTCCTCATCATCCTTTCCCTCACCCTCATAGTCCGGCGCTCTATATCCTCAAGCCCATCATCATAACTACCGTGACCACTACCCCCACCAGCACCTGAGTTCCCAGCTCCCAAATCACAACTTGCACCATCCCCACCTTCCCACTCTTGCATGTCCTCATGAACCTGATCCTCCTCCTCCTCCTCCTCATCAGCATCCTCCTCCTCCTCTTCCATCCCTCTCTTTCTCTTCTTCCTCGACATCCGCGCCGTTGGCAACCCCCCTGGTTCTCCTCCCAGCATCTCATCCATCCCACCCACCCCCGAATCCATCAATACATCTTCAATAACCTCCTCAAAAGCACCCCTGACTCCCTCCACGATTCCCTCCCCCAGCATCTTCATCCGCCCCTTCCACATTTCGTCTCTTCTCTCCAACGCGCTCCTGACTCTTTCCCTTACCACTTCTTCTTCTCTCTCCGAGCGCATCTCCCTGACGTCCTCCAACAACTCCCTCTTTTCCCGCTGGAGTAAGAGCGTCTCGCCGCGCAGTCGATCGCTGTCGATTTCGAGTTTCTTGACTAGTTGCAGAGCTACGCGCAGAGAGTTTTGAGCGCGGGAGAGGGAGGCTTGCAGGGTGGTGTTTTGGGTGGTGAGGGTTGCGATTTTTTCGGAATGGAGTTGTTGTTCTTCTGGGCCTCCTCCTCTGTTTGATGCTCGGGTTGGTGTGGCCTCCTCCTCGTTCATGCCGCTGTGGTTATGATGGAGATTGTGAATGGTGGTGGCTTCCGATGTTCGTCTCGAAGAACTTGATGTCGACCTTGCTCCATGTCGGGAGTTGGAGCATGGTGTTATAGGGAGTTCCGTGCCTGGGGTTAGGTTGTTGATGGGTATTACGGCCCTAGCTGTGGCCATAGCCATGGCCATGGTCATAGGGCTGGTGGTGGGTGGGGTAGGAAAGAGTCTGGGTCCTGCTGCTGCCGCTGTTGCTGCTGTCGTTGTCGTCGGAAGTAGACGATGATGACGTGCGCGATTGACCGAGGGAGGGGGTGTGCTACAATCCAAACGGGCACGAATAGCCTCGCTGAATTGGGAGGTTGTCAAGCTAAGAGCTTCCGTTTCTGATCCTGAGCCGGGGTCGTGATGCTGGAGATGGTGATCCAAAAGCATGTGCTGCTGTTGTCCATCTTCCCCTCCATTTCCCCCCAAATCTTCCCCCTGCCTCATTGACAGCGCGGTGTGAAAGGTCAGATTATCAGGTGTTTCTGGCGACCGTGGTTGTTGTGGAATAACAGCAGTCTGCCTCTCCGCCTTTTCTCTCTGCATTTCCACCAACTTCCGTGGCCTCGCAGGGTTCCTCTCAGCGTCTACCATCCCACCGTCGAGCTCCAACTCTGGAGACAACTCCAACTCCACGGTCTCGTCGTTCTGATGAAACCTTTCGATCGTCTCGTCCTTCTCCTTCAACTCAGCCCTAAGCCTTTCAATCTCCTCCTGCGCTTCCCTCTCTCTCTTGCGCCATTCGGTGTAGGCGTGATTCATCTTTTCCTCGCTTGAAATGCTGCTCAGAGAAGCGCTGCGGTGGGTCTGGATTGTGCGGCGCTTGTGGTGGCTCTGGCGGAGGGGAAGAAGGTGGGTAGAGGCAGATTCGGTGCCACGATCTGCTTGGTTGGAGGTGCTGGGTTGCTGTGTTGATACTGGTTTTGTGAGAATAGACCGTCGAGGAGATGGCGTGGCTGTGTTGCGATTCTTATATGTGCACTTTGAGGAGCCTGGCGCTGGGGAGGGGGGTTGCAACGATGTGCGCCGGACCATGGGTGTCAACCCAGTTGATGAGAGCTCGTCTTCCACCAAACCATTGACAGCGCCCGAAGAAAGTTGTAAATGTGTTTTGTTGCCCCGCACGGTGGCGGTCTTTGTTATCCTATTATTCCAGTCTCGCCGTGGTGTAGTCGGGGGAATAGGTGGTGATACCTCTCTTGTGCATGCGACTGCGAGACTCCTTTTGATCGCACTTCCCCGCCCTATACCTACACCGGAAACACAGGGAGTGCGGCGCACAGTTCCAGTTCCAGTTCGGCGCGTGCGTCTCAGCGCTATGGGGAGGTTCAATTCATCGATATCGTGGCTGTGGTCTGTCATTTTTCATCTGTTGAGAAAACTCGCTGAAGACAAATAGAAAGATATAGGAGGGATAATCCCACATGGATAAAGTGGAAGGATACACAATGCAAACGGATGGACAGTATGGGAAGAAAAAGCAATGTTATCAGCCAGTTGGCAGCGAGGCAGAGAGCGAATCGGTTCACAGTTCTCCTGTTAAAAAGTGACAAGGTTCCTTCATATGCACGACTGATGGGCAAGGACATTGTAAGAGGACTCGGGACTTCTTAAAGATTTCACGGCAAGCCGGAATCAATTATGCCGTCAACTCGCATCACCGCCGCGTCTTGAATTGACATTTTTTTCTGATTCTTGCGGGCACAGACAGTCAGGTTGTGTGGGAATTGTTCGTCCGTTGTTGTTGTTTGTTTGTTTTCCAGTTTGGGAATGTGGGGTCAAAACAATCCAACGAACGAGAACGCGCGACCCCCCTGTAGCTTCACAGTTCACGCAGACCTTCGGCATGGTATGTCTCATGTGAATGAAGGGCCCCAACGCTGTTGTGTTGCGTGGATGTTTTGTTGTTGTGGGGGGGATCGGAGTCGTAAATAGCTATGTCATTCCAGTCAGCAGCTATTGTTTTGAGCGTAAACACCCAATGCAGGATCAGGCCGTATTGTTCTTGTTGCAACCGCCAGAGAATCACCCAGATGGCCTTACCCATGGTCATCGAGTGAAAGGGGCCGAAGTAGGCTCTGTAAACCAGAAAGCAAGGGAGAACGCATCCGCGATTATGGGCTTGCCTGCCATTGGCATCACCTTGATCACGAACTCCCTAAACATAGCAAAGTACAACTCGATAAGACCGACATACCTAGTGTTTAACAGAACAGTAATATCCTTTTGACGCCCATTCACCATCCCCCCCGTGTGCCATGTTTACCTCGAACAATACAAGACATACCAGTGATACCAACACCGAGGGTAGATTCAACTACCATCTCAATGGCCCCATCGCTTTCTTTTTTTCTCAATAGAGAGAGGGCCAAGATCCATCTGTTTATTCCTGGAGAGGCCCTACGCCGCAGAAACCGCATATCTCGGCAGCAGCGCCATCTTCTCCTCCGGACTGACTTCGCTATCCCCATATACCATGCGCGTATTCTTATCCTTACTCTTACCCTTCTTCTCCCCACCAGCAGAGTCCTCTCCCGCCCTGGCAGGCGGCTTGCTTCCCTGCTCCGCAGCACGGATAAGCTGATCGATCTCGTCGCCCTGGGCCCCTCCTCCTCCTTGCCTCGCCGCGCCAGACACCAGCTCATCGACAGTCGAGGCTCCACCGGGGTATGCACCTGGTGGCGGCACGGCGCCACCGTTGTAGTTGTTGTAGTAAGGGGGTCTCTGCGGGAGGGCTCCGCCCGTCGGTCTGGCGGGAAGATTGAAGCCCGGGCCGCCAGGCGCACCGGGGGGTGTGGGTGTCGCGCCGGGAGGGGGATAGACGGGAGGGTATGCGCCGACGACACCTGGTTGTCCTGGGGGTGGGAAGGCACCGGGGACGCCGACGGGTGGGGGGTACGGGAATCCTGGCTGCGGTGGAGGAAAAGGAGATGCCTGTTGACGCAAATGGGATAGGTTAGCTTCGTCTACAAGTAATAATGGTGTGAGAACTTACGCCTTGCGCCGGACTCTGTCCAGTAACCGGCGACACAGAAGCAGGCTGGGCTTTCGGCGCAACAACAGGCACCGGTAGCACGCCGCCATTCGCCTTTATCGCCGCGACCTTTGCCCTGTGGTCCGCCAACCTCTTCTTCAGCTCCTCGGGAGTTTCGATCTTGATTTTCTTGGCAGGTCCCTGGCCACCAGCCTGTCCCGGCGGGGGGTTACCCGTGGCGGCATGGCGCTCGGCCTGTGCTGTGTAAAAGTTTGTGATGATGCGCTGGTTGTGCTGCTGGACAATGTCGTCGGGGACACCCTCCATGCCGAAGATCTCAATGTCGAGCCCTTGACGGTTGGGCAGCGCGTTCTCAACCTTGTCGAGCGATTCCTTGTGCACTTGGTTCATGTGGACGGAGAGACCGCCGGCCGTGTTCAGTCGCTTGCCGCATCGGTCGCATTTGAAGTGCTTGGCTTTCTGGTGGGAGATCAGGAGCTTGAGATCCTCAAAATCACGTTCGCCTGGGCAGATGCAAGCAGCGTATTAGTCAAGATACATAAACAAATAGCTCAGGCAGATGGTACGTACAGTAGTAACACCATGGACGAGCAAGGAGCTCCTCGACGTCGGGGTGTCCTCTCTTCTTTTTGCCCATCTTGATTGATCTGTCGTCGTTTGTGCGATAGAAAAGAAAGACTACTCCAGTTCAGATGATGGTGGCAAGAGTCAAAGTGGTGATGGACGAGCACAATGTAGGGTGGTCGTTGTCGTCGGCGTCAATGGAGATGGGATGGGAATGGTTCGTTGTTCTTGGTGGGTTGGCGATGATGGAACTGCAACTGAATGAATTGAGCTTTTGGTTCGTTACTTGGGTACCGCGGCGGCTGTCGCAGCGACGCGCGCGGACGACCAATGTTCAGCCACAGTAGCAGCAAGCTGGGTTCTACTTGATGTAACTGTGGCTTGTAGCGTCTCTCTGCCATGCTCAGCCACACCCATTGCACGTGATACCCCTCATCATCAACATTACCACCACCACCGTCGGGTCATCGGTGCACTGCAAATTGAAGAGGTATAGTGAGTAAGAATTCGCCAAGTCTGTACAAGTAACATGTACTCAGGGACATGTTTTTGACTCGCAGCCTTCTACCAAGCAATGCAGAAACCGTCATTGGAGTATTGGACGAAAGAAACAAGAAGGCCAACTTCAACTCCACCACACCTCCGACCAAAGAAATGTACAACAACGGTACATGAATGCTATGCAAACACCCATCTAGCCTAAAGTGACGACGCTTAACCCTTATCCAGCAGCACTGCTTCCATGCTAATTACGCTATGCAATACGATCGCTCCCCCATCCTCACTGCCACAGGGAAGAGCTCGACTTCTTACCAATCGGCCCAGCCCCAATGGTAATTCTCCTATTCTTACCATCAAATGATCCGAACCCGCTCAGCCTATTCGCGGCCGTCGTCCCTGACGCAGAATTGTTATCTTCTTCACCTCCGTTTGGACTTCCCTTGCCGAAGCCACTTCCATTTCCATTAATCCCCATCCTCCTAGGTTGAGCATTCGTCAAACCAATGCCACTTTTCGGCCCCATCATCCCGCTCTCCACCAGCCACGCGCTATTCGGACCCAAACTGGCCCTCCTAGCGGCCAACCCTGTCGTCCCGCTTCTAACAGGAGGCGACCCCGCGATAGTCGGCAACGGAATACCTCCCTTCCTAGTGGCAGCCACCGCACCCGACTTTTCTAGACCACTGCCCTTCCGATGTCTCGAAATACCATTGGTGGCGCTAGCCAGTGGGCCGCCGCCCACGCCCATACTGCTTCTCCGCCCAGCTCCTCCAAGTCCCGGGTGGCCGCCCGCACCGATGCTGGCCCGGTGGTGAGCGCCCATACTGGCTCTTCCGTGCAGACTGCCTCCGAAACTGGCTCTGTGACCGCCGACGCTCGATCTGCCTTGACCGATGCTGGCCCTATGCGAGACTTTGGCGATGCTCGGCCGTGACGCCGCTGGCCCTGGAGTCGAAGCCGAGCCGTTACCGCCACCGGGGCCGTTTGCAAGTGGCGCCGCGCTAGACGCCCTTCGCTTGGCCTTGGCGATCGACGCTGCGGTGCCCGACATCAAGCTAAGCCTGTCGCGACGTTTCTTCTCCTGCAGGGCCGATCTGAGTTTGAGGGGGTCGATGACTAGGGAGTTATCCGAGTCCGTCGAGCCTCCAGAACCTGAACGGGGTGAGGTAGAGAGGCGGCGCGGAATGGCCGAGCCGAGTGACAATCGAGACGATGACTTGCGTGCGGTGACGGGTGGCTGGTTTTCGTCAACCTGTTGTAAGGAGGACGTGGTTGGTGGTTGTGGAGTCTTGGGGCTTCCGTCGTGGTTGCCGCTGCTCATCGTGTTCGTCGTTGAAGGAGCCGCGTTCGGCGGTTTGGCTGAGTATGATATCGGCGAAGAGTAGGCATTAGCTGCTCGACTCACGGGAATGCTCCTCAACGGCTGCGCTGGTCTCTCCTCGTTACCTCCATTCTGCTGTGATATAGAGTTATTGCTGTTGGCCAGGTTCAAGTTAAAGACCGGTGGTGGCTGCGATTGAAGTACTCCGTTACCAGTGATAGTCGCTCCGGGGGTTGATCCAGCCAGTGAAGTCCTAGACTTGGACAAGAATCCGGCCTGGAACCGGTTCGGCTTGCCGATAGATAGCCCCGAAAGATCTGGGATCGATGACAATGCCGGGCCAGCCCCGTCGTCCATTTCTACGTCCTCGTCGGTATTGTCGCGCTGTGGAGGTGGAGGGCTCTTCATGCTGCCAAGGTAACTCGGCATCGGCGGTCGAACAGGCGAAATGCCATTTTCAGGCTCGCCCGGACTAGAGTCCCACTTCTGCGGCGTCTTCTCAAAGTCGGCTAGTGTTCCTTCTTCTGTTTCATCGTCTCTCCATCGCACAGAATGCTTCTTCTTTACGGGCGTGAATGTAAACGAAGTGCCGGCCTTCTTGGATGATGCGTAGGCAACCTTTCTGGCCTTTACTGGTGAAAGATGAGGAACGCTCTCCCCGTCCCAGCTCTCCAGTTGCCCCTCTACATCCGCTTCCGGCTCCGTCGAGATGTCCATAGCAGTCTCAGTCGAAGTCGAAATTGCCGTTGTCAGCGCCGCGCTGGCGGAAAACACCGGTTGGGGAATCGTCTTTGCGCCATTAATCGCACCACTTTTCCTCCTCAGTTTGGGCACACTGAGTCCTGTTCCCTGGTACCCAGCCGTCGAAAGACTTCCATCAGGCTTGACGACCTGGCCAACCGCCTGAAGTCCCGTCTCCAACAGCCTGTTCACCATCGCCTTCGCATGCTCCATCGCCTGTCGCTCCTCCATCCTCAACAACTCCTCTAGGCTCGCCATGATCTCAAACTGCGCCATTAGTAATGTCTGTAAGATCGCTGCATCACCAGCCTTGTCCTGCTCAACTACCTCGTGGTACGCATCCCGCATGAATCCTGTTCTTAGTAACTCTGCCTCCCGTGCGAGAATGTCCCTTTCAGCGTTGCAACCTTCGCTGTTCCCGCCCATAGCAGGTAACTGCAAAATGCTGTGCTGAAGCGCTGTATCAAGGGCTCGCTCCCAGTTACACCTCCCAAGACGCTGGTGGACATGATTTCTAGTGGTTTCGAGCTCGTTCAGGATCCCGACGGCGGTCTTGCGGATGGCTGTCAAGGGAGCAGGCATCTCCTCCTCACTCGCGCACCCGCGGGCATCGCAAACGGAATCAAAGGCTGCAATCCAAGACGACAATAGACCGATCCTTCTCTCAATAGCACGCTGCTGCTTCATGAATCCAATCACCTCCATGCGGTCCTTCTCAGCATGCTCGTAGGCGGCGTGCAGCCTGGCCAGGCCCTCTCGCACTACGGCATCGCGCTTTTCGCTCTGCTTGAGAAACTTTGCGAAGAAGACCTTTTCGGCATCGCGCTGCTGGGCCTTGAGCTCGTTGATGAGGGCCATCTGCTCGTCAATCTTGACCAAAAAGTCCTTGACGTGGCGATTCACGTTGAAAACATTGCGCGTGACCTTTGTCTGGATGTTTTTGGCCCGGTTCGCGTACCGCAACGTGTTTTGCGTTTCGTCAAAGTGCTCGCTCGACGGGCTCACGCATACAATCATGACCGTCTTGCAGTTTCCGCCTAGACTGAACTTGAGCAGCCTCGTCAGCTTGCTGTTTCGGTAAGGGACATGGTTACTCTTGCGCGGGTCGCAAAGCGCATTGATGCAGCTGCCCAGCGCGAGGAGGGACTTGTTGATGTTGGCGCCCTCCAGCAGCCGTTCGCCGCGGTTCTTGGTTGCACTGGCGCGCTCGCTTCCAGCCAAGTCGATGATGGATAGCGTGGCCATGGTGTGGGGTTCATTGACGGCAGCGTTCCGGTCCTTTTGCGCCACGTTGATTTGCAGGACGGCATGTGAGCGTGACGAGACCGCGTTGGCGGCGGTGGGGGATACGGTGCGGTACTCGTTGCCTTGTACTATCATGTCCATGACCTCCTGCACATCCTTGGGCTTGTGGCTCGTCAGACCGGCGACGCTCACTCCTTGATTCGAGTCCTCACGCAGCATCAACCCTTGCTTGTTCGTGGCGCTGCCAGGAGGCACCAGCAGGTCCCGAATCGTCTCGTTGTAGATTTCAAGGTAGGAGAGTGTGACCTCGGTGTGTTTCTCGCCGCTGCGCTCGTTAATCTTTTCGAAGAGCTCCTGCATGGTGAGGAAGATGATGCCCGGAGATTGTGGCGTTCCGGTAATGGTGTGGGTTTTGCCGCAGCCGGTGGCGCCATAAGCGAAGACAGTCGCGTTGTAGCCGTCAAGGACACTATCCAGGAGGCCCTTGGTTGTGCCTTGGTAGACTTCCACCTGGGAGGCGTTCTCGTCGAAGATTCGGTCAAAGGCAAAGACTTGGTCCTTGACTTTTTTGCCCATCGCTGGCACGACTGATCGAGAGAATTTCTGAATTGGGTTATCTTCTGGAGGATCGAAAACACTTTTCATCGGCGAACTTGTTAGCATCTCTGGTTTTGGATACATCATCAGTCCTGCCTCTAGGGAAGAGAACCTACAGGCATCTATCGTCCACCACCTTGATTACCGGCCGGATTCCCCTCTGGTTGAGTTTTGGGGTTGGCGCGGCCGCCAGCGACCCGTCTCCCAGGAATACCGTACCCTCATCTCTTCTGACCCTGTATGCAATGGCATCTGTCAGCCTCGGTTCGTCCAGTCTGTCGAGCGCGTCATGTGTAAGGCAGTGGTATTGCTCACAGTTGGGCAGCTTCTCTAATTGTAAACGGTCGGACACGAACTATAGCATACTTGAAGTCAGCCAGCGCATTCCTCTTTGAACAACAAAGCAAAACAAAAATAACAAGCAAGAAAGCAATGACACGGACCGCACAGAGTTGCGAAACATACCTGCGACCGTAATGGACGAAGCGTTCGGGTCTGGATAGCCCAACATCTTGGGGGTTCCTTATCCTCGCACCTCCACCTGTCTGTCTGCTGATGTCCGTAGCCGGCTCGGCCCACCTTCTTTTCCTTTGGTCCGGAGCCGGCGTCCTTCTTGTAGAGGTTTTGGCTGCAAAGCGAGGGCCGGGGTGAAACAAAGGGCCGTTAAAGTATGTGTATTGGAATGCTAGATAAGTCGGCAGGCAGTAGAGAGTGGCAGTTGGGTCGGGATATCGGCGTGTCTTCCAAGAAAGAAAGAAATAAGAGCGATACAGGTAGGTGATTTCTTTTGGTCGTCGTCGCGTACTTTGTAAGGTCGGTCGTGTCGTAAATGTCGTGGGCTATGTTTGCAAATGTAGTCTGTCTGCCTGTGTGTCGTGGTACGATAGTAGTAGGTTTTCGTTATAGTACGTACTTGGTCCCTCCAAGGCCTTGGTTGAGTTGTTGGTGATGTGCGATCCAATGTTGACGATGGAGGGGCGGTGGTGGGTCACGCAAGAGTAAATAGTAAGAAAAAGAGTAAAGAACAAAACAACAACCCGATGATGGATGCGACCCGTGATGCAGAACGGATGAATGCAGGACACAAGGGAGACAAGAGGGAAGAATGATGGATGGACCTGACCTACAAATCGATTCCATCCATGTTTCCACCACCGCGGCCCCCCGGCTCCAGGACGGGAAGGAAGGGAAGTGGAATGGAAGAAGCGTGTTTATCAGCCTGGCCCCGCTGGTTGCTGCAACAACGATTTGCTGAGGTGGCAGGCTCCACTTGGATGTTAGCGTACACATCAATGCTGGTTTGTTTGTTAGCGCGGGACACGCCCCACATCCTTCCCCAGGGGGGTGACACGGTCAGAAAGGTGTATTCGTACAATTCGATTAGCCAAAATCACTAGATTTCAACGTCAGAACGAGTTGACGGAAGGGATTCACACACACGCACACAAACCTCTTATCCTAACTAAAAACCACTAGAATCACCAATCATTTATAATTTTCACTTTATCACCTTCTATAATCGGTATAATTATAAGGCATTTACTCTTTGTCGTTCCCCCTGTTCAAAACCCCTGTAAGTAGGTACCAAGCTAACGAACAAACCAGGGGTGATGTGTAAGTTAGGTGGAAGCCCTGGCGCTGCCCGCCCAGTCTGGCGAGGGTCTGCCCACTGAAAGAGGCTAAACTTTGTTCCACCACAGCGCTACAGCTGCAGCTAGCGTTGAACAAGTGGCTGACAGGTGCAATGACGGAACACACTTCCACTCAGCTTTCAAGTTCCAGCAACACAAAGTGGAAGTCCACAGAAGACCGCCATTCGTTCATCTCATTATTCTCGACTTCCATCTTTGCGCGGGGCATCCATTCGCAAGCTTGTGTGGCGTCAATGGCCCCAAGGTCATGTCACTATGAAACAGAAATAGGTACTAAAAACATCAAACGCGCTCGCTGCTCATAGAGCTTCAATTTTCGAATCAACCCCGTGCCTCGGCCGGAGCATCCAACAATGCCCGTCCATCCACCCTTATTCTATTGCTTCTCATGCAATCCACCAAGCGTATCAACCTCCGCCAAAAAGCTGGTCTGGTTATACCTCCCCACCTGGTCTCTGCCAACCATGAAGCTCTCGGGCGGGCCAAAGAAGCTCTTGCGGACGCCGCCCATATCGACAATGATCTTCTGCACCACAATCCCCGGCATGAGCGCCCAGAAGCGGAGCTTGTACGCGCCCTCCTGAGGTACCGAAAAGGTGCTGGTGGTGTAGTTGCCGACAGTGCCCCACACGCTGTCGGCGACGGCGTAGCCCCAGCCCTCGGGCATGTTGGCGCCGACGGTGGGACCGACGGGGCGGACCATCTTCGGTTCAGACGGGGTGGATGCGCCGGCGGGGTATAAGGAGATGCCGTATTCGAGCGGAGTCCACTCACCGAGGTAATTGAGTGCTGGGGAGATGAGGACGGTCACGTTGGCCTTGGTGTGGTTGGTGAACAAGTAGAGGTCGTACTCGAGCGCCGGCGCGGTCTCGACGGTTAACTTCTCCGTCTTAAGAGGCACCAGACCGACGCCGCTGCCGCTGCGGCCGTACTTGCTCAGCGTGTGGTAAGTTACCTTGTCGTTGAGCTTCGACTTTTCCTTGGGTGGGATGATGGCCGAGTAATGGGCGCCCGTGATGGCGACGTGCCCGTCGGATTCGACGAAGCCCTTGGTAAAGTTGGAGGGCACGGAACGCATCTGCACGGGGACCTGGACCATGGGCCCGCCACCGCACGAGTTCGTGACGTTGATGTTCACGGTGCTGGAAAAAGGTGCCTTGGGCGCCTTGGACCAGTCAATCGAGACTTGGACGCGGGTATCGGATCCCTTGGGTCCAACTGTGCCATTGTACTGCAACAGCTTGACCCATGGCTGCCATGGAGCCGCCTGCCAGGTGCAGTCCTTGGTACCGCGAGAAAAGACGTCAAAATAGCGGGTAGCCGGGCCATAGGGATCCATGGGTGGGAGCGAGAGGTTGTTGCCGCTGTTGGCGTGGTACTTGTCGTCACCCGGGACTGTTGCGTTCGAGCCCTCAACGCCGACACCAACGTGGCCAGCCAAAGACACAAAATGTGTCTGGACGTACACCATGGCAGGTAAGGTGTTCCTCATAGGCTGCTGCCAGTAGCCGTCATATCCAAGATGGGTTTCTGCCAGTCCAAGGTTAGCACAACTCCTACCAATTCCTTTTGACCAAAAGGGTTCAACGTACGATCCATAAAGTGCCTCCACTTGCCGCCGAGCAAAGCATCCCAGCGCTCCTGCAACTGCCAGTCCTCGTCAGACGCCGCCAAAACCTGGTTGATCACCTCATTGGCAGAGTTGCGCTTCTGGCCAGAATACAGCAAGTTCTTCGCACCACCCGCATAGATCCTGTGGACGACCTCACCGCCAATGGCAGGATGAAGGATCATCTCGAAGAAGGCAGGCTTGTAGGCCTCGTCAAGCTTATCATAGACAGCCTGAGCATGGGCACGGAGCTCAGCCCACTGCTGCAGAACCGCGTCGGCCTCGTTGTAGTTGATGACCGAGTAGGTCTGAGGCTCGACGAGCTCAAACTTGCGTCTGCTGGCGTACATGGCATACTTGATCATGATATCACCAATCTCATCGGCATATGTGGAGCCGAACTCGCGGGCGGCCCAGGTCCTGGCCCACTCCTCGGTGCTGTCAACATCCCATCTCTCCATGTCATAGCCCAGGTCGAACCAGTGGTTAATGGGGATCTCGTTCGCCTTCATATCACCAACGTTGACGATCCAAATTCTATCAGCGCCGCGGGCATACGTCATGTGCATCTGCTCGGTCGTCTTGGAAAGCTGCACCGTGTTGATCCACTTGTAGTTGCGCGGGTCACCGACGTAATCAAAGTGGTAATAAACACCAGCGCCTCCGGCACGGGCGGTCTCGTTGAGCAGCGGAAGTCGGCGGACATGGCCCCAGTTGTCGTCGGCCCACAGCAGAGTGATGTCGTCGGGGACCTCCAGGCCGGCGAAGAGGTAGGTCATGACCTCCTTGTACAAACACCACGCCTGCGGGACGGTGGTAACGTCGGATACACCCAACCCTTCGGCGAGGATCTGACGCTGGTTGTGGACCAAGGTGGTCAGCATGTCCACAATGTGGTCAACACCGAGACCCTCGATGGCCGTGTCACCGGTGCCGCGCATGCCCATCGTCCACAAGCTGTTGCGCGCATAGGGCTTGGCTCTCTGGACACCGTAGCGAAAGTAATCATCAATGGTCTCGTTGTTCAGGTTGTACGCCCAAGGGCCCTGGTAGAAGTGACCAAACTCGTTTTGCGCACGCATCATGGGCTCGGTGTGAGAGGTACCCAGGACGATCTCGAAAGCGTCAGCGAAAGGCTGGTTGCCCGGGTCATCCACCTCGAACATGGTTCCCCAGAGAGCGGGCCAGAGGTAGTTGGCTCGGAGACGAAGCAGAACCTCGAAGATGAGGCCGTAGAAGGCAGGCCCGTAGCCGGCGCCATAGGGCGTTCTTTCCCAGTGCTCCTCGACCCAGTTGGTCAGGGCCGGCTGCTCGTCGTTGAGGAAGAAGCCTCTGTACTTGACAGACGGCGGCCCCTGGACCTTTTTCTTGTTGAGGGCGTAGATGTTCTTGTTCTGCCTGGTCGGCACGTCGGCCCAGAAATACCAAGGGCTGACGCCAATCTGCTCGCTCACGTCGTAGATGCCGAAGATTGTTCCGCGAGGGTCGCTTCCAGCAATAACCAGTGCTGAAGAACAGCCTTGGATGGGGTTTTCGATCACCTGGCTGGTGAAAGACTCCCACTTGCCCTTGGTGGCCGACACATCGAGCTTCTTGGAGGCGATGAGGCTGTCGATAACCTCGGAATGTCCAATGGTTCCGGCAATGATAATGGTATCAGATGGGGAGGGGTCGGAGTAAGCAGGTCCGGTGAAATTTGCGATTCCAGTGGTGCTGTACTGTTGAGCTGTCAGCTACGTACCTTACTTGAATCGGCGGTCCAGGCTCTCTTGGTGTTCGCAAGTACTTACATGAGTGTTGTTCATGTTATCGACCGGGTTGTAGGTGTAAACGGCCGGACTGGCACCCTTTTCGCCGTTGGAAAGGGTGTAGTTCATGCCAGTGACGCGGCCAAAGTCGAGAGCGAGATCACCAGCAGCGCGAATGACGCCCCAGTACTCATTCTTGGCCACCCGGATTTGGCCTTTGGAGGTCTTGCCACCAGCAATCTGGAGAGCACCCGGTGCTTTGTCGAAGGAGATGATGGGCTCCTGGCCTAGGGCCGCGACCACGGAGGTGAAGGCGAGCCATAAGGTCCCCTTGGCACCCGTGAGGAGCATTGTGAGGAGGACTCAATGGTACGCTATACCCGAGCTATACAGTAGCAACTGTATGGTAAGTGGGGATATCAACGAATGCTCGAGACAGCTCTCTTTTTGGCGGCACGGGAACAACACGATGAAAAGGCATCAGCATCACAGATCAACTGGCGGAGGTTGGGATGATTTATTGAAGCAGCGAGCGTTTACGAGACGGTCCATATGCTCCCGGTGACGGCATGGTGCTTCTACCCTTTACCATGTTTGTGGATAAATAAATCAACTAGCAAGGTAAACCGTTCGGATAGGTGGCATTCGTTTCTTCCGGAAGGTTGTCGTTGACCCTGTCGACCTAGCTCGCTTTCCTCATGAGAGGCTAGTGAACCGGCAAATACCACCCTCGACCAAGCTGCCGTACCCCAGGTACCAAAGTTGGAGATGGAGGCGGCGGATCGCTACTGGCACAGCGGATAAAATGAAGCTTGGGGAAGGGCCAGCGAGCGAGGTTGGGGTTCTGGGGAGAGATCTTGTTAATTTATGATTGGTCGGTGAGGTTATTGGCGAGACACATTGTCCCGCAATTTCAGGATGTAACCCGCATTCCAGTGTGGGGGTGCCAAACGTGAAGCATCCTTTTTTCCTCTTTTTGGGAGGGGGCCATTCGAGATCAAGTTGAACAATGCCCAACGGTAAATGCCCACCCCGCCATGGTTACCCAGAAACCGGAGACCAAAGAATTTCCTGCTTAGCAGCCAGCCTAGAGTATTTACAGGTATGTTCATCGCTCCTGGGCCAGGATAAAGAGTCAGAAAAGGCCAAGAGCGAGGCTATCTTGAATATGAGGAGCGATGTAGACCGGGTAATCGAAACAAGCGAAGATTTGGGGGAAAAAGGCGAACCAAGCGATCCCCCAGATGCCCGGGCTTGGTGTGAGGTATTGCGGGGAAGCACAGGGGACAATGGCTTCTTTTTATCCGGGGAACCAACGGCTTGGCGAGCATACCCTGAGCTCCTTTCCTGGGGAACATCCTTGTTGATCTCGTGAGCTCATGAGGAATCGCTCAGCTAACCTTGGGTCTCCGGGTAGGTGGGCGAGTTATCAGATGATCATGACACCGATCCGGCACGAAGCGACGAAGCGGGTGCTTCCTCGCTCATCAATGACGCTGGAACCGGGACGTTTAACGGCTGAAGATGTTTTCCGAACCTGAAAACTGTTGCGACTTGGGATTGTCGAACGGACGGGAGAAGCCATACGGAGTCTAGGAAATGTTTTCTCCTTTTCTCTTCACATACTTACATAGTAGGTGTTTAGAGGCCGTATTCAAGCTGTCGGGTTGGCAAAAAGGGGCAGAGATCAACAACGCCATCCGCTGTGCATCCTCAAGCGCAACCCTCGACTTCTTGCTCTTTCAAAGCCCGGACTGATGGAGTTCGGGTTTCAATCTATTTCCGTCCTATGAGCGTGTCACAAGAGTGAACCTGGTGAGTGAACGTGAGAGTCGATCATTGATGGAGTCGGACGTACAGTACAGTGGATGGGTTGATGCCATGCACTGCAGTGTATACCCCCCGTCTGCATGCTGCGGCCGAGCACGTTGCGGCGTTATTCCACGGAACGGAAGAAATGCAGGTACGTGTCGATAAATTGATTGCGTCGATAGCGGCATCATGCCGGCGCGATGTTTTGCGACGACGTCGCCATGTCTCATACGGCGCAGACTGCTGTCGCGGTGTTGATGCTGGCATTTGTCGCCCGGCAAGAGCACATCAATTTGGTTCAAAGAGATGGCACGCGGTGGTTCGCTGATTAACATTTCCAGTTCTTGTGGTTTGTTAGTATAAGTCGATGCTCCAGAGCATCAGGCAGACATCTGCTCGGAATTCGCTCTTTCCATCATCATCATCATCAACCAACAGATATCCCTCCAGGTTGCAGCTTCGCTCCCATTAATCAATGGAAGACAGCATTGGTGTCGTACTTTCAGGTCCCTTCAAAGTAATCTGTGGCGTCAAGTTTGGGATAGGAGAAAAAGAAGCATGGGTGATGGTCGTCTCTACATTAGCGAATGACTTTTTTCCAGATGAAAAAGAAAGACGAGGATTCCAGTCGGTGCCCACAAGACTGTTTCGCCGGTTAACATATCAACCTGGATGTCCCAAATCAAGTCATGTCCAGCATGTCTACACTCCAGAGAGAGCAACGCTCCACGCTGCTCGGTTCCTGACTTGCCAACCCAACGCCAAACACGCCGGGTCCCAACTTCGAAAAGGCTAGCAGAAAAAGCAAGGCCGATGTCACGTACAACGATGAACACACGCCCACCCACTTAGCCTCTCGCATACTTCTTCCCCGTCAAATCCCACCTCCTCACCAACCTCTCAATCTGATCCTGCATGTCGCAAAAAATCCCAATAGCCTGCCCCAACTTCCTCTCACTCTCGCCGGCCTCGGCCCTCGTGAATGCCAGCCGCCACTGACTCTGGTCCCTGACCAGTTCCCTCAACCTGACCGCATCACCATTTACCCTCGAGCCCGTAATCGCTGCCGCAGCCCCGACCGTGCTCGCACCCGGCCATCCCGCCGCAGGCGTTGCCTCCAGCTCCATCAACAGCGGCGGGCTCACCGTGATGTGCTTCACCGCTCCGGCCAGCCTCATCACCTCCTCCACGCTCGTTAAGGAGGCAGCCAGCACCTGCGTCTGCATCTGCAGATTCAAGGACCCATGCGCGGCTTCCGCGGCAGAAGCAGAGGAAGCAACTTCGTCGCAGTAGCGCTGCGCCGCGCCGCAAAAGAGGGCGGCCCGGTCCTTGTTTGCGTCCGTGTAGGTGGCGTCAAAGTGCACGCGCAGCTCGTTGACGTAGGGCGCCACGTAGCGGCAGCCGGCGTCGACGGCGAGGGCGACTTGCTCCATGCTGAAGACGATGGTAGCTAGAGTGGCGATGGAGTGCCGACGCTCGAGCTCGCGGCAGGCTTGGAGGCCTTCCCAGGTGGCGGGGATCTTGATGCATATGCGCGAGGTATCGAAGTCGGGGGCGAGGTGTTTAAGGTGGGCGACGATTCCTGGGTAGATAGGTGGATTGGTCAGAGAGACTGGCTATATTGAGTTGGGGCTCAGTGTAGGCTTGCTTACTCTCGGCGTTCTTGACAGTTTTCTCGGTGGAATAACACCACTTTGGGTTGGTCTGGATGTGAATGAAGCCGTTCAGATGGGGAATGAAGCGCAGGGCGAGGCCAACGGCCAGCAGCTCGGAGGCAAGCTCTTCTACCGTGGCATCGGTCTGGTTGCCAAACATCCAGTGGGCGATGGGAATGATCTCGTCGATCAAAGTTTGGTAGATGAGCTTTCCATTGGCGTCAAGTTTGGTAATTTCAGCAAGAACAATGGCCTAGGTCGTGTTAGCAATGCTGTGTGTGTTCTTGTGTGTCTCACCGAGTGGTTACGCTGAGCTTGGTGGTGGTATTCGAGCCAGACAGACATACCTGATTCGATGTACAATCCGCAAAAGGACCGTATATGCGCGCGACTGTCAAAGCGTGTTACTTTGTTTTCGGCGGAGATAGCCGTATTGTGTTGCTCACCATGGGCGTCGAGAGTGTCACAGTCGACTGTGGTCAAGCCACGAAGCTGATTGAGGAGGGAGGCCATGGTGGTTGGTGGAATTTTGTTGTACAGCTTCGGTGTTCTGAGTACAGGAGGGGGGGGAGTTGCAGGATAAATGGACCGCGATAGGCCGTACGTAGAAAATATATCGATGTGAATGGCAAGAATCGATGAATAGAGTAAGTAGTGTAGAATGGGAAAGTGAAGGCGGAGTTCTATTTCTGGGATGTCCTGATTTGCATGTCGCCGATCTCCCACCACTCGTTCAGGGACCATTTGTCCAAGGCCTGGGCGATGACGACATTAGGCCGATCTATCGCCGGGTAGTGTAGGTAGGGCACCGCTGTTTGGTGTTTCATAGTCGGCTACGGGATAAAATACGCAGTACAGAAAGAGGGGTCCAAGCAGAACGGGATGTTGGCGGGAAAGAATCGATAGTGTAGAATTAGCAAACACAACAATGAAGGGATGGACCATGCGAACAGTGACAAGAAGAAAAAAAAGAAAAGAAAAAAAGAATTTGGAGACTCGGATACCGGGAGTCGAACCCGGGGCTGTTGAGAGAGCAGTCACTCCTGAGAAGTGAGAGTCAACGATGTTACCGCTACACCATACCCGATTGAACTGATATGGTCCGATTTATTGTTGGAGGTCGTTTCTGGGTGTACCACTCATAAGGTCAATTACTCTGTAACCAAATCACGCTAAAATCGACCCCAAACGGTACATGATAAATCCTGAGATCAAGACGCGTTTCAAGCGACCCAAACACCCATCCATAGAGAGGGCTATAGAATATGACTTGATGCGTGCCTCGGTTTCTGGATTTCATCACGTACATTTTAGGGTAGAGAAAGATGCTGAAGGACAGCGCGCGAGCCGAACTGTTGATGCATCGGGCTAACTTCGTTTTTAGCCCGTTGGAGTGGTTCACTTCTGTAAGTATTTGCCGTCAGGTAATGAAACTGTAACCACCCATCCCTTGACTTTGGTGGAAGGGTCTTGCGATCAAAAATGGTAGACCCCTTGACGTTGTGCTAGGCGCCCATGTCATCAAGGGAGATCGCAGGTAGCACAGCCCGCTACGAGGCCAAGACCCGAAATAGAGAATTTCTTTGTGGAGGTTGTCTGTCCTGGTAGGATATAGACTGAAACGGGGGGACACTTGAGACAAGCGCCGGTTATGGTGTTCGCGGTAGGTCGAGTTGTAGAGATGGTAGTGATGCGCCTGGTTCGGAAGCACAGTCATAACGATACCAAGGGCATCAAATGCACGGCCAGTAAAGATCTCGAAAGCATGCACCGATTCTCGAAGGCATGTCAACAAATCCAAGACGAGATTGCGCGGGCTTGTGGCGTTTGATTCCCGGAAGGGAGGTACCGTGAAAAGACAAGAGGCGGCGTCATTGGCGACTTAGACGCCCTTTCCCCGAGAACCGGCGCTTAAAAGAGGCATTCAAGCCGCCCATGAACGCGATGTTACAGCGGATGAACGCGCCGGCTCTTGAAAAGACAGAAGGTCCTTGTTGGGATTTTTGAAACTCGAGAATTTCTTCACTGTGCTTTCTGCAGTTTTGCAAGACGGCGGTCATATGTCGGTCATTCGATAGACGTCTGGTGGGGGTGGGGGCTATTCCCCAGGATATGATAGAGTGTAATCGTCGTCATTGACGGGGAGTTGATGATTCAAAATTGACCCAAGCTCCCGTCCTGATCAAGAGCACCGGCATTGAGAACTCGAGAGAGCTGGTACCTTCTGCACGGGCCACAGCACCTCGGCGGGGACTTATCCCGCTTTCTGTTTTAATGCAGCGTGCCTTTGTGGGGCTTGTTCTTGGCAGAATGGAAGCGGGACGTGAGATCGTGGTTGGTAAAGGTTGGAACCAAGGAGGAGATTTTGACAATTGAATTGGTCTGGCAGAAAATAGGAAATCCAGGAAAGATGCCAAATCGTCCAAGCTACACAAAAATGCCCCAAGAACGAAAAGACTCTACATAGTGGGGGGACAACTTTAAAGTGGAGACAGACTGCAGGGCAGGGCATTTGCTTGGCTTGGCTTCAGTTGGCCGCCCGCCCGCCCGCCCGCTGTCTGCCGGCTCCGATTCCCCATTCACGATTTCCATCTCGGCCGCCCAGTCAGGTCCCGTCCTGGTCCCATTTTCCCTTATCCTCGATCTGGAATTCGCCCGGACCGCCAACGCCGACCCCGGTCGCTTCTCCCGATTACCAAAGCGACGGACGATGGCGATTCGAGCCGGCACCTGAAATCTTCTCCCCCGAACGATGCGGCCGCCGACGTCCACCCTCCGACGCAATGTCCTCCTCGACAGAGTCGTGTGTCAACAACGGAGACTAGTATTAGTACCACAGAGCAGGTTGCCCGGTACCCTAAGGAGGACTCTTACAACTTCACGCGCCCCAGTCGCGACCCCTTCACAACGCCTCAGGGCCGGCTATTTCGTCTCCAATGCCTTTCTCCCCCGCGTCAAAGCCAATGGCATTCACGATTCGGCCAGCTCCCAACGGAGCAGCACGGTAGCTTCCACCACATCAACAACAGCCGATACCGCCCATGGATCGAGCTCTACAACACAACCGACGACAGCCACGGACCTACCGCCGGTCGATGATACCCTCCTCCCCCACCGTCGCCGACAAGCTCAGCGAAAAGCCGCAGCGGCCGCAGCAGCAGCAGCAGCAGCAAACGGCAAAACACCAACACCTCTCATAAACCCTGACGCTCCCACCGCCGACCTAGCACCCGATGCCTCGTCGCAACTCGCCGCCGCCGCCGCCTCTGCGCCCGCCGACTCCTTGAAGCGACGTCTCTCCTCGCTCCTCAGTCTCTCCAAGCCGCGCCTAACCGTGCTCGTCGTCCTATCCGCCATGGTTCCCTACGCCTTATACCCTGTCCCCTCCTTCCTAACCTCCTCTGCGCTCGACACCTCGCTCGCCCCCTCCCTATCTCCTCTCACCCTCCTCTTCCTCACCACCGGCACCACCTTGTGCTCCGCCTCCGCCAACGCCCTCAACATGCTCTACGAGCCCGACACGGACTCCAAGATGACACGCACGCGCACGCGCCCTCTTGTCCGGCGCTTGCTCACCACCAAAGCCGCCGTGTTTTTCGCCGTAGGCTGCGGCCTCGCCGGCACCTTGGCGCTCTACTTTGGCGTCAACCCGACCGTCTCCTTTCTGGGCGCCGCCAACATCGCCTTGTACGCGGGCGCTTACACCCCGCTCAAACGCATCAGCGCCGTGAACACGTGGGTGGGCGCCATCGTCGGTGGTATCCCGCCTTTGATGGGCTGGGCCGCAGCAGCAGGCGAGTCGGCCACGGGCGACGGCACGTGGCGCGAGCTCCTCTTTGCTAGCGACGGCAGCTCGCTGGGCGGGTGGTTATTCGCCGGCCTGCTGTTCGCCTGGCAATTCCCCCACTTTATGCCTCTCTCATGGGGAATTAGGCACGAGTACAAGGCTGCTGGCCTGCGGATGCTGGCGTGGACCAACCCCGCACGCAACGGGCGCGTAGCGCTGCGGTATAGTCTTGCGTTTATCCCGCTTTGTGTCGGGTTGAGTGCCACGGGCGTGACGGAGTGGAGCTTTGCGGTGACGAGCTTGCCGGTTAATGCGTGGTTGGTTTGGGAGGCCATCAAGTTTTGGAGGCTGGAGGGCCACAAGGGCAGTGCGAGGGGATTGTTCTGGGCTAGTGTGTGGCATTTGCCCGTGATCATGGTGTTGGCGCTGGCGCAGAAGAAGGGGATGTGGGGGAGGGTTTGGAGGAGCGTTTTTGGGGAGCCGGAGGAGGAAGACGGGGAATGGGTGTATGAGGATGAAGACGAGGAGGAGGCGGCAGGTGTTGGGGAGGTGGTGAAGGGTGTCGTGAAGAAGTGATGTTATTGTACGATCTTGTGTTTTGGGAGGGAAATATGGTTCATGGTATAAATGGTATTCAAAAAGAAGCACATCGTCGCTCAAGGATTTGCATTGTACAAATGAGAATTTTGTATAGTACTTGAACAAAATGGATTGGAAAGCAAAGACGAAGCAAGAGTCGTTACGCGTGGCTTTTGTGTGTATCTGTATCAATACGAGGAGTTGCGCGTGGAAGTTTTTAAAATAGACGCGCTTGCTGTATAACGAGACTGGCAAGAAGGGGCAAAGAAGATGAGATGATTTTTGGGAGACCGCTGTCTGATGTTATGTTCAGTGAACTTCTTGGGTCCTATCTATTGCCAAAATATTTGTTTGCCGGAAAATTGGTATCTTGGAATTATCAACACCGTTCTACGCCGTCCTGTCTATGCCTGCCATGCTGTCTCTATGCCTGTGCCGCCTTTTTTTGCCCCTTATTCAAAGCTCTGTGATTAAACTGATGATGAAATACGAATGAAAGTGCATACCAATCATAACGAAAGAGGTTCCAGTTCATAAGACAGGGGTAGACAAAACTCTCACCTGAAAATGCCGATGAGTGACGATGACGTGGAAGAGACAACAAGAGGAATACCTGAGAGAAGCAAGGGTTTTAGAAATGCGGATAGTGAAGCCATGTGTGAAAGTAAGCCTCGATGATAAAAAGACCCATGCACGAGACAAAGATAAATAGAGATACATTATGAGACACCTCTTGACCATGATAAGCAAACGGACAGAGATCCATGTGAAGATGCATTAGTGACAGAGACAGAAGCCTCACTTCAGGACTTTGCATATCCCAACGACAACAACAGCCTTGAACGCCGTTCGCAAGGTAGTAACACCAGAAACGCCTCGAAAACAACCCTGAGCCCAAAAAGGAAGAAAATAGGAAAACGATAAAACAAGTGTACCCACTGAACGCCATCTTGTGCTGCACAACTGGGTATAGTGAGTGTAGTGGTAAGCCCAGTTAGAACCGTCCGTCAATGCCCCCCCTTTCCAAACCGAATCAAGACAAGACGAAAAAAAAACAAGAGATGATATGATAACCCGAGGAGACTAACGGATGTAGAAAGACAGGTTAAAATCTAGAGACAAAGGATGAGGTCATAAGTGACAACCTCAATTGGCATCACGTCCCGAGCCACGATTGATGATATTGTTGATTCCCATATCACCCACACTGGGAAGACGATTACCGTGACCCATATAAGGACTCGTCCCCTGGCTCGAGCCGCCATGGTGGGCATATCCGCCAGTAGTGCCCGTGCTTGACACGCTGTTGCTGTAGCCGTGATGGGGTTGGTAGCCATAGTTCTGGTAGTTGCTCTGAGCGAAGGCCTGGTGAGACGGGGTGCCTCCGCTGCCGGTGCTGCCGCCAGAAGTAGAGTGTGCGCCACCGTGGATGGAGCCAGAGGGCTCGGGGCTGCTGTAGTCATCCACATCGTCGTCATCAATGGGTGTCAGACCGATTCCCGAGATGCCGCTATCATCGTCATATCCTGATGAGGATTGGCCGTTTGCCAAACGTTCTTTACGGCTGTATGAACGAGCGTGGGACTGGATGTTCTTGAGACCGTTGGACATGCACTGTTGCAAACTTTGGTGTCAGAGGTCTTGACACTCGACAGAAACGAAACAGGACAGGAAAAAAAAAAAAAAAAAAAAAAAAAAAAAAAAAAAAAAACATACCTGTGCCTCAACGACGTGCCACTTCTCGCCACAGCGATCGGCCAAGGGCTTCCAAATCTCCTTACGCATGCTCATGTACTCCTTGCTGAGACGCTCAAGCTTGAGACTGTCGAAATCGGTTTGGCCCCGGCGCTCCATCAACCGCTCGTGACGCTTTCGGCAGGCATTGCCCGTCTTATTTGGGAAAGCCTCGCGCTGAATCTGGTTCCAATTCTTGCCCATGGCGCGGAGGGCGAGCAGTGCCCTGTCATCGTCCTGGTTCCACGCACCCGAAGAGGCGCGATGCTGTGCCGGTAGAGGTCCGCCGCCCACGGGTCCTCCCATGGTGGCAGTGGGAATCTGCATTGAAGATACTGCGCCGACGGCATAAGCGTCGTATGAAGGCATAGCCATCTGAGAAGCGGCCGCTGTTGTGGAAAGATCCCCATAGTAGGAGACCTGGCGAGGTTGCTGATAGTATGACATGGTTGAAGCGGACTGGCCAAGAGAAACTGGAATATGTTGATATTGGTGGTGGTGATGAGCCGATGTTCGGGACAGATCAGGCATGATGTATGAAGCTTTGTCGACTGGCAATCTCTTCTTCCTTACTAATAGGAAGTAAAAAGGAGATCAAGAGAGAAAAATGAAGCAATGAAATGAGACCGAGCCGAACCGTCGAGTGTCGGGTTGATTAGGTGATTACCTATTAGACGAGAAGTAGATGATGGTATTCGATAGATAACAGGCAGAGACTTGATGTATCAAAAGGAAGATGGCTCGTATCAAACGATGTTGATCAAGGAGACACAGATGGTAATAAGGAAACCGAGACCCCGAACAGAAAATGAGACCTAGGAAATAGGAAGAGAGGAGTAATACTGATGATGGTGAACTTGTCGGGTTTGATGCACGTCAGATGAGCTTTGGAGAGCAGCAGAGGGTCGACTTATAAGTGAGATCACCTCCGCCTCCACGTCAACACCACAGAAGCGAATCCACCGGCCTAGTGTAGACTCGGTCAGGCAGGGCCATGTCTGCGGGTAGAGATGTAACTCTGGCATGGCTGCCGGGTTGGAAGATCTGAAACAAGGGTAGAGGAAGGAACGGAGGGCAGATTTCTGATCTTGAAACCGAAAAAGTGTATCCAAACGAGCGAGTACTGCCGGCAGCGGCCTCTGCTAGTGGCTGGACGGTTTCGACATGGCGTTCTTTTGGAGTTGGGCGGCTACGAGAGTAGGCCCTTTTGGAGTGGAGACTTGTTGTCGTCAAAAGGAGATTGCTGGTTGGACGGCGGCTAATGCCCTATGGGGGAGCTTGGGGCTGAACCGGGGTGTTTACATGGGGATGTGTACACTTGAAGGTCTGAGAACTGGACATTCCCCAGATCCCAGTTGAGAAAAAACGAAGCAAAGTCGAGAGTAGATGAAGAATATGAGCCCGCTGAGCCAGCGGAGAGCTCTAACATTGATTGATTTGACCCTGATTCTCAACGACATGGCATACTAGCGTTGGCAGAATGTTTTGATGTCCGCTTTGTGGTCGAAGTACTTGGCAATAGCGTAACGGTTAGATTCGCTTGACCAATGGCAACACAGCAACCATTAGACGCAACTCCGCCGCAAATCTGAAGGATAGGCGAGACAGTTTGCGGTTCGCAGGACTAGACGCAGGTACCGTTGCACCATCAGGAACGGCATATGCCACCCATCACTACATACCACATCGACTGGGATGCGAGAAGAACGGAGATGACCCAATGGGAAAGACTCAGGAAATCGTTTGGCGGAAGCGGAAAGAGACGCACGCTTGTGCAGTGTCAAATATAGCCGACGAAGCGGGAGGGATGCTGTCCTCTGTCTAACAGAACCACTTCAAGTTATGTTAACCGCCAGCCTTGTGCGATTCCCGAAGATATGTCTCGCTTCATGGTCCGTGTTCTCGAAAACTAAACAGACTGTGAATTCAGCAATGAAATTGCGGATGAAACTCGGTTCAAACAACAGACTATGGATGTGAGTATTTTGGGCAAGCAGATGACCAAGCCAAGCCCTACGGGGCATGATGGCCTGGAAACCAGAAGGGAAGCTGCCCTATGGACCCGTGAAGGTGGAATGGCCTTGCGATGCGACCAACAGCCTACCGGACGCAGTACGGGCCGCCGCCCGCCATTGCAAGCAGCAGGCAAAGAAGGGCCAACAAGGTAAACCCATCTGCCGAGCAAAGCTGGACAGACCCGGCAGAATGGAACTGGATGAGAATGAGTCTAGGTAGACGCTCATTGGTATGGTGGCATGGACCGACGGCGTGAAGCGCGATGATAAGAGAATGGTCAAAGTCAGTGATGTTGTACTACTCAGGGATCAGCGTGGGATTTTTGGCCGCCAACAAGGGGCAACAGATGCAGCAAGCATCGGGATACTGTGTGGACAGGGGTAGCATCGCGTAGAGTTTGCCGCGAGATGATTGCATGTTTGACTGAACGGAATGCAGGTCGCACCTTGACGGCAACTCATTGAGGTTGTGAACGAGACTCGTCCCTGACAAAATTGGTGAAAGGTCTGCCGAATTGTAGTAAGGGTTATGGTCAGTACATCATCCTTGGGTACTGATACTCTTAGTACGCATTCGAGCGTCTTTATTACACCTCTGAAGTCTGCAATTCCTGGATGAAAATATCCCCAACGGACTTTAGCCAATACTTTCCTTGGGTCACAGCTTTGTACATCTCTGCCGACATGACTTGTTGGCGTGGTAGCGCCACCTTGGGATATTTAGGGAGTTGGGGCCTTTGTTGAACGGAAAATGAAGTTATCGCCACTTTGTAGTTTACATGCCGGCAGGGGTGTGTTGGATTGGTTTGACCTGCGCAGTTGGTTGATCGCCCGTTTAGGCTGCGGCCAAAGATCTCATCAATTTTGGTCATGGGCGAGCGAGGTGCGTACGGTATTGAAAGAGTCAGTGGTATGTTGCAGGCGTGCCCTGGCTGTTCGAGGATTGTTGTCATTGGGGAAACTTGAATCAGGAAGGCAAGTTTGACGGCGGGAGATTTTGAGGTGTCGCTGGACCGCAAGGGAAAAAAAAAAAAAAAAAAAAAAAAGCCAAAAAATTCGAAACAGGCGCGCGTCAAAAAAGGAGGAGCAACAGTGACTGCAACATAACTAGGTATGTAGCGCCATGGCACCTTACTATCGCAGCGTTGCAGCGTCACAGTCGCAATCAATGGTCGTCGTCGATCTGGGGAACAGAGAAACGAAAGGAACGGTGGGGTGGGGGCTGATCTTCGTTTACCCGAGGGTGGCATGTGCATCTTTTGCCAAGACACCCAGCACCTACCTAATGCTCATGTTAGAGGACTATGATCGTCTTGGCCAGACTAGCGTGTAAAAGTGAGCACACACTAACAAATCAAACTAGGTTCCATCCACAGTGACACCGCCCATATTTCGAAGCGCTGCTTTCCCAACTTGTCGCATTTTAATGTCTGCCCTTTTCTCCGCGACCCCAACTCTTCCACTTGATGGGCAGTTTGTTCTCGCCATTTTCACCAATCTAACTCTGGCCATCACTGAGAACGATTCAGGTGTGCGACATTGAAATCAGTTGGCCCCAATACGCTCTTGTCGGCTCTTCATGCCGCTTCAGCTGCCGTGACCAAATCCCGTCGGCGGGCTCTACTGCGGCCCAGCTGCTCGGGAGATAGTGACGGCGTCCGGGCCCGATCATCGCTTCCACAAGACTTCCCTGGGACACAACACCGCATCCGCAGGTGCGTACCCGATACCAAGTCCTGTCACGGCTGGACCTAGGTTGGTGGAATCTTGAACCCTTGGTGTGCATTGCAGGCGTTGTCGGCCGTCTTGTTACATTGCCAGTAACCACACCGTTATTGTGCAGGACGCTCAACGACAAACTTCAAGTCCCCGCAATCTTCAAGGCGAATGTCAAATCTTGGTATAACAGGGACCTATGCACCGGCAGGTAGGGTGGGAGAAGCTTTGGTAACAAGTGTCCACGGGCGGGCGGAAGCCAAGGACGGCATCAAGCGTCACGTAGCCATTCAGAACCATCAGGCTGAAGATAAGCCTTTTCAACCGTTACGCTAACGCTCCCCACAAGACTCTTGTTCGACACCATCACAGCTCCCCATGTGAATGGGACCAAGATTCAATACAAAATGGCTCGAGAATATTCTCTTGCAAGTTCCTGGACCACGACCAATGGGCGATTTACATAATCCGGGCACCAAGGACCAATGAGCATTGCCTGGGGTATATCAGCCTGCTATTCAGGCTAATTTGAAAGCTTGCTACCACGCTTATGGCCACGCACCAGCTTCCCCAACAACCGGCG